TTTTTTTCACAAAAATGCGCAGGATTTCGGGGATATGTCTATTCACCAAAAATGATTGTAATTGACCCCCGCAAACGGAAATAATTTTTCCAGAAATATTTGAAACTTTTCAATTTTCAGGGTGACAGACAGTTATGGTCAGACATTATATTTTCAGTAATTAATTTTTTTCTCGAAAGTGCGTAGGATTTTTGGGGTATGTCTATTCACCAAAAATGATTGTAATTGACCCTCGCAATAAAAAATAATTTTTTCAGAATGATTTGAAATTTTTTAATAACTTTTTAACGAAGCCTCAATCAACAGATTGCTATTCTTGATTTCCGTCTTATTTTGCCCTCTAAAATCTCTCATTAAAATTTTTCCCAGGAGTGGCCGAACACCCTGTATATTTTTCAAAATTCCTACCACCAATACCTTTTCAAGTTTTACCTGGTTCGTACTGTGCTTGTAGGAATAAGAATAAAATAACAAAGACCCAGTCATTTTCAACGCTCCTACTAAAAACAACTATTTCTGTTGAAACTTTGACGTCTTTCTATCGAGTGTACCTAATGAATTATTGGAAAGTACTCAAGATTATTTATACTTTCTTATCGTTGTCGTATATTACCTGTCAATTTGAAGAGAAAGAAGAGCTGGCGACATTATGGTTTAAAATCGGAGACGAGATTTACATTTCTAAATTTCTTGTCATTCAATGGCTCATAAATAGTTGCTGTACCACTTAAGTGGCCTTTCTACTTTGTGGGATTTAAAAAATCGAATTTTTTTTGCGTTTTCTTTTAGTATGTAGTCGTGAAAATATATCCATCAAATATTAAATTGAAATTCGGAAAACTAACGAAATTATAGCCTGCTGAAATGTACCACAGGCAGGTATAACAACTGGACGTGAAACTTTAAAGCTATTTTTCTCGAAACTACATTTTTCGGCACTGCGTAGACGATAACATGAAAATTATTCAAGACATCAACATCAAATTTATACAGTATTTTTAGAACTGGTCTCTCTATGGCAGGAACTAAAATAATTGCGATATATGCAATACTTTTTCATTTATTAACAAAAAAGCAACCGAATATCTGAAAATAGTCAGTATTTTTTCGTAAAATAGCTGCCATTTTGCCATTTTTCGTTTTTTTTAACAGATCCTAATCAATAGATATTATGCGTTGCAAAAATTCATGAATATTTAAATATATAATAAATATATCCACAAACCCCGAAATTAATCGTTCTTTAATAGCCCACAAAAAAAAATCATAAAGAAACATGTATTTTTCTTGCCTATAAAGTAGAATGGCCCCTTAATTTCTGGTTAATTCTATTCTGTACTTAAATATGCAGAGTGTAAACGAAAATAGAGACGTTTTTAGGCAATTGGAAAGTTCACAGCTCCATATTTTATTATTCTCTCCAAATAAATCTTCAAGATCCAATCATTTAATTGGCGATTAAGCGACTGTTTATCAAGTATGTGGAAGATAATACTATTTTATTAGCGATTTCGAACCTTCGATCTTCCGTCGCCTATCGCGAATTCTTCCTTTGTCCCCGAACAGAAGTTAATGGCGCATTGTAATTGATTTCGAACGTTCCCGTTTCTACCGTCCGTTTCGAGCTTTTATCGTCCATTTTGAAACCGCGAAATATCGATTTTAGTACATCTATACACCGACACGGAAGATACACGTTTTATCGTGTTTGTGGAACTCCGCGAAATGGAAGAAAACGTTCCCAATAAATGTTGGGAAACCAGACCGGACCAGACGTATCCAAAAATACGATACACGCAGGCCTGACCTACATAAAGCGTTACAAATTTCCTTTGAAACGACGGCAGATATCAATCTGCAAGTTCAGAGTGCCCCGAAGCCATTCATCAAGTGCAATCGATCTAACTTTTAAAGCCTCCCCACCACCACCCCAGCCCCCTCCACCTGTGCCACGAAGAAAATTTTTCTACGCGATGAAGAGAAACATCAAGAACCTCAGTTTCTAAGATTCTCGTTCAATTTTTCCTTGCCTCTCGCGAGCCAGAAAGCGCAAAGAAATCGAGAACTGAATTGGAACTTTCACGGACGCGCAACTCTCTCGATTCCATCAAGAGCAGTCGTTGCAATTCCTAACCCAAACTGACCTGGAAAAATACCCGAGGCTCGGTTCTCAACAATTACCGTTCGATTCGCTCCTTTCGTCGACCAGAGAATTAAAAAAACAACAAGCGAAATTTTCGGGAACACCAGAATTGGATAATAGATCAGAAATGTCAGAGGCTAAATAAGAAGTTTATTGGGACAACAGAATCTTCTAAAATTGGCGCAAGTTATTAATGCAAGAAAGCAATAAGATTTTTAATGAAGTAGTTTTGGCGGGAAAACGCTGGGATCTGATTGTGGCCATTTGCGAGCATGTTGCGGCAAAATTCCTTGGGGATGAAAGGTCCTAAAGTTTGAGAAGGTGAGTTAGCTGCTAGCCGGGCCGCGAAAGTGTATTCACGGATTAAATTAAACGAGGCTTCGCGGGACGGTCACACGTGTGTAATTCAGTTCGCGTCAAATGCGATCTATCGTGGGGAAATGAGAGTCGCGCGTACACACACGCACTCGCACACACGCTCCTGTGGATGGGGCTTGATTAAGGCCACTCGAAAAACTGCAACTGCACTCCGGAATAACGCACGGTCCACCGGATGCGTAGCGAACAGCCACGAAATAACAGGGAATAGGAGTAATAGAATATAAAAGGGGGATTGCGAGAGGGCAATCTCTCGATACTGCTTTAAAACCTTACGGTTGGAAAACACGGGGGATGCTTTTGTAATTTACATCATTGAAGGGTGGAGGAAGGGCACTCGGATCGGAGAGAAAGTGAGCTGAATACCGAGCTGAAAATCGCTGATTTTCCGGCATCGCGGGCACCGAGAACTCGCGCCAATGAACGGAAATTTGTTAATTCCCTCGCGCTGACGGCGATACAATTTAATTGTTCCGTATCGCTTCCATTAACTCCACCCTTTTACTGTTTGGCTATGCGCGAAGAAATCGAACGGGGCTTTGTAAATCATACCGGGTGTCGCGAACGGAAACTCTTCAAAAACCCCTTAACGTACGATTTAATTTCAAATAATTCGTCAAACGTATACTATTATTTGTTCGTACAAGGAATGGCTACGAAAAACGATAGATTTGTTTTATGAATACCTCGTAAATGTAGAAATGTGGTGATTTTAATATACAGGGTGTTCGGCCACCCCTGGGAAAAATTTTAATGGGAGATTCTGGAGACCAAAATAAGACGAAGATCAAGAATAGCAATTTGTTGATTGAGGCTTCTTGAAGAAGTTACTAATGTTTAAAGTTCCGCCTGTAGAACGGCAACACGTGATAGTGGTTCTCACTCAGCATGGAAGACTCTACTCACTGACGTATCAACAGTCTTGCAGTTTTCTGAGTGAGAGCCACTATCGCGTGTACGCAGCTGTTCTCAAGTTGCCGTTCTACAGGCGAAACTTTAAACTTTAATAACTTTTTAACGAAGCCTCAATCAACAAATTGCTATTCTTGATTTTCGTCTTATTTTGTCCTCTAGAATCTTCCATTAAAATTTTTGTATAAGACTTGATGACGAGTGAGTAGCCTCATGACTGTGAAATATGACATCAAGAACTTGCAACGAGTCAGACTCGTCATTGTACAGCAAAGGGTTAAAAACTGTTTAATTCCTGCGAGACTTCAACTATTTACAGTGTATTACAATACCCTGGAATCTTAGAACTAACTCAAGCTCAATGTGTACCTAATCTAGAACAAACGTGGACCCGACTTAAAATTAATACAGATGTAATTTGCGCGTTCCTTGGCGCCCGGTACGAGACATAACTCAGAACTAACGCGGATTTAATTTACGGACGACCCCCGGCACTAATGCAAATTCAACTTACACACAACCTACGACTAATTCCGTTGAACGTCCGGCGGAAAATCGCTGATTTCCCGCCATCGCGAGCCAGCGGTTCGAGCTACGGAAATTTACTAATTCCATTCCGCTGACGGCGATACAATTTAATTGTTCCGTATCGTTTGCAACGATTCCTCCGCGCGTTTCGACCTTTGCGCGTAAGCGGAGCAGAATTTGCAAGAAACGCGGGAATTCGGTATGCTTCGACCACGATAGAGTACGGTAAAAATTGCAAAATAAATTGGAACTTATGGAGAACGAAAAGCTAATGTAAACATAAGGGTTAGTAACTGACAGTAGACTAAAGTATATACTGATAATGTATCGAATACCGGAGGTGAATAGCACTGATTTTCCGTCGTCGCTAGGCCACGCTCGGGCTCGCATCAATAAACGGAAATTCGCTAATTTCGTCTGGCTGACGGCGATACAATTTAATTGTTCCGTATCGTTTCCAATAACTTCCCTCTCTTTCTGTTTGCCTCTGCGTGAAGGAGAAGTCCATTGGAACGGCAGAAAATGAACGATTGTACTCGGTTACCCGGTCCCGCGATCGTCGCTGCGTGCCTCCACTCGACCGTGGATAATGTTCGAGTCGTAAGAGGATTAAAATGCAGTCGCCACACAGTCACAGACACGGTTCGGTCGAATTATCGGTCGGCTGTGCCTTGAAGATTACATTCACAAGTGGGTATTGTGTTTCCGTACCGTAATTTAATTTCAAGAGCGAAAGGGAAACCGAGACCTACTCGAAACCGAGGGAAATCGTCGGGACAGAAAGGGAAATTAATTTTCAAAAATGATTCATAGTGCAAAATAGAGTAAAACGCATATAAAATACTGCAATCGGTATTTTACAGTCGTGCAAAACCTTGAAATATGAAGATTCTCTTCGAAATTAAGTAGAGAGGCCCGTTTGTGGTCAGACATCTTTTAAGTAGAAATGAGTTGCTTTGTTTCGTAGAAATAAAAATGATTGGGAGATTTAATTTACTCGTGCGTGAAATTACAAGTATAATCGGGAACTGTTTTTCAGGTATCGTGGCCCTTCGTATGACAGCCCTGCAAATACCGCAACACGTCGTCCTAAATGAAACGGTCCGTATGCAGTGCAACTTCAACCTGGACAAAGAGACACTGTACTCGGTGAAATGGTACAAAGACGGCCACGAGTTTTATCGTTATCTGCCCAGGGATATGCCCACGGTGCAGACGTTCCGTGTGCCCGGCGTGAACGTTAACGTGAGTGTTTTTCGGGATCGACCCCGGTGTCGAAACGACGACGATCGACCGAGCTTTCCACAATTTTCCAGACGCGCAACTCCACGGAGAGATCGGTGGTGCTCAACAACGTGAACCTCACCAGCTCCGGAAGGTACCGGTGCGAGGTGTCCGCCGAAGCTCCCGCCTTTCAGACCGTGTCTGATCACGCGGACATGACGGTAGTCGGTGAGCAAAACAATATTTCATTCTAAATTAAAAATATGTAATTATCGTTAGAGGATTGAATTTTCTGAAAAAGAATATTTCTCTTGAAAAGGAAACTTGCGTCGCAAATTCTAGATCCATTAAATACCTCTGATAACTGTATTTTCCACTTAGATAGTTTAGAATATTTTTGTTGAAAAAGAAACTTATGCCACGAATACTAGATTCATTAAATACTTCTAGTAACTCTATATTTTCCACTTGGGATAAAATTAATAATTCCAGAAGATTTCTGACTAGATAGATACACAGAGTACAAAATAAGACGGAAATCAAGAATACCAATTTGTTGGTTCTCACTCTATTTACTGACGTATCGACAGCCTCACAGTTTTCTGAGTGAGAACCACTGTCGCGCGCAAGCAGCTGTTCGCAGATTGCCGTTCTACAGGCGCAACTTTGAACGTTAATAACTTTTCAACGAAGCCTCGATCAACAAATTGGTATTCTTGACTTTCGTCTCATTTTACCCTCCAGAATCTCCCGTTAAAATTTCCCCCAGGTATTGGCCGAACAGCCTGTATAATTTGAACACCCGGTGTAGCTTTTGGCATTGAAATTACGGAACGAACGAGCGTAAGCTCCGTTCCGTGCCGATGAATCCCAAGTTTCTGGTGTTCGAAGGGGAGACGCGTTTGATGAAGGAAATAGCAAAATATCGTCGTTTCTTTCAGTGCTTCCTGACGAAGGGCCACGAATATCCGGCGGTCGTTCGCGCTACCAAGTGGGGGACGTTGTTTATATGAACTGCACGTCCGCGCCCTCGAAACCGGCTGCCCTGTTGACTTGGTACATCAACGGCGACCCGGTAAGCATACCGCGATAAAAACGACTTTCATCCCCCATACGTCGATCAGGAGTTTCTGACAGTCCTAGTGATACCAATAAACTAAATTTCGAAAATGTGGAAACCTGTAACCGGCCTAGTGTCAACGTTTCCACGTAGAAACGAACTCTGTTCTACGGTATTTGTAATCGACGAGTTCGCTGACGTCTTGGAAGATGTTCCATAGAATCGAATAAACTCGGAATTCTTTCAGGTCGACGTTACTGACACGTAACGCCATCCATTCGACACCCTTCAGATACACGGTCGAAACGAACCTATCGCGCGTAACCGAGAACGGAGTTAGGTATAATGTGTGACACACTTTAACAATAATTCCCGCTTTTAAGTGACAGAACCAGAACTGTCGGTTCGGTTGAAAGCGAGGTACATAACGATTTTTATCTCGAGCGGAGGCTAAACGTTGTGTGTACTGTCTGACGAGGAAATTGAATGGGATACGAGAGTGAGCAAAAATAGAGCAACACTGGAGTCCCGTGGCACGAATGCAGAGTAGCCGAAACTTCAAAGCGACGCTGCGAGCGAACGTATCGATCACCGATGACAGAACAAAGATTTTTATGCTTTTCGTTAGATTTTCGCGAGATCGTTACACCGCCAATTCGGTGAAAATTACCCTAAATACCAACTCGTTAATTTATCGTTTAAAAATTAAGTTAAATTGTAGAATTAAAAAGTTCGAAGAGGATCGTGTTTGGACTCGCTTTTATCGCGAAAACCTCGCCGATTTGGTAATTACAATCTCGGTTACGATACAACAACGAGTATAAAAAATATAATTTTCGTTAGTTCGTTGGAAAAAAATAATAAATTCTGGGGGATGATTCCACGAAACAGGGCGGAGAATCGGATAGAGAATTATTATATTGTAGGGAATCCCCCGTTAAAACTCCATTACGGAAACTGTGAATGAAATTCAATATCCTCGTGCTCTTCGTTTCGGCTGATAATCGCGCAAAGCCCGGTTGTAGGTTTCTGCATTTTGAAAATTTCGTTACAACTTACGACTGAAGGAACAACCGGTTTAATTTGAAAGTCGTTTATCTATCGCTGGACGATCGAAATTTCATCCGGTCAGAAACTTCGGTTCGTCGGAGTCTGTGAAACACAGTGTCCTACGTGGACGATTAATTGCGGGGGTAAAGGGCGCCTCGGACCGGTCGAAAATGCCCAGGTTGCTCGCTGGGCTGCAAAGGGCAGCGCTCAGCAAAGTGTGCCATAATCGCGTTTTGTCCGATGGTCGAGCGACTCGCGGCGAAAATTCGTTCGCTCCGTGGCGCATGGTGATTGTTTCCCCCGTGGCTTCACGACGGGGTCAAAGAGAGAAAGAGGAAGAGCGTAGTTCCTTCATAGGGATTATTAGGGGATAAACAACAATCGACGCGGCGTTTCAGGCTGATACCCAGTACCTGCAGGGACCGCACATTACCGACGTGGACGAAAAGGGCCTGGAAACCGCGGTGCTGGGCTTGGAATTCCGCGTCGCCAAGAAACACTTCAAACACGGCGACATGAAGCTAAAGTGCTTGGCGACAATAGCTACCGTCTATCTGCAGAGCAACGAGGAGAGCGTCGAGGGGGACGAGAGGATCCTGAAAGCCCCTGCAATGGAGAGCCGCGAGACCAGAGCGCAAAGCCACACTCGTAACGATTTAACGAATGGTAAACTTCCCCTGCACGATCCACGCTCACCGATCGAGACACTTCGCCTCGTTATCCTAACCGAAACCTCCTATCTATACTTCGTCCAAGACGAGCCAGAACACGAACGATCGGCGGTGACCTACGATTTTAGCAACTCCCAAATATAGAGAAATAAGAAAGTACTATTCTCAACGATTCACTCGGTTTAACGGGGAGTTATTCGCTAACGATATACGAGGTGTGTAAATTAAGTAATGCGACTGATTGTTTCCCTCAAAATGACTTCCTTGTGAAGCCACACAGCGTTAGAAACGATTCTACCAATCCTCATAACAGTGCTGGAACTCGGATATTGGTATAGCTTTCAGCTGGTCGATTACAGCTGCTTCAATGTTTTCGAGTGTCCCAAAATGACGTCCCTTGAGGTGATTTCTCAATCTCGGGAAGAGGAAAAAATCACAAGGACTCGAGTCAGGCGAATAAGGAGGCTGAGGAACCACAGGAATGTTTTTACTGGCCAAAAACTCATTTACTGAAATTGCTGTGACAAGGTTGTTCTTGGTGTTTGGCCTCACACGCATGACCCGTTTTTCTAGAACCTCTCGGTGAAAGTGTTGATTGACCGTTTGGTCTTGAGGCATAAACTGTTTGCGGACGATTCCCTGACTATCGAAAAAGCAAATCAGCATGACTTTTGACTCATCTTTAGAACACACTAGAAAGAACTGTTTTACGAAAACAATTGCTACGAACAACCAAATGACTCTAGCGGGTACAAACTTGTATCGAAGGCGTATCACACGTTCAACTACAGTCTCTCCAAGTCCCGCATCCCAAATGTTGACAGATCGAATGTTACGTTGCAAGTCTCATTACTTAATTTACACACCTCGTGTATACAGTAAGATTCCAATTATCCAACATTACCATTTCCGTGGTACTCACAATATTACCAATAGGTTACAGAAACAAACACAAGATAAAGTGGACAGAAAATGAAATTACAGAAACATTTTTAACCACACATTATATTTTTGCTAAAGAATTTATTTTCTCGAAAGTGGGTAGGAATTCGAGGGTATATCTATTGACCAAAAATAATTATAATTAATCGCTGCAAACAAAAATAATTTTTTTTCGAACGATTTGAAATTTTTTAATTTTGTTGACTTTCATACCTTCTCGAATTTTTTTCTCGAAACTGGGTAGGATTTCGGGGGTATGACCATTCACCAAAAATGATTGTAATTGACCCCCACAACCAAAAATAATTTTTCCAGAATGATTTGAAATTTTTCATTTTTACCGAAAAATTATTTCATCAAAAATAATTTTCTAACACTAAAAAACTGTATTTTAATGGGTTTTATTGAACTATTCTAAAAAAAAGTGGCTCTATAATCTGCCTACGGTGGAAAATTAAATAAAATTAGCTTTTTGTTTATTTTTTTTTAGGCCTCGTCTCGATGGACGGAGTATAGCAATCGACGAAATTCTTGCAAAAATATTCTACACGCTATATTTTCATCTACTTGCTTGGAAATTATAATAACGATCATACATACGTCGGAGGATTGGTCCCACTACTCCCAAACCTATCGTTTTAGATCAATTATTCGTATCCTCTCTCTTCTTTAGGAAGAGTTTTCTGTTTTTGATTGAGTTGAGCCGTCCTTCGTTTGTATATTGAAGAGTAATCGATGGCAACGTTTGAGATAGGTCATCGAAGATAATCGATATTTTATAGATAATAGAAAACTAGGTAGACGATAATTTACCGCGAAAATTGAACTTCCATTTTTCCTTCTGAATGTGAAAGATTTCCAATATTTTCTTTCCAAAATATCGTGTCGAATTTGAATCACGACTTCCAAACGTTTGTTTGTAAATAAAATATGATCAACGCTGGTCGAACATTCGTAACGTCGACGATTAATGGAGATAAACGCGTAAAATTCATCGAAAATTTCAGAAAATCTCGACGTCAAAACAGGCACACGTCCGATTGCAAGCGAATCTCGAAAATTGATTGTGCTAAAGGATTAATTGGGACGCGATTAAACGTCGTTTAATCTTGATCTCGTTCCCTGATAAATAATTCGACCGAAATCGAATTAAATCTCGATCGAAACGTTCAACGCGTATATCAAGTAAAAATGAAGTTACTGGACGACAAGAACGCCAGTTTAGGACTATAAAACGCGAAACTGAATCGATAGTAGCTTGATACGGACGTTCGCCTTTGTTCATGGAAAAAAAGCGTGGCGCGAGACACAATAAACAAGCGAGTTTTAAAAAAGCGTAGGCTGAGTATATTAATTGGACATTACAAATCTCAAACGTTCCTGATAAGCATCGAATACCTTCGAAATATTAATAGTTACACCAAACATCCATAACTCCATGATTTCTACCGAACCATTTAATTATTTTATTTTATTTACTTTTTCATTACCGCTTCAAGCTAGAAATATCGATACGTTACGAAACATCGTTTTAGCCGTCTCGATTAACCAGATTTAACATTTTAGGTGGACAGTCAGCAACGATACTTAACTGGATGATCATCGTTCCGATCACGTGGATCGTCCTGGCGCGATAATAACAACATTTTTTCACGTCGCTTCCTAAAAGTGTAAAGCGAGTACGTTAGGAGATCGTTCCCATCGTATCTAATACTAATTTTTAAGCCGCGTAATCGTAATTAAATATCATATCGATAAACATGGTAAGGGTGACGTCCAATCGGGTGTCGTCGACGTACAAACATTGGCGGATTCATCAAACGCTCCTCCCACTTCACGATCGAACCGAACGATAGGTCTGATCGCGATCGAATCGATTTCCCAATGTTTGAAACTCATTTATTCCATTTAACGACGTCATGAAAGTTTACGTACTCAGACAACTTTCGATACGCGTTCAATTCGAGATTTTAACTATGGTTCGCTTCGAGGAATGATCAAACTATCATCGAGATGAACGAAGATAAAAATTTACATTGTTGTCTGCGGTTGTTTCAATAAATGATAGAAGTTTATTAAGGAAATATTATTTCTTAGTGAGATATTATCCACGAGAAACGATTCAATTTGAGAATACCTATACATATTTTCTAGATATATTTTTAATATCAACGTCTTCGATACATTTCATTGATCTCCGAAAACTCAAACTATCCTTCGCTATTGGTCACCGAGGAACCAACGTCAATTTCATTTTATCGTAGGGAAATTCATTTTTATGGATCCGCCATTGATAATAAACCAAAGTATGTTCTAGGCTCTAAATGTATTCTTGCGTGGAGGAAAAAGTCTTGTTTAAAACATATCCATGGATTTAACACAGAGAAAAATCTAAAAAAATGAAAAAACGAAAAAAAAAAGTAAGAAGAAGACAGAAAAACGTGAAACTAAAAAGTACAGAAGGAACATAAATCCGTCTCTCCGTGCGTATGTATGTTAGATCGTCCGAAAAGTCTTTTTAGCAGAATGTCACAAGGTTCTCGTTGCTTTTCAAACACCGATACATATTAGTTTTTACTACAATTTTATAAAGATCTTCCAACCTGGCATATCGTGAAAAAGATTCGTTCTGTTCTTTTCCCATCTCGAGAACTTGTTTCGTACGAACGCCACGGAAAGCAATCGTGCACAATTTCAGATAGTTACCTTCGCGAATTATAGTACTGGGTATCCATTGTTTTAAGTAAATTGCAATTTGTTCGAAAAATAGCTCCGCGACGTAAGAATACCGAAACTATGTAAAATAATTCCTCCTGGACCTCTCGACGCTAGGTTTTTTGTTTTGTAGTCCGAAGGTGCACAAATTTTTGTTCGAGATATTTAAAATCGACGAGAATAACGATAACAGGAACGATTACGAGAGGCAAAAATAGTAAGGACGATCGCTGGTTACTAAAAGACTGAAGAAACAAAATATCATTTATTAATTAAAAAGACAATGTATGTATTGTTTCGACGAACAAATAAATCGCCGAGCGTTGAGGGGTTAATCACGACTAAGTTTCCGTCGCTAGATTAAAATATATTTTAAGTAACCAAAGCGCAACACTAAAGTAAGTACTTCGCTACGATACTGTCCAACGCAAAGAAAAACTCTGTAAACAAAACCACGTAACTTGGGACAGAAGCTCATTGATCCAATGTATCTCCAGCCAAGAATATATCGTAGGTCCGACGCACAATGGATCGATAAATATATTTTAAATATAGTTTTTACTTGCAAATATTTTATATCTTTGTATATTTTCTCTTATTGACTATTTCGCTGTAGAGCTATACAGGGTGCTCGGCCACACCTGAGAAAAATTTTAATGGGAGATCCTGGAGGCCAAAGTAAAACGAAAATTAAGAATAACAATTTCTTGACTGAGGCTTCGTTAAAAAGTAATTAAAAAATTTCAAATCATTCTGAAAAAATTATTTTTGATTGCGAGGGTCAATTAGAATCATTTTTTGTGAATAGACATACCCCAAAAATCCTACGCACTTTCGAGAAAAAAATTAATTACTGAAAATATAATGTCTGACCATAACTGTCTGTCACCCTGAAAAATGAAAAGTCTCAAATAATTCTGGAAAAATTATTTTTGTTCGCAGGGGTCAATTAGAATCATTTTTGGTCAATAGACATATTTCCGAATTCCTACCCGCTTTCTAGAAAAAAATTCGGGAAGGTGTGAAATTTTTCGACGAAATTAAAAGATTTCAAATCGTTCTGGGAAAATTATTTTCGGTTGCGGGGATCAATTACAATCATTTTTGGTGAATAGACATACCCTGGAAATCCTGCACATTTTCGAGAAAAAAATTCTGTACGGGCGGAATTTGAAACGTTAATAACTTTTTAACGAAGCTTCCATCAACAAATTGGTATTCTCAATTTTCGTCCTATTTTGACCTGTAGAATCTCCCATTACAATTTTCCCCAGGGCTGGCCGAACACTCTGTATAACCAATGTATATAAATAGCAACTCGTATAATTTCCATTAAATTTCCATCTGTGGATTCGCGTAACTCAGTTTGCAAAGTTTTTCTCTTCGCTGGACGAAGTATGGAACGATCGGTTTCCTAAAGAGCATCACGGTTTTTTCACGATAAAGTTCCGCCTGCATTAAAATTTAAGTTCGTGCTCGAAGGAATGCATCAAAACTGACCGAAGCACAAATCGTCAAAATAATCATGTACCGCGATCACTTGAAATCGATTGATTTCACTTGAAATCACTTTGTACGTTCGCAACATTCTTCCACTCGATCTCAGGCATTGTTTGAAACTCGAAATGCTAGAAAATGGTACCCAGCACCGGCTACAAGGCGTATCTCGCGCACACGTAATCTCAGCTATAACAACGTTCAGGAATATATTTTTATCTAGATATTTTATATTCGACGATCGTGCGATTTAATCGTCTTCGTTAATTTTCCCCGCGCAAAATGGTACTTCTGCGCAGATGACGGAGGAATTGAAGAGTATTGAACACAAAAAAAAAATTTTTAAACGGACGTGCCCTGACGTGGAAACACTCGACGGGAAACGTTTCGAAACGGGAGTTAATACTTAAGAGTGTTGTGTCGATGTTTCAAAAAAAAAAAAAAATTGTCTTCGCTTTCATGCGTTCGGTGCATGTTGTGTATGAAGTTTCAACTCCGCGACATTGACCCGTGGCTCTGCGGTACATCGATCCGCCCTTGAATAGTTCATTACGTTTGAAGCGAGTCTTTCTTGTGAAATTGTTAAAAATAGGACACTAATTTTTTACCATTTTTTTTTTTGGACGACACAAAAATCGCTGATACAACATTTGATTACTACACTCTGTGTACTAAGGGTGCATACCCTTATGTTTGTTTAGGACCGTTCGCCTCGGCTTCTAAGCGCTCGCATTTGCACACGAGAGTCGTTCGTATTGAAACTGTAACAGCATACATCATTACAAATGTGAAAAGAAACCACATTGACATGTAGGAGTGTATAATTTTGATCGTTTAAAACTTTAATGGAATAAGCATTTGCGAGTACCAATTATGACAATAACGCAATTACTGTGCCTGAAATGCAGAGCTGAAGATATTTTTCAGTCGACGTTTACTATTGGCTAAAACGGTCGCGTCTAACCTCGATTACTTTCGTTTCAATTCCGATCTACGATCGCGTATTATACGATTTGTTGCGATCTACTTCCTGCGCGAAACGATTTCACAAGAAAGTGTGTTGATTATATGTTGTTGACTATGTTGTTGCTATATTGTTGCTTGTTCCTGAAATTCTATTCGCTACTCGTTTACTTCCCGCGTCGTCACTTACCACCTTGAATGTAACCCCCCGAAAATACGAAAGCTGCCTTTAATTTTGCTTTCTTTTATCCCTAAGTGCAGTACGACGATGTTCAATTAAACACGAAAGAGAAGAAAACTAAAGCTGCACTCGTGCGCGACATCGTGTAACGTTTGATACCATAAGCTAAAAACGGAAATGTGTTTCTCACGTAGTAGTGTGTCAAAATCCCGATACTTGTATTATGTAAGCGTTTACAAAGCTGTAAATATGTACATAATTTTCATCGTTATTAAAATTCACTATTATAATACTTTTATCTGTTTCTTTCATTGACACTCTACATACCCTTAAGAATAAAGAATAAAGATAAGAAACAAAGAAATGATACACTAAACATTGTAGAGTAGTTAATAATAACAACTTTTTTCTACGTTTACTAACATCGTTCTTTAAACGAAATGATTGCACTAAAACCGCTGATATTTTACAAGGTTGGTATATCAGTTCATGCGTCACGAAGTCCCACTGAACGATAGGTCTATTCTGTATCTCGTTTATGGTGTAACTGGTATGCATGAAGCGAAAAATAAAGATACCAGAATAGTTGAGACTCGATATCATATGCCGATTAAACGCGTCGAATTTCAGGTGTTTCGAGAACGAGAAGGAAAGACTCACATCGCCATCTTACTTGTATCCACGAAGTTGCCCGTTGCAAAAATGGAGGAGCTGTTTCCTCTGGTCACCGGTTTTATGGCAGACTCTATGCCAAATTAAACTAATATCACAGACGAGATATATGAATAGACCTTTCACCTAATATAATTTTTCGGCCGGAGTTTCTGGGGTCCCGGGACCCCATTACCATTTTCGTATCACTCGCAACGTTATCAACAGATTTAGAAATTAACACAAGAGGAAGTGAGACGGAAAATAAAATTACATAAATTTTATTATTTTTTAACGGAATGAAAGCTGTATGGTCCAGAATTGAGCATCGATCGATTAATTTCATTGGAATAACCAATCGATCGAGATTATTTAAAGATTTCAAAATTATTAAAATACGTAAGGATCTCATTGATAAATACACCGCAAATCCTCTATTTTTTATTGTAAATTGTAATATATTATTTATTTAAAAACTAACTCGGCAAAAACGTATTTGCGACTCGAAATCAGTGTTATTAGACCGCACACCAGGACGAACAAGGTATGTGGAACTATAAGAAGAACGCAGCCATTAGCTCATATTATTTCCTATGTAATTAATAATTGTATTAATTACATACTAAATAATATGACCCAGGTCTCACCACGTGGAGGTTGCTGCGAGTGGAGACCCGAAGGGAGATAGATGGAATCAAAGTTCCATCGATCTCCCTTTTAGCTAAGCTTAGCTGGATTACTAAACTAGAGAGATAGAAGGAAGCAATGTTCCTTCGATCTTCTGGTTTAGTTGTACCAAGTAATTATTTCGTTTGAAAAGGGGTGAAGCTAAATTATGGGATAAGCGACGCGACGCGATGCTGAACCGTGCAGCAGATCTTCGGATCGAATCAACACTGCCCTTGGTAGATTGATTCCTATTTCTAGCAATCGATCTATCATGGGTAGGCGACTAGATCTTTCGGACAAACTGGACGGCCGATCACATGTTTCGATCGATGAAACAGCGGTGATCGAAGCTAGGAACCAGAGAACGAGTCGAGAGAAGCTACTTGTTAAATAATTACTTGGAAATATTGGGAGACGCATACGATAGGGACTTAAAATTAACGTCGAAGCTCAAGTCTGGTCAAGTTGAAACTAAAATTCGGACGATAGAAGGAAACAAAGTTCCTTGGATGTACCAAGCAATTATTTGGTTAAAAAGAGGGACGAAGTTAATTTGAGGGACACGCGACGCGACACGACGCGACGCGAAGCTGAACCGTGCAGCGGATCCGAGGATCGAACCTACTGCCCTTGCTAACTAGATCTCTACAGGATAACGGACGGCTGCGACTCCGAATCTAAGGTCTCCATTGCTCCAACGCAACCCGCCGGGAGCCCGAAGGACCCGACTCAAGTTGTCTGACAAAGAGAGAGTACCTCTGTTTCAGTGTCGACTTCCGCTGGAAGGTATGCGTTTCCGCAGGATACGGAAACTCCACACCTTCCAGCAGAGTACCATTTTCCCTGGATCGAGCTACCAAGGGAAGGCGGTTAGATCTGTCGGGCCCGCTACACGGCCGATCACATGCCTCAATCGATGAAACAGCGGTGACCGAAGCTAGGAACGAGGGAACGAGCGAGAGACACAATCTACTTATTGAATAATTGCTTGGTAGGACACGGAGACACGTATAATAAAGAAGGCTTCGACTTTAATTTTAATACTCGCGACGAAGCTTAAGACTAATCAACTCGAAATTAAAAGTCCCTCGGCGGGCGCGGCGTTCTCCCTCGGTGTCCTTGCGATTAATCCAAATTTAAACTGAAATCAAAACTAATATTTATATTAGTGAGACATGGTAGGAAATTTAATAAACACTTAAAAATAATCTATCACCTAGCTAAAGGGGCTAAACGTAAAAATAGAAATCTTATATTAATCAGTGCCATCGAAACAAATATGGCATATCCATCGACATCATGTTTTACGTATCAAACCGAATATTCTTCTAATGATCAGTATCATCGAAACGAATACAGTATACATATACATCGACGCAATGTGATACAACTCAAAACGACCATTCGTAACAACGATAGGAACTTGGATCGAGACACCAAATTGAATCAATACCAAACAATCAAACGAAATGGAAGAATCAAAGAAAGTACCTCCGCAGAATATTACGAGAATTCGAGCAAGAAGGTAAAAATAAAAATTCATGGAATCGTGTAGAAACGAATATAGTATATGATTGAAAACAATACTACATTATTATATCCTGCAATACTATACATATCAAAGCATTCACATAAATTCGACAAACAATGTAAAAGTAGAAACATAGAAAAGGAACATTCATAATAACCAAATAAAATCAGATAGATAAATACAGTTGAATTCACATCAAACAAACAAATAAAAATAATAAAATATAAATAAGTGGAGTGGACTTACTACTTGTTGTCAGTACATAGGGTAGTTACCATAAGGGCCAGCTGTAAAGTAAGAAAATATTCATATTATAGCAACATCAGTTAGATAAACAAGGCAAAATCAGTTCATTGAAGCAAAATTGGCATCAAATGATAGCATAGAAGAGGGGAGAGAATTTTTAAACAGTTCTTACCGTTGGTCATCACCGTCCGGCACTGGTCAGTAGTGGTCAGTAGTGGCAGGAACGCGAATCAGCACTGGTCAGTAGTGGTCAGTATTGGTCAGCATTGGTCAGTATTGGTCAGCCATGGTCAGCTGTGGTCAGCGCTGGCCAGTAGTGGTCAGCAACGGCCAGCAGGGGTCAGCAGCGGTCCCCGGTTCGCTTTTGGCTATTTGCCCACTCCCGAATTCGCGACGCGACTGAAGAAATCTTCGCAGTGACCCTGCTTATATGACTAAGGTGATGAAAGGGTGGGGAGACCAGTCAGAGCCAAAGTTGAAGATAACAGGTAAGACTGTCTCGTCTACAAAGAAACTATTTCGATTGGTCCCACCTCTTGACCATTTCTGGATCTTCACTGGACCGCTAACCTTGATGTCCACCTCACTGTTGACCACCAGTGACCATAAACTAGTCATTGTTGATCATCGACCCATTAAAACCATTACGAAGATTAAAGCCTTCTTACGAGGATTCCCTTACAATTTGATGCATGATCTTTTTAACATTTTGTTCCATTTTGGAAGAGTGTATCTCGTTAATTTTTGTCTTTTTGTACGTCAGTTCGAACAATTGTCATACTGAGCGAAAAATTCGGAGGTGATTTCAGCGTCCTCTTCTCATGGATGGCGGTCAGTTGAGAAATTATTCACTGAATTAGTATTGATAGGCAAACAGCTGTAGTTTTGCGTAAATCCATGTGAGTTGGCTATGAAAGGGATTAAAATTCATTTCTAAATCTGTTGATAACGTTGCGAGTGACACGAAAATGGTAATGGGGTCCCGGGACCCCAGAGAAACGGGCCGAAAAAATACATTAGGTGAAAGGTCTACTCGTATACCTCGTCTGTGATATTACGAACCCGAGGGATGCCTCAGGTAAAAACTGCGGTTAGACTGATTTTAGCAAATTATTTACAACTTTAACTAGTCAAGGAATGCCGAATAATTCGTACTTTTCAACTCGTATGCATTTACATGCAACTAGCTGCTGCCTATCACACTAATTCAGTGAGTTTCTCAACTGACCGCCATCCAAGAGAAGAGGCCGCTAAAATCACCTCCGCATTTTCAGGTCGGTATGGCAGTTAGATTCGGCCACGAAAGTCCATAAGGTGAAAAGTCTACTCGTATACCTCGTCTGTGATATTAGCACAGACGAGGTATACGAGTACTCGCTAATATGTTAATTAAATATCTTATTAACAAATAAGTTTACATGTTTGTTCACAAAGAACTAAAGACAGAATGAATGAATTCTTTGTTTTTCAAAATAACAAATATCGAATAAAACAGATGAAATATATATGGAATCTTCTTAACCCATAGTAACTAGCAAATCTTCAACTTCAGCGAGCTTTCATAGATGATACCCTAATCGCTGTTTCGGCGGGCACCTCAGTTTGCCGTCCGATGCTGCTATCTCGTGGTCAAAATCAAGTACTATTAGTTATTTAAAATTAAACGTCCGAAGGGTTGTGAACGTTTAGTGTTCAGACACTGCACTTGTATATCGTATAATTTTTTAGGTTAACATAGTACATGATAAAAAGTATGTATCTTCTTCAATTAATTTATCGTTCGTACGGACGTACTTAAAAATTTAGTACTTATAACCTCAACAATCATGCATATAGTAGTATAAAGTAAAAATTAATAATATTTAGATTGCAATTTAATTGTCGAACTGCTTGAATAAGAGTTTCGATATTTTAGATGGAACCTATGGCATTGGGATCACCTGTTGGAAGTCCTGTACAAAGTCCTGGAAGTCCAGGAACTTCTGCGTATCTTCCAAGTTTCCTTTTGGGAGATACCACAACAGTAAGTAAAATTTAAAATAATGTTATGCAAACGATTTTACTATGCAATGTCTTTAACTTTTCAGCCTTCTAAAATAAACCAGTCTAACCCCCAAGATACTCCAAAGCAATTTCACCTTGGGCACAGTAGTCTAGCATCTCCACTAACACATTATGGTACCTCAGACTATCGTACTAATCGTCAGAAGGCAGTGTTTGGCGGAGCTAATACTCCGAACACGTCGCAAATAGCTACAGAAGATCATACCGGTGGGCCACCGACTAGAGGATTATTCGATACCTCGCCCTATGTATCACCTGGGAATCAAAGCACTTCTTGTAGCCATTCTAAACTTTTAATGAACTCGATGAACAATTCTATATTTACTGATAGCCCAATGAATCCCAATATAAATGAATCGCAAGGTCTTTTGCAATGGGTGACTGTTTTCGGTTTCCCGCCGAGCGACATGAACGCGGTTTTAGCTCATATCTCGAGCAGGGTACGTGTAGTGGACAAACATCCCGCTCCGCACGCGCAAAGTAATTGGATACATTTAAAATGCGCCTCGGAACAAGAAGCACAGAGAGCTTTTGCTTGTAATGGAAATATCGTTTCCGGGTCTGTAATGATCGGCGTGGTACCTTGCACGGATGAGGGCGTTGTGTTAGGAAGTGACAAAGAAAATCACTCTAAAATAAACGGAAGCGTCAAGTGTTTCTCGAGTCTTGGAATGGCCAATCATTCGCAAGAATATAATACGCCACGTACATCGATTAGAATACAAAATGCAAGACCCTTGGCGGCTGGTTACAACCAGCATTTAAGTCCGCAATCAGTACGATCGCCGGAGAATATACCGCAAAAATCGACGGGTTTGGTTTCGAAAGCAATGGAATATATGTTCGGATGGTAGCCTCTAATAGAAATAATTGTAAATCTTATTCTTTAATGACAAATATTATTTAATATGTAATTTTCTTTGTCCTTATAAAAAACAGATACAATATAAACAATACTAATTCGAGAGAGGAATATTAAATAATCCTAAAGTGTTTGTTACTTATCAGGCTTTTACTACATCGATAGAAATATAAATCTTTATAAACATCAAACCATTCTCACACAACCTCGCATCTAAGCTGTATTTCTGTTATATTTTTTCTCTACTCTTAAATTATCTACCACTGTTGAAATGACTCTATACCATACTGTATATAGCTTATTGTTAACGGATTTTTAAAGTTGCGGTGTTCGACCACACGTATTGCACAGATATCGGTTGAAATGGTCCGTCTTTAAAAGTACGCGTATTGCACAGATGTCGAATGAAATGGTTCGTCTTTAAAAGTACGCATGTTACTTAGAAAATGTTTATTTTCACAAGCTTATAACGAACTCGAATATTGATCACGTTCTGTGTAAGAAGAGACTTACAATGACTTAATTTGCAGAACAAAAAATATGCTATTGTAATTAGCACGTTCCTCTCTCCAAATTCGAGCGTAATGCATAATTGAAATTTTATACACGTTTTTCATAAAAAATAAACAACTGTTATGATTCAAATGCCGATTATACGAAAACGCTCGAGTCTATGTTTATTCCTTATATCCTGTTCATATGTAAAACATTAATATAGTACAATCACACATCCATTCCTCATACTAATAAATAAGTTGATATTGTCCCACAATATGTCCTGTTAAAATTACTTTGGACTTTCAATGGTGGCACTTCCTAAATCAGTCATTTTTGGATATTTCACTTTTTTCTTATCCAGTTCATCTTGTGCCCACAGTATCATCTTAAGCAAATTATTTAATCGTGGGCTTGTAGATTCTCTGTGTTCCATTTTTAATATAGCCGCGTTTAATTCGCTTGCTATCTATAGTTTCATAGAAAATTCAAAATAATTTTGATACATATATTATTAAGCTTTTGCGGACGAGTATCGGCAAATAGCCGCCCAAGCCTTTTTACTAAAAGTATGCGAAAACTTTCTATTGCCGACATTCGTCCGCAAACGATTAATTACAAAATTAAACAATATTGTTTAAAAAAAACAAAGCTGAAAAATTTTGTAACCATAGCTAAAGCAACCGAATAAACAAGATATAACAGTTATTATAAACATTATCCAGGAACTTATAAACCACAAATAATAATGGAGAATTAATACCTTTTGTCTATGGGTTGGATGTAACAGATCACTGAAAGGACTCTTATGTGGCTCGTCAAAAGCTAGCAAAGCCAAAGTACGTTCCAATTCACATAAGATATTGTCATCAGATTCACCAGCTTCGCTCAATCGATCCTGAGCAAACTGTAATGCCTCTTCGATTCTGCCTGTGCGAATCAACTCAATAAGATGCAACTGTTGCAGATGAAAATAAAGATATCTGTCATTGTCCAATAGTTCTGGATGCAACTGATTTACAAGGTCCGTTGCCTCCTGAATACGTCCATTCTGAATGGCATCCCTAATTCGAATCCTATCATCTAAAGAACTTAATTCTACAGTAGGTTCTACTCCAGATTCCTGTTGAAACTTTTCTGCTGCCTCTTTGAACCCCTCTACACGACACGATTCAAAAATTACAACAAGAACGTTTAAAACTATCATACGTGATGCTATTAAAGCAGACTTGCCTGTTACGAGATAATTCATAATTAGATTGTTCATGGAAACACGTTGCGTGTGAGAATTCTCTTCAAGTTTGGCAACCCACTCATCCTTCGATATATTATCTTGTTTCTCCGGGAAGCTCATTGTTCTTTTGTAATTAGCATCGATGATTACGATAAATAAATGTTTAACAAAAGTACAATCGCGAATATAGATTTGTACGAGGTACCTTACAAAAGAAATATCGAGAACTGTTTGACACAACAGCTGATTCCGTGTCGGAACGCAATGTAAATAAAACCAAGAAACGAAGCTAACCTCTATGATATAACTAAATTTAGCCTACTGACGGAGTAGATCGAGTATCTTTTCGATGTAAAAAGCGAAAAACAGAATTCTCGAGCGAATTGAAGTTACTTTGGAAATATTTCAACGTCGTCGGCGTCAAATCGCGGTCGAGATATAAGGGATACAACGTTAATAGCCATACACAACTGCTGTGCAAAATGTGTCTTTATATGTATCGGAAATTGACAATAGGGATTTTCGATTTTGAATTGATTTTTTAGAAAGTTGTTTTTTTTAGGCAATTTTGATCATTTAAATCGAGTGTTTTAATTAACAATCGAACCTTGATTTGTCAAAAATTCTGTAAAATTTTACTTGGATAGCATAATTAAATTTTGCCTTCTTCTTTGTACAATGGAATAACATGTTTTTACGAGAACGATTCTAAAAACGTATTAGAAAATACGTAAGACTTATTTATTCCTCGTTAAGTATAGTTACCAGGAGAAAAATTCTAACGCTTCCTAGGCTTTAGGAACATTTAAGAAAAACGCTTTAGATTCTGGACCACTGATAGGGAATTCCATGTTTTCAATGGCGTTGCCAGAATTTACGGGGACTTCCCGGATCGTAACATAGTTTATGCTCGCGGAGCACTGAAGAATTTTGTCATTTTGTCAAACATGTTCACGTAGAATGCACAATAACTTTAATATGAGTCGCATCTATAAGTATGTATAATCTAAGAACGCGGCATGCAGAAATTTCTGGTAACTCTAAAGAGTGACACCTTTTTATGTATCTACTCTTTGACTATATTTTATCTAGGAATCAAATCACTTACCGAGTTATGAAGGCAACTCGATGATCGTGTTGTTTTCCAAGTTGAGCTCCGTCCAGGTGTACCTCCGACGTATCTTAGGTTGATGATTATATTTTAATTTGTATCTTCACTGCAAAACTGTAACATTATACACAAATAAAAACTTGTAAAACTTCTATCAAACTCGTATCTATCTGGAGCAGAGCATCCCGCCATTTTGATCATATCGGAAGTCGCATTCGGGCGGGAAACAACTCACAACAATTAACGTTGATTTTTAGCCCTCTGTTGGAGTAGTTCGTTAACAAGGTCGGTATATAGGCGAACGCGCAAATGGTTAAAGTTATTGAATTTTTAAAATTCTTAATTAAGTTGTTTTAAAAGTTCTGTATTCTTTGTTGTGCTTGTATACGGGCGCGATATGTAATTACAGTCGTTCGATGTATCCACTGATACTTTGCAAGATGGAGGTTATGTCTGATATTGCGAATTCCAACTTTGAATTATAAACAGGTTAAATATATTTTTATCAAAGCTCGAACAAGAAAAATGGACACAGGAAATTCGACCTCCGGTGGTGACAGTTCCTCGCAGTTGAACTTAGAGAAGACGCCGCGTGCTGAACGAGTAAGATTTATAGGTTAGGATGGTTTCGAATAGTTTTCAGCCATTGCTCTATGGGTTTGTTTATTTTTCAGAGAGTCACTCGAGGCTCGCGACAAAGAGCTGTAGACAGCGTGACGAAGAAATTCCTTCGAAATTTTGATCCAGAACATAGCGAAAGAGAGAAGCGTAAACTTCATCGGCGGTTATACCAAGGTCACAAAAGACACGCTTTGTACGACGAAAATGGTATTTTCATAGAAACAGGGGAGGAACCGTGCGATTGTTTATATTTGAATTGCTCAGGATGCCATTTCCCCTGCCCCAAATGTGCTTCCACAAAATGTGCTCATGAATGCAGGTTTAGTATAGAAGAGAATTCTACAAGAATTGTGTTTGTTTATAGAAATTAAAAGTGAACATTTTCCATTAGGAGCAATCGTAAATGGACCTATGAATCGATTGAAAACGAAGGTTGTGATATTGTTATAAAAAATCGTTTGTTAAAAGATTCATAATTTTACATACAAAGAGTAGAGTTAAGAGACAAAAGGTAAAAAATGATTGCAGATGTATGTAAGTCAGGATTACATAAATTGTATAGTTCTAAGCTGACAGTTAAGTATAATTGATGTCATGCGAGTACGAAAATGCAATAAAGTTATACACGTGTCTTGTATCCTTTTCAATGTTGCCTTATTGACAACATTGGCGTTTCCTCATTCCCATAGCTCGACGACGTCTAACGAAGTAGACGCTCGGGTATACTGTACTATGTCCAACTTGTAAAATGTAGATATTCGCGGGCAGGAGTAATGCATCGTGGCTCGCATAATCGGCCGACGAGAATCTTCTGAAGGAGAAACACCGAAGAGCAGGGTAGATTTGAAGCGACAGAGACGTGCCGCGCTTAATGCACGTGCGTGTGCACTGTCACACGAAGACGCTATTGATTTTCCCCGGCACTTTTGGCGTAGTGCGCACGTACCTAACGCGCATACACACACACCGTGCGCGCACACGTTACTCTGGAGTGGGGCGAGCCCCGGTGCGGAGGGCGTGCGCCTCGTTCCTCTTCGAAATCATCGTCAAAGTTCACGCAACCGAGTGCCCGGAGAGAAGCGAGTATGGTGATCCTGTGGTCGGTGAAAATCGAGCGCAACATCCGTCGATCGATCCGCTAATTAACCGTCCTAGTCAACGCCGGTGTCTCGAACTACGTCCGCAAGAAGTTACCGCCGAAGAAGAACTCTGCACCAGGTCAGGTGTCGTTCCTGACCACCCGGCTCGAGGAAGCTCCTTTTTCTTCGCAGTGTCTTCTCGCGTAAAAGGTGTCACTGTACGGAAAGACCTTTCCCAACCCTGGTAGCCACGCAGCGTGCATCTGGTGTTTACTGGCCGCGAGAAGACCGCGGTGGTACACGCTGGTGACTCTTCCAGGTGCAGCACAGTTCTTTCCGGGTCCAGGTGGATTTCTTCGCAGAGAGGAGCTCCCACCAGAGCGCCCTCCGCTTGGCCAGGTTCACAGAGACGCTTTATCGTTTTTAGACCCTCCGCGACACATCAACGCGGGTCAATGCGTTCCGGTGATCTTATCGCCCCGATGATGGGACTCGTGGCGCGTTGACGTTTAACCGTGGTCGTGGTTCAGAATTTCTCGTGCTTAGACCTATCTCTGCCGGCTGTGCCGGTCGGATCTTCGTGTACCTTCAGCACCGATCGGCTATCGACTAGAGATTCAACGTAGGAGCTGCTAAAGTTTGCGAACAGTTCTTCGGTATCTCACGCTCTGTCCTTTCGCGATGGACGTTTGTTATTTTTAATATCGTGGTGGATGTTGTTCGACTATGACAAGGGCTCTTTCAAGTATCACTTGTTGAATACATGCAGGTATAGACGCGTGATTATAGGTCACAAGAGGATTGTGGCAGGTATGAGAGGGGGGACGTCGTATTTTTCTCCTCTTTTTTTTTTGCCGCGGAACGGTTTCAATGTTCGAACGTGTTTATCCGTGTCGGGCTTGGACAACAGGTCCTTAATCCCTTGCCAGCGATGAAACGTGCTTCTGTGTGCTTCGTACTCGTTTTGTAGACGAAGAGCACGGGCTAGTGGAATCGAGAAAATGAAAGGCAAACACGTGGATCGGTCCCGAAGTCGAAAACATTTCTACGTTGAGTTTTGAAGTCGGAAGCTGGTAGCGATGGATTCAAGGCGCAAAGTTTTGAATTACTTCGTAGATTGTTTATAATTAGGAGTCATTATAACTCTCTCTCTCTCTGTAATTCAGTCTTCGATGTTTCTCACGGACGTTTCTGTAAATCTACGGAAAGTTCTTCTATCGTCTGCGCGACAGGCTCGGAAAACATCATTATTGGTGGAATTAGAAAGCACACCGGCCAACGTAAACACTTGCTGGCGAAGGGTGCAGAAAATAACTGGATTGTAGGGTTGTGGAGGGTCGCCGACATCTTTCCGCGTGGTCGTGGGCGTTTCACGTTGCTTTGTGTGTTATGCTACAGATAGGTTGAAGTTTAGACGATCTCGCAGAAGGGACCCCGACTGACGGGGGTTAACATCATCGGGACGGCAGATGTCAGGATGCCGGAGCAAAGCAACGACTATCGCGTGGTGGTGTTTGGGGCGGGTGGCGTTGGCAAGAGTTCTCTTGTCCTGCGTTTCGTGAAAGGAACATTTCGTGAGTCCTATATCCCCACTATCGAAGATACTTACAGGCAGGTAAGCCCGATAAAAACACGTGGATCCGATACCTCGTCTTTGTACTCTGTTCTATCGTGTTGCAACAACGAGTCGGAATTAGCCAAGTCTTAGATAGATTCGTTCGTAAACTAGTAACGGCGTATTAAGTTATGATAAATATCTTCCAACATCTATATTCGTTTCGTCTAAGGACATTTAAAGATTTTGTGGACGCTTGATACTTTTGATCGCCGCTGCGTAGAGACGTCCCAGAAATGCTGGAATATTTCGAATCCTGCGCCAAGCAATTTTCAATTCCCATTTTCGATTTATTTTTTCGCGGAGAATCGATCCTTTCTATTATTTTAAATCACGATTACGGGACACATTGTATCGCTAACGAGGCAATCGCGCGGGCCGATAATGAAACAAGTAGCGTAGAATTGGATCGGACATGCGATGCAAGTAGTAGAGGTGCGTCATGTATCAGCCAGCGGTAATAGATTTTCCAGATCAGATAAGTAGCAGGAGCTACCGTGACGTAAACTGCTGACATTTTGCCGATGATTCATTACATGATGCAAGATCATGGCTTTAATCGTGCATCTCTCGGCCATTATCTCGTTCTGTAATCGCGAGATCCGCGTTGAACTAAACCGCGAGCAAACAGTCGATCCTTTCGACCAGCGTTTGCCTATTTTATTTGCATTTCAAATTTATTCCCGACTCGAGTCAATAGGGCTGCCTTATAGATTCAATTCGATTTATTTAAATACGTTTAACTTGTAAATTATCGTCGTAACAATGTATACCGTCTGCATCGATTTGTATATCGATACTAGATTTGTCGATATATCGATTGTCGATTGGTGTGTCAAACATCTACTGTTCTTCGTTTGTACGCGGTATTCAGGGTTTCCCATTAAATGGGAGTATATCTCAGTAGAATTTTCATCTTTTTAGAGTATAATGTCACAGTTTGACAGGAAATCCTCGTGACACCCTGCATTTGAAGACTTTAATACATTAGTAAATAAAAACTAAGTATGAGATAATATTAGGCGCAGAATAATAGTGATAATATTCACGCGCCTAGATAAGGATTAATCGAAACATTTCTTTATCGATAACTTTATCGTATTAGGATTGCACGATCAGTCAATTAGCGGATAGTTTAAGTTATCTGTAACATCGATTGTTCGAAATTTACATTATCTACTAACTGACCGATGCAATCCTACTCGTGAGCACGATAGATAGGTCAACGAAGGTTTAAAAGAAAAGAGCGCATGCCGTCCAGTAATTAGCGATACCACTGGAAATCAACCGATTCCTCGGTAAAAGGCAAACCGAAATTGTGGAATGAAATTTTTCGTACGAAGCTTCGTTTTCGAAAAAGGTCTGCGTCGGATATCCATTAGCCTGTACAAGTACGAACCTTATTAAAATTAAACGAATTAAAAACCCATTTCCCCGTAAACGAAGTCTCGCACAAAAGGTTTTATATCGTACATTTTTCGACTTACTTTTTAACCTCGAAATAATTTAGTTTACTCAATCGAGTATAAGAGTTTTATTCGTTTATACATTATTAATTAGTAGGTACTACATTGCGTTTCGTATCAAATTAAGTTTGTTAATTTAGTTCAATTATCGTCGAAGCTTTCATTTCACGCAAGCGGCCGAATTACTATGTTCGCCGGTGAAATTTAAAAAACGGTTCGCCGATCGTACGAATTTAGCGGTAGAGCTTCTCTTATTACGTCGAAGCAAATAAGTGGTCTCGATACGGTCGTTTTCGCGTTTGAAGTTATAAGTAACAAAGTAAGATATTTGTAGCTTTCGAGGCTCGGGTTCTGACAGTTGATGCCGGTTGAAGTTTCCGGGTGTGAGGTGTGTCCTTTGAGGAAAGTGTTCCGTCGTTTCTCCGTCATTGCAGCTACCTTCTTCGGGAATCGAATGACACACCGATACGTCGTACCAGCGTGTCATACAAACCCCGAAGAAGCAGGCTACGATGTTGGCGAAACGTCAGAACACTTTCCTCGAAGGACACCGATTGTTAAGTGAGGAATTTGGAGGAGAAATATTCCCACGGAGGACTAATTAGAGCCTAAACTTTTAAATTACAATGAAATTTACTTTAGTCGTGAGTTTTCCGCGTACCTAATGAAAAATTACCTCAATTTAAATTAAAAGGTTTGTCGTGTAAAGACTGCTCGGGTCAATATGACCCGGAATACGAAACAGCGCCGGGAGCCCTAAACTGTTGTTTTCGTTTTGTCCGTCGTATTAAGTAAACTGTGGCGAAAACAAACCAACCTCACCGTCGCCCGTTGCAAACATAGTACAACTAGGGAACGTTTAGAGAATCGGAGTTCCGTTTTACTTTATTAATTTGGTCACGTTGGGTCCATTTTGGAATCGGTTTTTTCCATCGGTTGTGTCGCGAATCACTGAACGGCCATGTGAAAGAAAAAATGCTTCGTCAGTGAAACTGTTGAGACCCGTGCTGTGCGTACGAGACGCGTGACGGAGGGAACAGTGAAACAAATGGGACGACCTGGTGCGGTATTTCAGGTGATAAGCTGTAATAAAAACATATGCACGCTTCAAATTACGGACACAACGGGGTCTCATCAGTTTCCCGCGATGCAGCGGCTTTCCATAAGCAAAGGTCACGCCTTCATCCTGGTGTATTCGGTGTGCTCACGGCAAAGCCTCGAGGAACTACGACCGATCTGGGCCATTATTAGGGAGCTCAAAGGACAGGACATATCGCAGATACCTATAATGCTGGTAAGGCTCGCCATTCTTTCGCGGTTACACCTTTCATTTGCTGGTTGGGAGTTTTGTCTCTCCAGGGATTATTGTTTTGGTCCGAGACGGGAAATCCGTACATCGGAGTAAGGCACGTTTTTGGGAACTGGGGCTCGTCGAATCTCTCGAATATTCCAGTATTCCGCCACGTCGGTGATTTCGAACATTTTCGAATCAGAATTGGGCAGAATTTAATTCAATCAACGATTTATTAACGATCGTGTCGAACTCTGAACGCCATTCGAATGCTATACGAATATTTCGTGCATTGATCGATACACTGCGGATGTTACGCATTCGTCATAAATATTTCTACCGATCAAACGTCCGGGTATTCGCAGTATTCGAACAGCGTGGCACGGACTATAAACCTTCGTTGTTTATTTTTGTTTTTTTTTTTTCTAAACCGAATATTAGCGTCGAAAAGATTTCTGTGGAGTGTCAAAACCCTAACAAATTCACAACATGCAAATTTACGCTGTGCGTGTATCAAGGACGAAGTGTATAAAAAGGGTAGATCAAAGTATTTCTGTCGCTTTTGAAGAAAAAATTTCAAAGCACAAAGTTGCACAGTTCAGAGGTGCGAATAATCGTTTTCAAGGCCGTTTCACTACGATATTTCAAGGTTATCGAAACTTTTTAAACGCGTTATCGTCGCTCTCCTTTTGTTACATCCCCGTAAGAGGCTAACGATTAATCGTACGACTCCGTAAACAGCGGAAGTAAACAAATTCGTAGGAACGCGATGGAAACGGCGGTGTTTCGGGATTGATTAATTCAGCAGCGCGCTGGTAAACTCGTCCCGGTTTATTTATGAAAATATTCCCCGAAGCAAGGGCATGAAAAAATTGAACACAGTTTGGATATTCATAAGTTCGCCGTTAACGTATGACAAAAAAGTTAGTACGTTATCGTAGTTTCTGGTATTAAATTCTCGACGTTTCCGGGTTCTCGTAAAACCAATAATCACAAGTTTTGTATAAATCATTATTTATTGCTAAGAATATAATTAATGTCTTTTCGTTTGACACCATCATCAATCAGTACATGTACAAGGATATTTTACAAGACCATCTCTTCAGAAAACGTAATTTTCATGCATGACCGGGACTCTAATCACACTGCTAAAAGTGTAAAAAATTGGCTCAGTGCTAACAAATTTTCTGTTCTGAATTGGCCTGCATAGAGCCCCTCAATCATACATTTGTATAGCAGAATTCAAGAACAGTGGAAACAAATATCACCAGATTATCGCAGAAAATTAGAGAAAGTATGATTGTGGACAAAATATTAAAAATAAATAACATATTAAATACTGACGAGTATTGGACGTGGTGCAAAATCGAGTCAATTTATTCTTTCTTTTATTGCCAAATGAGAAGATATTAACAACTAAAAAAATTTCTTGTGTTATTTTTAACCGTGATAAAAATAACTATAATATTTATTTGTGGTTATTGGTTCAGTTTTGCTCCTCACTGTACATCCCTAATACACTGGGGTATATATTTCAAAAATTATTATTGCGTCCTCCTTGAAACCAAGCTTGGCTCCGATCTTCTCATTCCTGCTGTCCCGTTTAAATACCTCTTCCTGTATTTAACTTCTCGATCAACGTTTCTTCCCTCTTGTTTCTAACAATACCACTTGGAATCCTTCTAAACATGTGTACCCTTGGCTTTCCATCAGGTTGGGAACAAATGCGACGAGAGTCCGTCGGTCCGCGAGGTGTCCGTGAGCGAGGGTGCAGCGGAGGCGGCGAACTGGGGCTGCGGGTTCCTGGAGACCTCCGCGAAGACGAACCACAACGTGAACGCCCTGTTCCGGGACCTGTTGTTGCTCGAGAAGAATCGATCGGTCTCGTTGCAGCCCGTGCAGAGCAACAACGCGATCAGCCTGAAGGAGAAATGCATGGTCATGTAACCAACCGCGTGCAGAATAGGCAGGATATCCGAATGTTGCGACGCGAGGTGTACGTAGGCGACGCAAATCGAAGAGGGCAACGTTCTCTCTGTACTCGACACCAGAAACGTTTGCCGCTCGTTCCTCGACCCGGCATGGTCATCGTCCATTGTAGTCTCGGCGTGATCAATGGGTAAAGTAAGCGAAACTTGCGTGAGCGAAAGGGACGATAGGTATCCGCGAGATATCACGCGTCGCGCAACGCGCGGTCCAATGCTCTTCAGAGTTGTTGCAGAAGGTCTGGGATCTTCTATTATAAACGAGGATCCGACGATGATTCACCGTTGTTGCTCGGAGGGACCTGTCCCGATTGTTGAAACGTTCGTTGTTTTACGATGCATTAGACCCACGTTGCGCCACCACTTTCTAACCGAATGTACTCTATACTATTGATAGATTTTTTAATTTTGATACAGAGCGATGTACTCGGTCCGCTTCCTAGGTTCCACGAGACCAACGACAACCACGCGTTTTCTCATTCTACACGAGTTGGCTCGTTAGTCGGGGAACAGCCTCGTTTGGTAGGCCAGTCGTGTACGCGCCCTTAACCATTTGTCTCGAGCTTACTACACGGAAGGGATCGTACCGAACGAATCGGCCGACTCTGAACCAGGGCCAAATTAAGATTTCGTTCGAACACTGGGTTATAGGAATATCTGCGAAAATCCCAGGAGAAGTTTAACGTAGAATAAACCTGCGATCGTCGTTCGCTATTACATTTTTAATCGTTTCTTCGATGAAAATGTAATAACCTGAATGCAATGTAGAATTCGTTATGGGTCAAATTGACCCGTCGTTCGCCTTTCGCGCGAGTGTTACGGTCCGTGGCCCTCCAGCTGACGACGGTACTGCGGGTTCGCGAGCTTTCATTGGCGCTTGTATCCCCACTCTGGTTCAGAGGATGGGGCGGAGCAAGAAAAGTGCTCCCGCTAGTCGACTTCTCGCGAACGCGCAGTACACTAGCCCCCTTGGGTCCAATGCCTTGACTCGGCCCTGGACACCGACCGTACCGTGGTACGGATATACGTACGTCGAGATCGCGTCACTCGACAAGCGGTCGTCCCTTTCGTGACCAACGAACAGGTGGATTTTTCTGAAAGAGCAATCAGTACAAAAGCGCTCGAAGTCGACCACGTATCAATATAAGAAGAGGCACCGAACTCGTTCCGTTGAACCCGCTCTTTCACGAAAATCGTCGCGTCGCGCTGTCCGAGACTACTGCATGATGACTTTGGGTACCGGTGTCGTAGGCAATTCTCCGTAGAACAAAACGACGGGGGGGTCGGGAGGGGGGTAAGGGGGGGGGGGGTACGTTTGAAAGATCGTAGAAGAGGCGAATACACGAACGAGAAAACGACAGAACTAAATAAAAGTTGTTACGAGGTTGGTTTTTGTTGAATAGTTGTAAGGTTTTTGTAACGACGCTAATTAGGATTTATTACTCGACACGTCGAAAAAGTTCAGAAACACGTACACAGAAACAGAAGACTCGAGCGCGCAGGAACGTTTACACGAGAGCACGTACACACCGGCCATACACCCAGGCTTTACGCACACAGATACATTAGGCACACGCGTTTCTCGCGTTGACCCAGATTTTAGTGTTTTCCTCCTGTATGTCGTGCACACGTAGAACCGCAAGCGTGTTAGTCTTTACGAGGAGACGCTAATTAAAGGGACTCGTCGCGATGGGCTCGTTTTCCCCTCGACGATTTTCGTTCGCCGCGTTTATTGCCGCGGTACTTCGGCCAGAGAAGTTCGAGACAATTTTTTCCCCCCGGCGATTCTCGGTCCTCGGAATTTTTGACATTTTTATTGGGCCCCGTTTGATCCGGCGCCCACTCGAAACGAGCAAAAATCGGGTCGATGGCTCGAGATCACTACGGACACACATAGACCAACGTTGGACGCGATCTCTCTTCATCGGTTTCGACAATTTGTCTCCGCTTCCTGTCGGTACCTTGTCCGCGAGATCCGGTTGAACCCTTGGTAATAGTTTCTTCTTCCCATTGTCAGGAATTGATACGAATATTAGTAAAGCAGTCGCGAACCTCTCGAAAAGATCTATTTAAACTTCGATGATAGATTATTCTCCGTTCGGTCAGGGATTAATATCGACAGTCACGATAGTTTTCTTTCCCGACGATGTTTCCGCGATGGCGGAAACAAACGCTTATCCCGCGAGGCACGAGTGGACAGAACATAGACCAGAACTTTGGCCAATAGTCGTCGTTGACTGATCAATGATTAAACCTTTTCAGTGGATATCAACGAATTAAGGTTACAGCCACTTTGTAGTCAGTTTATATTTGCTAGTCTGTCCGCTCGTCTAAACGTGCAGCTTCGTACTATAGCTTTAAGGGTAAAACATTCTGCCCAACGCAGATTTTATCAAAGAGACGAGAGTCGTACCGCGGATATTATGATTCGATAGAGATCGATCGTCTTCGCTACGATTATTACGATTATTAATATTATTATGTACCACCGAACGCTAGCGGTTGTTTTACGGGGACGTAAACATTGTAGGCAGACGCAGGGAGAGACATATCCCGTGTAATTGTTGAGCGGACGAGATGATTGTTGTTAAGCAGATACGCGCGAAACGAGGGCCGGTTTCATACCGTTTCAGCGTTTCCCAAATCCCGTGGTGTCCGTATTATCTTGCTTCCGACAAGCAAACGGGCAATGAATATAGAATACGTAGAGTACTATAAACGTAGATTAATTCGTGGTAATAATTTGTTATTCGCGTCGACGTAGGGCTCGATACAGATATTAGGAAAGCTTTAAGGAAAGATCTGTTTTAACATTGGTAATAATTTAAGGCTTAATACAGATTTTAACGATGAAAGAAAGATGGCGTCAACAAGATCTATCTTCGTCCAAGATACTAAGTAGATTGCATTGTCGGAAGAAATAGCGATGAAAGGATATTAAAATCTTTCGACAAACACTTCATTATACTGTTAAGAACATTACGGATAATAGGGACGCGGTGAAGATTGTTACTAATACTATTTTAACTAACGAATCTCTGAAAGCATGGTAATAGTAGAGATTAGAAGAAGCTCTCGCGTAAAGAAAGGGCGAACAATTTTTCATTTTACCGTTAAAGAAATGCCACGGTTGGTTTCCGGATGCCTTATAGCCTGGGAGACGCTGGACGAAAGCACAAACCTTCGCTGAAAGGTGGCTCGTGCGAATCTTTTCATAGAGATTTTAATAATAGTATACGCGACAGCTTCGTTTACTATTCGTACAGTCAATCGACGAAACTCCTAGGCATATATGTAAATTGTACATAAGATTTTCTATATTCGAGTTAGGGCGTCAGCTGTTCGAGATATTTGCACCGTTTCAGTTATCCGGGATGGCGAAATTGACAATTATTTTTTAAGAGGTCCTTTTCTCAAATAATGATACAACCTAGCGTGCTGCCTTAACCCGTTGATTAGGGACGGTCAGTTCACACCGACACCAATTTTTAATTGTATTATAACGTTTATTTTAAGCGCGAATCGTTTTATTCGTATTTTACTAGGCGCACACGGTGAAATTACCCAGTTGCAGGTTCGGTGTCGATTCTTTGACAACCAGATATCTGTGCATTAATGTATATTGACACGTATTCGCTGTTATATTTAGAAACAAGGTTAACCAAAGTCTAGTCAAAGGCGAATCTGACCTTATGAAATCGACCCTCGACAGGCTAAGACAGGAGCTCTGGGCGAGAAAAGAAACAGAAATGTTCGCGTGAAACCACACACACACATACAAACACATACACATAAACACACGTACACGAAACACGTGCACACAAAAGTTAGAAGTTTAACAAAAATTGTATCCTCTGATTTTTTCGGGGCCAATCGATGTGATTAACACACGAATCGTGAGCTTCTTCCGCGCGACGGTAGGTCGACTTCCGTTCCTTTCGCGTCTTTGCAGAATTCTGCGAATTCATTGATTTCGATTGGATCCTTCGGGGCACGCGGCCGCTCGACCCGTTTCCGTATTTTTGACGACTTTTATCTCTCTCTCGAGAAATTCGATTTTCTATCTACCCCTTTTTTACGATACGACTACCTCGACGTGGTCCCTTTTAGCCGGTTTTAAAACGTCTCGCGTACTAACGATTCGTCCTATATCTCAAGGAGGGCCGCGAACCTCGAGGGATTCATCGTCAAGTTCGACGTTTGTTTCGCGTGAAACCGCCGAGACGAAGATTTCTTTCCATTCGACCGGGGATGTTCGATTCTCGTGATAATTATATTTCGAACGTTACGAGAAAATATTTTAATCTTGCGATCGTTGACGCGCAATGTCACCAGCTTTCGAAAATAATCGTTCTACTGGCACGAACATATCCTATAATAACGAGTACTCGACGATGATTCTTCTTATCGAATGAAATTTCTACTCGACGAGAGGTTGGACGAGACTCGACTCTTGATCGATAGGAATTTGATGTACGAGGATAGGTTTAAGAGATCGATAAGTCGCCTTCGTGGGGGATCAATTTGTTGGAAAATTGATTCGGGATCGAACATCCCCGCTTTCGACGCCGACGAACGCGGGCCGTTGTCTGTGTTTGCGCACGCGCGATGGATCGGTCGCGCGCTCGAGAAGGTCGATCAGTCGCCGAGCCGAACAGCGTACATCGAGAGCACAAATTTTTATCGCGTTGTATCGATAGCCACGGCACGCACGACCACGAATATACAGACCTCGATGGATCTCGAACGATATTACGCTTTATTTTTTATTGTGTGTCCAGAAACGTCCGGCGTACTTTGATATTTCAACAACGGATCGGTGTCGCCGTTGTTCGAGGACGGAGACAGACGTTTCCGACGACTGCAAAGAAAATACTATGGAGATAACGCATCCAAATAAGTAAAATTAATAGAGAAATTGTTAAAGAAAAGAAAAAATAATGTATTATCGTATCGAGGATAATTACCATAGAACACGAAGGATCCAAGTATTATAAGTATCTAGAAAATGTGATAGAAAATTGTAACGCTTAATTAGCGTCAAAGCGACTAGAGCTTTTGATTCTTAACGGAACGACGCAGGTTCGTATCCTTCCAGCAAGGATTTTTCTCTATACTTTTTCCTGGAATTCACGTTTACGACGACGAAGTCAATTGAGTAGATAAGTTTGACAAAATAGCGTCGAAGAGGTAAGGGGAAAATAGCACGAAAGTAGCAACGGAACATAAAGAAGTAATATACGATAAATAATGGAGAAGAAATATTAGAAGTACCCTTACCGTAGGAACGCGAACGACTTTGAATAATATAAGCAATCTAAGAAACACAGATAGTAGTAGATATCGGTGGCAAAGTGTGTCTGTGACGCTCAACAGTGGCCGGAATTTTCAAATCTTCACCGTTTAGAGTTTAGTAGAAACTTTTTCTGTCATACGTTTCTCCGCGAGATCTTCCAGTAGCGTAATTTGTCCGAACGGTCTTTAGGAAAGGCGCGAATTCCCGGTTCGTCTTCGAATAACGGCTTCCGGTCGGAGAAAAGAGAGACGAGGTCGTCCGTGCCAAAAATTCCGTTGTCCGTTATTTATGGAGTTTACTTAGGCTTAAGCTTGTTGTTAAGTGATCGATTTTAAAAAAAAACACCACACACAAGTTTTCTTCATATCCGTGTCTTCGTTGGTTCATACGACAGAACGAAAAGATTGTAACGACCACGAGCATGCTTGCTACACTTCGCTTTCCCGCAGAAAATTCATCGATGTAAAGAAGAAGTCTTTTAAGGATTAAGGAATTTTAAATCGCGAACGCGTCAAAGGTGGGGGATACTCGAAAAAAAATGTAAGCAGATACATAGTAATAGAGTTTATTGTAACCCTTTCGGTGCTGTGGGCACGCCAGCGACGTTCAACGAATACGATCGACGAAGATTTGACAAACATTACCGGGGTCGAACGTGTTGTATCAACGAAATAATCATATCAGTATATCATATCACCATAGCCATTGAATCTCAGGCTCAGGTCCAAACGTTACAATAATACACAGTTGTAAGTCGTGGAAATTGTCGGTGGATCAAACGAATCTCGATAGAGCTTAATCCCCACCTTTGATCGGTCACTCACGAAGAGAAACGAAGGAATCACATATCATGGCTGCGCGTTCCACTGTGTATACTCGCGAGATAGAATGCGTCTAGAATGGCACGAAGAACGTTTCAAATATTTAGCGAAAGAGTACGAATAGAATGACCGATTTTATTGTTGCGACGGCTCGTTCATTATTATCCACTCAAACCGTTTTAATCGGCTACGAAATCTGTACTCGTGAAGGATAAACCGCGAAAATTATACAATCTTGATTCTTGGCAACAGACTTTTTTACTCGAACCATCGACGTCGTTTCCTTCCTCGCCATTCCCCGCTACTTTGCAGAGCTGAAAAGCCACGGACACAAATTTTCGTCAAAGACACAGGTCGAGTATTGTCTTTCCAGCTCTGCACAATGCGCCCTTTGCCCTTTTGTTACTTCTTTTTTCGTACATGTGTTTAAATTCTCTTCGACGTCACACGGGAGCAGCAAGCTTTCAGCTTTATCGTTCTCCAAAAATCTGGTACACCAAGCGGCCATTTTGTAGGAGCACCGTTTCCGCGAGCTGTCCATCGATTTAGAAAGTTTACATACAGGCATTGTCTTACATCCATCGAAACCACATTGTTTTTCTAATCGATAGTGGAGCATATTGTTTAACTTGCTCTCCAAATGTAAAAACGTACTTCATCTTGTGCTACGCGTTGATATCTCTAACCACTCCTTCGACTTCGGTCTTCCACACCATCCCCGTATAAAATTAGATTTTAATTCCAATACAGAAGTCATGGAACACAGATTTTGTTACACCGTGATCGAATAAATATTTTTTCCGGGGTCCACGAGTAACTCGCGCGAAGACAGCAAGTCCAAAGGATGGTACCTCGCGTCCCGATAAAGTTTATTTGGATATTGTCGACAGTTTTCTCGAAAATATTCATGAGTATCGTCTATTTTCGGAGCCCCCCTTAAACAGACTCGTATCGTCGTAACGCAAACATGACTGCTGAATCGATCGATTGGCGAAAAATAGACGAATCGCACGGCCGTTCGATGAAGAAGCGTGTCTTTTGGTTACTTGGTGCGTGGAGAGTGTCAGGAGGCCAGAGTCGCGTAGCCAGAGGCGGGTAGGAGTGGCGAGGAGAGTAAACATTAGTGAACCAATCGTCGAGAAAGGGTGGTCCAGTGGATGTTTGTCTTCCTGCTATTCCGGGGGATGCTGGAAGCACGTAGCGCGACGTTCCCGGAGCCAATCGCGAACGATCCCGATGGAGGAATCCGAATCTCTGCCGCGAGATTTCTTTCGGCGAGTTGGCCACTCAGTCGAAGATCAACGATCGTCGAAGGGCTCGTCGAGAGTCTAAGTCTTCGAGTGCCTCGGTGTTTCCCGACGACGATGGAAAGAAGAAAGACATAGATCGGTCAACGACGAGCACAAAATCGTTCCCGAAGATCATGCTGCGCGGGAAGAGCAGGAACAAGTCGGAGAACGCGGAGGACGAGGGCCAGGCGAAACAGAGGAAGCCGAAATGCGCGCGTTGTCGAAATCACGGCCTGATCTCTTGGCTGAGGGGTCACAAGAGGGAGTGTCGTTATCGCGAGTGCCTCTGCCCAAAATGCTCTTTGATAGCGGAGAGACAGAGGGTGATGGCGGCCCAGGTAAGGTCACTCAACGAGGTTAAACTATAGCGATCGCCTAAATTAGCAGAATAGAAACAGAGAAAGCTACGGATAAACAGCTGATGGTAATCCATTGATAGAGCTACTCAAAATCCCCACAGTTTCCCGCCATTAATACTCGAAAAACAAACACACAAAAACATTCCGTAACATCGAACGGAGGGAAACTGCAGTTCGCCATGTACAGTAGGTCACTCGCGAAAGAAAGATCACTGTGATCAAATCTTTGCAGCCTTTGCATGTGATACGAATGCAGGCGTTCATCATGCGGTAGTCCCCCAAACAATCGCGTGATCACTGTTCTCCATTCTTGCAATCATTCAAGCCGTATCTCTGTCATTTTGGCGGATGCAATTGAGAACTCTTCCGAATCTACGGATCTAGCGGTTCTAGGGCTTCCGCCAGCAGAAGGACGTTTTCGTAACAAGCCAAAAGGCCGCGGGCGCTCGTGTATTCTTTCGAATATTTTCCTGCTCGTCAATCTTCTGGCATAAAGTTTTAATCAGCGAGACTATACATCAAATCCGCCATTTCTGCGTTTGTGTAAGTTGCCACTATCACAGAATTAAGAGTGTTTATAAACAACCATTCACACAGGAGGCACGAAGCAATATTTTCCAAATGTTTTATATTTCTGACATTCTTGAGCTGACCTTTTCATTCAAAAACCATAGACGCATCGAATTAACGAATTTTTATTTTAACGTAATTGACGGTACGCGCGCGGTGTCGGTTTCAGTTTGGCGTCGCAAAAGGGTTAATGAAGCGTCTCGGCAAACAGGTGGAACCATGAACAAAAAAAGGTCAATTTGCTGCGCGTATCGTTGATTCGAATCACCTTCGATATTTAACGGAGCCGATTCGCCCTCTGTTATTTTTCAGTCAGGAAAAACAGCACATTGTTGTCGCCCTCGTTGGATCGCGTCGGTGGTTTTGCCGACGACAAAGGGTGGCAACAGAGATTCAGTTTCATTCGTGGCATTTGTGCTACTCGATCTTCCCCTCCTCTGCCGCGGAAAAAGTCGATCAACGAGGGGGGCCCGGAGGGGGAATTAAATCCATTAACGCTCGGTGTAGCGTTTCATTTTTGTTTGTACAGGCATTACGATACTCGATACTTTGTCCACGGTGGCTTTCGAATCGTCCACGATCGACGCAGATCGTTACCCACCGCGGCATCCGCGGACAAAGACGAATATCGAGACCGAATCTATCAGATAATGTTTACTTCATATAAAATTTATTAACTGAATTCTATTCAGATTCATTCTTTTAACTCCTGTCGCCCACGTATGGTAAGAGTTCCAAAGATCTCCATATTTGTTGATCGTTTATTCCAAATTGAAGAACGGTACTTCATAATCTTCTTCCAACGTCGAGATTCTTAATCCCAGTTGCTTCGTTGTTCCCTTTCCACTGGGAAACATAAAATCTAAAAGTGGGATTCTGTCAGACTTCCTTGACGATCTCCGATGTGAAACAATATAGTGGGTGGTCCAGCCGGGAATAACGCGTGCCAAATGGTCCCATATGTATCTCTATTGACATTGGCCGTTAAGAAAACACATATGCAGTATCGTCTAAGCGGCGGGTCCATTTATAAATTGGAAGCCGAACCCGTGATCCGATCCGACTTCGTTTCTGTCGTTGCAACAAACCTTCCGTAACTTCTCCCCGTCACGCGACTGATAACGCGTGTTTATCGCTGCGACAAGGTGGCCCTGAAGAGACAGCAAGCGGCCGAGGACGCGATCGCCCTCAAAATGGCCAAAGTGGCGACCGGTCAGAAGCTCAATCGACTTCCGCCGGGGAAAATATTCGGAATGGCTATCACCGAGCCTAAGCCCGCGACAGAAGCCAACCAGGATGCCGATCCTCCTCACAAAGAGGACGAGAAGGCGTCGGAAGACTCGAGGAAGGACTCGTCAAGAGACCAGTGCCACGAGCCTCCGGTACGTACCAAAAAGAGCTAATTTACAACGTAGTTATTTGAAAATTTATGTACTTCTCCATTAGTTCGTTATTTTTTAAATGCTCTAAAGAAAGGTTGATTTCCATTTACCAATTTGGTAAAGATCAACATTACGTGAAATAATTCAATTGAGATTGAGAGCCCACTTAAGGGTTAAAGATTGTTTACTAATGAAAATATGGCCTCCAACGTCGCAGCTGGTAACGTGAAACGCCCTTGGTATTATAAACTGTTTCACAGTCGATCTCGGAAGACTTCCCAAAATACAAGAGCCAGGTGTTCAGCGGGAACAGCCCGGACGACGCGAAGGAGGCTAGCGTGTCGCAGACCTCGGTGGACACTCTGGCACGTCTTTTCCCCAACACGAAGCTCTCGGTGCTGCAGCTGGTGTTGCAGAGATGCGGCCAGGACCTGTTGAAGGCGATCGAGTATTTCGCCAGCGACAGTTTTGGCATCGGTTCGAGCACGTACTCGTCGGCTTTTCGACCGCCGGCGCAGAGCATCGCCGAGGCCAGGCCGAACGAGCAGCTCGCGAACACGATGCTGGCGCCAATTTACTCCAGCCTGTCGAGGAGCTTCTACGGGGATGGTTATTGCTTGTTGAACATCGTCCCGGAACAATTCCCAAAGAGCATCGTCGCGGACGCGTTGCCCATCAAGAACAATAGCCATCAAGAGCAGGATAGCGTTGCCCTGAACATTCAGTATAACAGTTACTTTCATTCTGGGATGCAGCAGCAGCTACGGGATCACGTTTACGCACAAGTCACGGACCACCTTTCTCCCAGGCCCGGGTTCCTCCACTTGCCATCCATGATGTCGGGGATTCCCTGCGTGCAGCCCAATTGCCCTCAGTGCAGCTACAAGTTCCCCTGAATCGGTAATGCGTGTATAGTGCTCGGATCAGATATAACAATCTCGTAAAGACCGTAAAGGTGAGTCCTCGCGTAACACCAACACTTGGACGACCATTAAATTTTTATTCGCGACCCCAATTCGAAGTATGTTGTGGTTCGAGCAAGCTCCCTAATTGTTTAAAAAGTACGGACTTCCGTTATTCGTAGTCTTTAGAATTTATCAGTTCCATGAATTTGTTTAAGGGTTAAGGAGCGGCTCTAAATTGTTAACAAAATTTTCGACGTTTCTTTTGAAAGAAACAAGAATATGTATAAATACGAAAGTAGAATCTCCCATTAAATTTTTTCCCAGCGGTGGCTAAACACCATGTATACGTATAGGTGTACAAATTTTGTTATGTTCGCGTAAAGAATTTTTTAAGAGGCTCTAGGAAATGCTATTTTGTCGCGTTTACGTATTTCACACTTGTAGCCGTCTGACGTACGAGAAGAAAGGAAAGTATTAAATTATAAGGGTCTTGCTATTGTACGAACCCCCAAATATGCAGAAAAAGTCAAAGATTTTTCAAAGGAATCGAAATGTATAATATTCTAACGTGAATTAAAACATAGCCGAAACGCTAATAAAAGCTAAACTACATATCAAGTTTCCCCCTGACATTTTACTGGGTACTTTTACTATCAAGATAAAGTTATTGGGTTGGAAGTATAAATTGTGGAGAGGCCTAACAGCGGTGCCCATGGAAAAGTTTTAGAAAATAAGGTTGGCCGTCAACGTGTTAGAAATACGAGAGAACAAAATTCCGTGGCAAAAAAATAAAAGAGATTCTAACCTAGATCCATTAAGTACGGCCTTATAGCCAACAAACTGCTTTTCAGAAGGGAAAAACACGTTTCGCGGCTTATACTCAACGAGGCTTAACGGGCCACACGAGTGTGCCTCGAGTAGATTGTTATATTTGTTCCTCGTATTATACACCAGTGCTATCCAACACGAGCTACGATACTTAGGGATATTTCCTCACTCTGTTTTCTCCGTTAAAGGGCTTTTCGATTTATGCTGGCACGATAAGTCCTAAAAAAAGGTCCAACACTTTTAGCAACAACCTACAGGGTATATAAAAATAGATCAATCGACAACTTACGGTAAATAACCGATTATAATTCTTCTTAGCCATCTGATGGCTTTATTACTTCATCGAGTGCTGGGGGATGATTTTGTCACATATATCCAGGATCTGACACTATTAAAACACGATTCAACGTAAACGAACCATTGATGAATAAAAAGCTACTGAAATTTCCCAATGTCCTCATTTCTGGTGCATTTCTTTAGGGCGTACATTTTTCTTTTTTCGATGCCCCACTACGAACGAGGCGGAACGTATTACTTGCCGGATTTAATTAAGGAGACACGTCGCTTAATTAGAGTGATGTGGGCGTTTGCGTGCAATTAGAACAGAAAATCTGTCAATGGCGAGCACTCGGTAATGACGAAATCTAAGGTGGGCGGTTCCACGGTTCGAATGAATCGTGGCACGTTATTTTATCATGCAAGTCAATGGTTTCCAAACTCTTTGAACGATAAATTCACAGGCAAAGAATGCTCGTCGTTTGAAACGTTTTATCTGGATGAGAATTTTGCCCATCTCTGGTCGTAGTCAATTACGCCGGCGATTAGTCGCACGAATCTTGAGCATTATTGGCGTTATCGTGTGTGAAATTTCCACGTGGATTTAACGAGCTCCGCGCGAAGGCGAGCCACGGAGAGTTGATATCAGAAAGGGGGATATCCGTGATCGGTAGACCTTAATCTTCAAAGTTCAGCGCAACGAGTTAGGCCAAGTGAAGCGTGCCCGCGGCACGCATCACTTGCTTCAGCGTCGAGAGCTTCTCTCTCTTTACCGATTGACCTTTGACCGTCAAGCGTGAAATAAAACCTGTTAGAATAGTCCTCGGTGACCGTCAAACTTCTACAAGTCTAGTAATTTATTTTTCTACACAGACAGCTTTGTAACTTACATCGATAATCGGTTAGCGCAATACACCGAGTGTTTTTTACCCTTTACAAGGAGAGTAAACATCGATCTTTTGACCCGCAAATATTAGCAAAATACGTAACGTTTAAAAAAACGAATAATATAAATCGCTGTAACTTCCATTTTTAAGAAAAGATTTACTTCATTGACTTATACTAATATATATTAGAAAACCTCTTTAAGAGAGGTATCTTGCGCAAGTATTTATGAAACGGGGAGAGTTTTCTTTGGAAACTGGCTATAAAGTTTCACAGCAGCTATCGTGCACGCTAAACTAATAGGGCGGCAGTAATCGAGTTAGAAAGATTCAATTGTCTGTATAAACAGTGCCGATATCGTCGGGCAACTGTCGATGCCCGGAAGTGGTTTACTTTGGCTTTGGTTTTGGGAAAAAGGCAAACACTTGGCTCCCTCGGGGAATCCACGATCCATCGTGCTTTGAATCGCGAGGAACTGAACACCGTGTGCTAAGAAACGTAATCCATTCACAGAATCTTTCAAATTCAGCTTCCGTTCGTGATAAATTTCACGCAACAGTTGGAGCAAAGGGTGCGAAAGAAACAAACACTGGAGTAACATGAACAACAATAAGAACAGGTTTTTCATTATTTATCTTTATTTGGTTCTTTAATAAACGTTTCACAGAACGTGAATAGAATTTATTTATTTTTTGGTACGTATACGATACGAATATACCAAACATCGCATTCTTTATACCATCTTTAAGAATAAATGGTTATCTCGTTAATCAGTTTTGCGCTAGAATAACCAATATTGTTACTATTAATTATTCTATCTGATCTATCCACTGTGTAAACGTTATGTAAAACTATTAATCTTGCAATTCAGGATAATGCGTGAAAACGAATCGAAAGATTAGTAACGTTTACAAGTGTAAACTAGATTCGATGTACGTCGCTATCGTCTTGGGTACGCCTTTTGCGTTGAAAGTAACGCACAAAAAAATAGTCTTCGTCGGGTGCAATCGGGACGCGCGCGATATGCTTTCACTCCTCGCAAAGAGATATGTACACAGATGGTAGTTTCCTCGATTGTATGTATATTTTCTGTTACTTTTTAGCGAAATCGTGCGTCCCTCGCACAATGCTCGCCGCCATTTTCAACGACATCCAATTTAAAATCGAAGATGTGGCTTGTTCTTGATCATGTGCCTGTAAGAATTGGTGTTATTAGGTAACAAATATCGTATAAAATATACACTGTTCGAACGACTATAAAGTTAACCTACTTTAGCCGCGGATCACTTTCAATCTCACAAAATATTTACACAATACTTACGTTCTTTTCGGACCATTTGATCGTTACAATGGAAATGTATTTCAATTTTCAAAATAAAAAGATTATACGTACTCAAATTATGATATCGGTTAAAAATAAAAGCTGCATTCTTCGTAAAAAAATTCACGCACACAGGAGGGAGGGGGGCAACAAAATGGCCACAGGGTATCACTCACTCACGAAATGGCGCAAAACCATAAAAATTATCATTTTTAAAAGGAAAAAATAAATTACTCTTCGTTCTTCGTAAATGCAATATGCTACTTTTTTGTATAATGTATAGAATCTATTTACAGCCTGGTAAAATAAATAGAATCAATTCTGAAATTGACTTTGAATAGAGCAGTAAATATATCAGATATACTTTGAAATCATTAAGTTAGATTTGTATATTTCTACTTAAACCATAAAAAGGGGAACAATTAATCAAAAATTAGTCACTGATCGTTAGCCACTTATTCAATGGCAGCAAAAAAATGTTCTGAAACAACTCTTTGGAGTAACATAAATAGAAAGTGTGCATTGTACATACTTGTCGAGATGTTCCCAGAATACCATTAACGCAGCTCGATCTAAGTGCCTTTTCGTTCGACTCAATTCGATCACCGTCACCGCCCAACGCGCTACGTTCGCGTCTAGCCTCATTTCGTCGTACTTTAAGTGAAAAGCGCAAACTGTGACAGCAAGAACAGCTCGTATTAGATATTTTCTTGGCTACGAAACAGTGGTACTAAAAAGTATGCGTACTTTTTGAAAAGATTTCAACGGGGTTTCCATCGAAAGGCCAGCCTTTGAACTGCCAGGCTGGACCCATCACGAATACCGCGACTACCCTTTCCCAGTCCGCGTTCGTGAGTTTCTGTGGATTATCCACTACCCTGTATGGAACTGTGAGCCCGCCATCTTTACGACGTTGCAGAAGGACTTCGTTCTCCCGTTTGCTACCTATTGCACGCTTCTCCTCGTTGGTGAGGTACTTCAGATCCTGAAGTATGTCTTTCGCGTTATACATCGTTATCAGTGATGTATTCGCGCTCGGAATGATGATAATGGGCGTTCTACTGGGTCGTTTGTTTTGAGCGGCCTGTTGAGGAGTGAGTTTCGCGGCGGAAGTGGGCAACAAACCGGAACTGGGAGTGGTCAAAGGATTGGTCGGTGGTTTTCTAACCGCTGGATTGGTACCCTCCGTTACAGATTTTAGAGTCATGCCGTGATAAGTACCCATCGTATCGATTTTAAATCCTTCCGTTTCTTCCTTTTGTTTGATAAACCTTTCTTGATCGTAACGATTGTAAACGGCTGGCTGAGGTAATGGGCGCATAGGCGTGGAACGCGGGGTAACCATTGGCGTGGGAACCGCGGGACCTTTCTGTCTGCCTTCCTCGCGGGCTTTAATACTTTGAAGTATTGCAAATATATTCTTTGCAAATATTTTTCCACTACTTTGCAGAATAGTTGCACGTGTTCTCCACTGTCTTTCTCTAGAAACTATATCCTTGGTGTCATCGACGTCCATCAATATTACTCGTAAGTCGGATCCCATCCCAATATCGTCATTTTCTTTAATAGTAGTACGCTTCTTAGCTAAACGTTTAGCCTTGATTGCAGCTATCTTTTCGACCGACATTGCCTCTGACAGCGATTTGATATTGTCCACCGTGACAGAAGCTTCCTTGGGAGCATCCAACCTAGCTGCAAGTTGCTCCTTAACCTTTTGGACATGCATGTCCTCAAACCTGGGTTTCTTCGAGGATCCACTCTCCAGGCCATCTTCAGCAGCCCGTTTTACTTGCGTGGGAATTTCTAAAGGTGCAGATTTGTCTATGGCGGCTGATGTGGCTGTTTCACCATTGAGATAGGCCAGTAAATCTTTCCTGTCGGGTCGCCGTACAACTGGGATATTCTCTGCAGCTGCCTGCCGTACGTACACAGGATGTGTAAGTTGCACATGTTTAAGCAAAAACAATAGGCACTCGAGTGTATAATATTCCTTTGGCGTTCCTTCCTTGCCAGATCTAGAAAGAAATACATCTTGCTATTCCTTCTCTTCTTCCTAACAGTCAAAATATTACATCTCTGACACTATATATTTCCAAATAAAAACGTTCATTTGTGTCGTTAATTGACAGTGTTAGTATATTTCGATCTGTTCTCTATATAAAAGAAACACTTATTTCCTCAACAATTTATTCGAAGATGTACGTTACATTGGTTTGTTTTATTTTTAATCGCGTAATCAAAATGCATGGGCAGATGTGCGTAGAACGCTACATTATAAAAAGAAAGAAAACAATTGAAAAACATTTGTTAGTTTGGTACGTAAAAGTTAAGGTCGCCGAAGGACACCTATCACTCTACAAAAACGATGACAACCTTTTCACAGTTTGTTTATTATTTCACGACGGTGGACACAGTACAGAAAATTGTCTAATGGTGGAGCCGTTCCAGGTTACAGCTGCCAGCATTTATTCTTGGGAAATCCGATAGAAACTTACCCGTATGTTAAATAATTGGTCTTCACATTCTTTGGCCAGGAGAATTCCCCGAAAATTATTTGATTTTCACGTTCGATTATCTCCTTTTTGTTAACATTGTATTGCCGGAGCAGACTCAGCGGATCCGCCATGATTACAAACTACCTCCACCTTCGGGTAAGATGATAAACTAAAATATAAATCGTCACACACACGACTCACACGATGTTAATTTTCGAAAATTAAGAAAAGTTAACGCCGATCAATCGTTCTTGTTGGTCAAAATTAATTAAAATTAATCACGCAACAACTGTGAATTACTGTGAAGTTGTTCAATTCTCAAAAATTGATGAAAAATTGCATGGTGTTGAAATCTTGATATTCTTAGTATCATCTTACCCAAAGTTCAATATTAGCCTTTATTCGTGTGTTATTTAAGTGCGCATTTTATTAATATTTATTATTATCAAATATTACTAACAAAAATCAAATATTCAATTCACTTGTATTGTGAAGTTAGGAAGAGGAGCCATTTCTGTATTGCAAAGGCGGGAAAGTCTACAGATGTAGAGGCATGTAGGAATGGACGCGTATATGTAAGTTAAATATATTTATTGTAATATTGATTAACTTAGCCTCTTATATGCAAGCCGTTCGATAGAAACAAAACAAGCATGTCTATTAAATTCTACTCCAAAAGATTCTGTGGTGCTTACCTTCTAGCGTTTCAATATATTTTAGCCTAATTCTTGAATTCGTTGCTGTTCATCCGCAGGAAACGTTAAATTCGGTCCTTAAATTATGTCAATCACACAGGTTCATTGCACACACAAAAACTACATAAGATGATAAGTCTAACTCGTATACCTCGTTTTTGATCTAACCTACGCCTTGTCTATGGCTGCACTTTCATTTCTGCATCGATACGCCATCTACTGACGATAAATTCGTTACTTTATTTCGCGGTTGAAAGGGTTACCTACTTTCACGGCGCTCAGAATTATTTATTAATATTATATTTATTATATTAATATTATTGCTTATTGTGACAGTTACGTGTAATAGAATTTATTTTCCAAAAACGACGATTGTGTGTAAGGTTCCTGCTGCTATCCCAAACAGTTTTAAATATAGTTCAAAAAACGATCTGATAGCCACAGGTTTGTTCCGACCACGCGTATAAATACTGATTCCCCGCGTATCGACAGCCAGTCGTACGTGCAACCACTTACGTGATAGAACATAAAATACCCAATCCTGTGATTGACCATTTTAATTTACGAATGAAACGTTAAAAGTAGATACAAGAAAATGGTTACAGTATGAATTAGACAGTTCCCCACGAACATCGTTTAAAAAAATCCTATTTTAAACGAGGATGTCTATGTTAAACTTATCAGACACCAGTTTGTCAATAACTTTAACCGGTACGTGCATCTCGCACTCCACCGTTGCACTTCGAACGGTGCGTCATCTGTTATTGCACTATAAGTTGTATCATGTACCATGTGCAATAAGAAGGTAAAAAAGAAAAGGATTCAAATTATGTACCTATTTGTAACAAGGACTCGTTTATAGTGACTTGATCTGTCTCTTTAGATTCGTACTATTATATTTCTAGGCAAGATATCAGAACTTGGTACTTTTGTTGAAGTAGAGACTGAAATATTTGTTATTAATTAATTCTCCAAAACTAAAATGATCTTTCCATGTCTTCTTGTAGGTTAGGTTTGGTTAAATCTGCCAGAATTCAATAGTTCTTGATAATTACCGTCATCTATAGCCGTTCGTCTTATCAGTGGATGCCCCCCTTATCGGGGATGCGTTATCAGCAGTAATACTGGCGGTCGCGTGGAATAAGGTTTTAAAACTATCCAGAATAATAACAACAAACCCCCACCGATGATCTCGACGGTCAAGGTTCTCGATTACAAAACAATCGGTCACAATGAACCGTAATATTATACAAATCGCTGTTACGAGTAATCGCAGATAACGGCTCATTTCGAATCGACTTCTTTTCCACATACAAAAGTCTGAGGTACAGTTTGCACAAATTGTTATTTACAACGATGGCGAACTGGTATCGCGGGCGAGGTACATCAACATGACGCGCGATCATTAAACTTTGGACGTTAATAAGCCGAAAAATTGATAACAGACCTTTGTTATTACACCAAATGCGCAAACATTATTCGACGTTCGATGATTCGTAAAAATCTAGATGGCGGTGTTCGGCTCGTTTAAATTTGCAATTACTATTTTCGTAATCGTTATTAACGCATCCATTAACTATGATAATCAAATTCATTGTACGGAGCGTATCCTCGCAGGTTTCTGTAGAAAATTTCTAACGCGTACCACACACGCTTTATTAAAAATGCTTTGTAGTTCTAAAAATTACTCCGAACTGGAGTATCGAAATATTAATAGAATAGATGCTCGATTATTATATCTACGAGCTTTGATATCGAACTGCTTTGTTAAAAAGTTATAAAAAGAATACGAAAGAACCAACAACAGTTTTGCTGTAACGCGATGCAGTGTACGTATAGATAAATGAAGTTTATGTCATCTGTTGACACAAGCTATGTTTACTGTTTCGAAACGGTTCAGTAAGCACGCAAATTGTACGTTATAATCGTAATTTTCTTTCCGTTGCGATTTTACTCGTAAACGAACAGTTCGTGATCTCGAAAATACTTGCACTTTACAGATATATTGGGTTGTTCGGAAAGCAATTTCGTTTTTCTTCCTCGTGAAAAGGAACAATTCTCTTATAATATATAAATATTTTAGTGAATTATGTACTGGTCATTTTGGTCCAACACCTTTTGCCATGATTCCATGCTACTAAAATTTCTGATCTTTATTTATAAAAAACTGATGCAAGTGATTTTTGACATCGCCACTTTAAGTAAATGTTTTACCGTTTAAGAAATTTTTTAAAGACTGGAACAAGTAATAATTCGATGGTGCTACATCTGGCATGTATGATGGGTATGGTAGCACATCCCAATCCAAACTGTAATAGTTTCTGATCCCAAAACGAAATTTTGTGAAGGAGTTTTGGCACTGCCATTCTGTTAAAACAGTTATTCTTGCAATTTTATTAAACAATTTTATTCTTGCTTGAACAGTATTCTTTTTGGTAACAAAAAAGCAAAACATCGGGACACCAAATAAGTACAATTGTACAGAAACAAACAAAATTTTTTACAAACACGCTTCGAAGTATCAGCTGTGAAAATGTGTAATGGAAGTACGGTTTAGAATAAAGTTGGCTGGTTAAAAATACAATTAACGTCTCTGTTGGTAAGAAAACGAAACTACTTTCCAAACAACCCAATAGAATTGCATCGATGGCGGTATTGCTTTGCAAAACTTATTAAAATCATCTGCGCGAGTAGCGGAAGGAAACGTTTCAGACAATGTCGTTTTAATTCCCCTCCCTTTAGAATCACGGAACGCGAGTTCCAGTTTCGTTTTTTAACCAGTCATTTGCGAGATATTTTGTTACGACGACCGAAACGGGATACTTAAGGACGCGTACACGGCCGAGAATTTTTACATTTACCAGCCAGAAGTCTTTAGAAATGCTGCGTCACGCGCATTCACTCCGAATCCGCGGTTTTTACAGGCTGGCGTACAAAGTTCGCACCGACCAAACTCCCCGCGTTGTACATCGAATAATGCTAATGACGGCGGCGTTGTCAACTTTGATGTTTCGTGTTTAGCGAACGATTTAGAGAAAATACGTGTTAGCGTTACGCGGCGTGTAAATCGTTAGGCGCGAGGAATAAGAAAGGCCAGCCCGCGATACACATTTCCGTGACGTTCTTATTCAAGTAGACGTTTGACCCCAGCGCGGCATTAACCATTTCACAGCAGCCTAATTTCCATTTATTACGCAATTGATGCAATTAGATACGTCAATCAGCGGGATAATGGGGTGGACGAGATATAGACACTGCCCGACAATGCGAAGTTAATCCGACTTCAAACGCCGACAAGTTGAAGACACGCTCGCCTCTGGCGCGTCTGGGCCTCCACCGTTTCGTTCAATAACCACTTGCGCGTATAGCAACCACTTGTTCGTTCTAAGCCCAGCGAGATGCATTTCCTTTCTTTTCGTCGTCCATTTTTCGCGCCAAAATTAGCCATTCGTGAATGAACTCTCTATTCCTCTTCTGTACGCCTCGCAGTGGCTAATTTCATAGATCTAGGTGGACAAAATGATAATATTAATGTTATCGAAACAGCCCCAAATCTTATAAATTTATTTCATATTTACTATAAAATGCCTACACTCCGGGACAAAAAAATAACCCATTTTTAAAACTTTACTGCGTTTTTTTTATCAAATAAGCACGAAGAACGGTAGGACACACATCATCAAACATTCAGCAACTTATACACAACTAAGAAGCGCAAATTTGCTACTTGTACTATCATTTTGTTCCGCTTGCGGACGAAAATATTTACGTTTCCATTCCTGGAATTCTGTTGAAGTAAATACTGCCGATGATATTCAGTACATTATACATATAAGCATGCTCATAAATGTGAACATATTAAAATATTCATTTTTTTCAATTTATAATACCAAACGGGAGAAATTATAAGGTGTGCTATCTTTTTGCCCTGGAGTGTAACTTCATGAAAATCGTTTGGTTGGTAGACAAAATAACAATGTATTCATTCATATTATACAGTTTTTTATGCCGATAGGTTATTTAAGCCGAAAGCTTTTATTTAGATGTTTAAGTAAATTCATACATTGTAATTATTTTACTATTATCATCGTCGTCATCATCACCATAATAATAATAATAATTATTATTTATAATAAAAAGTTCATGAACATGTTTCTTAAGAAATTTGTCCATCTAGATCGTTTAAATTGCCCACTTTGCGCCTGTATCTTGTATTTTCACGTGTTAGGTACACGTTGTTTAAATGGACACGTTGACAAATTAAATGCCACTGTACGAACATACATTTTCGAAGAAATTGTTCGAAGAAACATCGTATTTCTGATAATCTACCTTTGTCGCGAGCAAATACAGCACAACTCTAATGACGTACCAACACTCATTCAATAATTACACAGTGCAGTAACTTAAATAGACACGTTTTTTTTTCGTTACAAGTGTTACATAAACGGTCGTAGATAGTAATCAGTTCCCCATCCATTTATTCGATGTTGACTCAGCTCCGTCGTTAATCCACCAGTTTGCCTCTTTGTACTTAGAAAGCGTGTACTAATATTCCGTTTGTCTGTAAACATTTACTGACGATGGAACGTATCAGCCTTGCGAAATAAATTTGAATAAAATCAGAGTCAACTGTATCAATAACGAAATGGTTCGGGGTTGAACGATGGCGTTGAATTTCGAGAATATTTACGCTCTATCTTTCCCTGGAACCGATTCCCGTACTTAGATGTACGCGAGGATAAAAAAGACCGACGAGGATTCAAAGTACCGTGATAAATAATGCGCGAGAACGTTTTCTCGCTTTCCGTACGTCTGAATCACAATGGCGAATTATAAATATTCAAGAGCATGACGCGCGCAAAGTGTGTCAGTAAAAACGAAATGTTGCGTCGATGTGTCGAAGAATTCGTTGAATAACAAAAGAAAAACACATTTCAACCGACTATGGTAATTGGGGAAGATAAAGAACCAAACAAAACGAAAAACAAGTACCGATTTACCAGATCCTTGGAGTTTGTATAATTAATTGCATTCGATGAAGTAAATATTTATGCCATGTGCATCGAAAAGATTCGAATAAAAACCAATCGAAGGGAGGTATCGACTGCCATTTTTACAGCATTCGAAGGATCTCTTTGAAATAATATTGATCAAAAGAAAGCTTATCGATGTCTCGAGTAATTAGCGACTATAGAAACCTGTAAAGCAACCTACAAAATCGCAAGCAGTGGCACATGTACACATTACAGGAAATGGAGAATAAATAAATAAAAACTGAAATTTAAGGTCAATGCGATAAACTGCTGATGCGAACATATTGCTCTTAGCTTCCTGCTTCTTATTAACTGTTATCATTTTATTAGCTTCATTAATACTCTGTACTTTTAATTTTAGTATCAAGGAGCTGACAAGGAACGTTCACGAATCTGATATTTTAAAAAATCGTAAAACATTACGAGGAAATAGAGTAAAATAAAAGTATCATTCTTCATAATATGGTTGATGGGGAAATATCAACCTTTGCAAAACAATGCAAATTTTTCTTGCTCGTGAAACATCGTATATTTAAACAAGGGACGCATTATGATACCAACGAAATACGGTTTCGTTTTATGGATGAATTTTCGAGTGTTTCGTAGGAAATTATAATATGTGACCAGTTGCATAAGAATGCTCCTAAATAGAACCATTCTTACAGAAGAGGGTTTCTCCCGGTTCGTTCATTGCATATTATGAATAAAATATGTACATGCGAGATATGTATGCGAATAATTTTACAGACTCGAGCGTAGAATCCGTCGAATTTTGTACCCTTTTCTAAACATTTAAATTCGTTGCTCAAGCAGAAGCTAAAATTACGAAACCAAACTTTTACGAAAACCTGTTCGGATCCTTTTTGGAATTAATTACAATATTTTATAACTATGTTGAACCGATCAATGTCGTTGCAGACATTCTCCAATCGCTTCGGTTGTATTACTAATTTTATCGACGATGATGCAATTGAATCACTAAAATACACGTGTTATATCTAGCTGCCCGACGATTAACGACTTTATTCGTAAAATAAAATATAAAGGAAGCGTACCAAGCAGAGTGAAACAGCGAGGTTTAACGAATAAGGACTGCTTTAGAACCCAACTCAAGTTTTTAATATGAAATATTCCAGCATCCAGATAGAAACCTTGTTTTCTACAAGAAAAAATTGTTGAACGGCACAAGCCTGTGTACATAGGGTAAAAAATAGTGCACAAACTGGGATATTCGGGGCATGAAGTTCACGCGTGACATACGAAAATCGTATCTGACGGTCGCGAGATGGCAGATAACCCTTATACTTACGCAGACTCCCATGAAATCACTCGCAATTAGAAATTTTCCACTTCTTCATAGGATGGGAAACAGATTAGTCCGTTCTTGCAGCCATGTCCACGTGCACCGATCATCCATCTTATAAAAGTCTCGTTCGTGGATTAACTTAAGCGTAGAGAAAATCAAAACGTGAAACTTCCGTCTAAGAACGAGAAGAAGACTCTGAATGATCCAGAGATGTAGAAAGCTGTAAATCTTTCGCAAAATAGACGAGAAGGGAATTAGAAATCTGTCGAGTTTGAGAAATTAGAACTCTGAAGAGCCTAGAGTCGAGAGAAGATCAGAAATAGCCTTAGCGTACTCGAGGCTGTACGAGGCACGAGGAAAACCGAGTTGAAAAAATTAGAAACGTCTGAGTGGGCGTGTTTGCAAAAATAACTGAATGTTCGCAAAGTTAGACCTCGATTACGTGTCTTGGTACCGAAAAGTCGTCCATAGAAACTCATCCGCGAAGCGTGGAGCGTTTCAAGCCTGAATCGTTTGGCTCGCGACCGATTCGACTCGAACATGGTAATTCTACGTAAGGTCACGGTTTCTAGTCAACAGCAGGAAATATCAAACGACAGCACGCGACCGGGATAGAAAAACTTCTGGAAAATGAAAAACTGTGACAACGATCAACTTCATTCGTATCAATCTGGGACGAATTTAATCGCAGACAAGGGAACTCGAGGCAGAACAAAGAAAAAAAAGAAACTAGTCTTTCAAAAATACATTGTAAATAAAAAAATTGTTTCGCCATTGTGTTTTGAAAAACTCATCGCTACGCAGGAATCAGCCACGTAAATTCTAATCATTTCCCGAATGAGTGAACCGACTCGAAATTTGTTCATCTCGTATAATTTGGTTTAGAGGGGTCAAATGGGCAACAAAAACAAGCTGATTATAGTATGTAGGTTAGAAAAAAAATCTTCGACGATGTTCGTCGAAATCGTCTCTGTATCTGGTAAAAGATAAACGGAAAAAAATTATAGGGCTCTGTTTAAGAAATTGAAGATGGCTTTGAAAACTTTCAAGGAAGAATTGCCATAAAATATTTATTACTGCTGTTTGTAATTCGTTTGGTATAAAAACCTGCAGTTTCAACGGCTATTATAACAATTTGCAACAATTTGCTTGGGCATTGATTTGTTTATTGTAAACAGGGTCGAGTGGTCATTATGTACAGTTTTACGAACCAAGTTCGCGACGATATTTTCCGGTTATAATAATTGTATAGTTACAATTATGTTAAATGTTAGATGTTCTCGAGTGATTAACGTTATCGTACAATTCACGCGAAAATAATTTTCGCATTTTGTCTTCGTTTTCGTTATCTTTTATCGACTTGTACACGATAATGGTCATCTTAATGTACATGAATTATTAATACCATTCTTTTGTGGCTCTATAATTATTTCTTTACGTTTGTTATTTAAAAATCCCTGTTGCAATTTTATAAAACAAGCCTCAATCGCCCCTGTCGATACTTAAGATTATTAAATTAAACGAACAAATTCCGTGTGATTCAGCCATTCTGTGTCGCAGCACCTACGACAATAACTTCTCCCGCGTTAATTAACTAATTTACTCCCTTCCCGTTTCTTTTCATCGTCCGTTTGTAGTACGGAACACAGAGATAGGAAATGAATAGAAATACAGATTTCTGCTATAAAGATTTCGACGTTAAAATGAGATGCAAATTGTTTTACATATTGCATAATTAGTGTATAGAGACAAAAAGAAGAGTGGCTACTTTTTTTTATGTTTGAAGTTTAGGACATTGAAGATGCAACGAACGTAATTACTTTGGACCTCGATCCTGCCATGGTGAAAGAAAAACCTAATCTATTTGTTCATTTACTGCTTATGAATAAATTATATTTACCAATAAATTACCAAACGCATTCTCCTTCAAAATAACTAAATTATTAAAATTCAGGGCATCGTATTGACTTGTCGCGTTCCGAAACGTCTTGTTTACGTTTCATGGGAATGGCGCGTTCGATGGACATTTTCACGGAGATCGTTTGGGAAAAGGTACCCGTCGCGGCGTTTGTACGTGCGTTTTTTAGCAATACACGCATAAATTAATACCGTTTGATAACAAATACTAATTCGGTAACGATAACAGATAACGGACGGACGAACTTAGTAAGAGATCGGAGTTTCTATCGCGTACGAAAGAACGGACAACAGTTTAATCGAGACGTTTTTCATTCGTGCGCGAACGATCGTCGACGACGAGCGAAACTCTCGTTCGATCATTTGCGCGAAAGCGAACGGCGCACGTCGTTTAACCGCGAACCCCAGCTGAGTTTCGCGGAAAGTAGGTTTAGAAAAATATTTCAGCACGTGCGTGGAAAACGTGGAAGGGAGGGTTGCGGACTGCATCACATTAATGCACCTGACGATTGGTCGCGAGTCGGAGGCTCGGCCGGACCGTTTAAAAATAAATTACCACCGCGCGTAGTGTCGCGCGAGTTAAATTGAAACCGGCCAGTGCACTCGGGGAATTTACGTTGGGCGTTCGGTAGCTCGCGCGCATTGGAAGTCGTTTCCCGACCACCGTCGTCTTCGCCGTCCTTGCTATCGTCATCGTCTTCAAATTCGCCTGTGCGTTGATCGTTTGCTCGCGGAATGACGTGTGCGACCGGGAACACGTGTGAGTGATCCGTGTGTTTCACGCTTGTGTCGTCGTTAAATCAATTCGAGTGTTATCTACGTTTGAATGTGCGCGACGAAAGGTCGAGTCTAACCTCGAAATCTTGCGAACTGTTCTCCGACTTGCGACCACGTTTTCTAGTGTACCGCGTTTCGCGATAGTGTGAAAAACGCGCGTGCCGAAGAGAATATCCTGAGATCGACTAGACCTTTTGTGTTCCAAAGCCGTCGGAGGATTACCCGGGATATGGTGCTACGATAAATCGTGACGATGTCTATTTAACAGTGGGTATGTCAACCTGAAAGGAATCGTCGATTGTTGCTGTGCTTTGTGATCCACGATGTAAAGCGAGACCAAGTTGACCGAGGAACGATATAGTTAGTGGTGCATGTATACGTGGTTTACTATCAAGTATTTATATTGTAATAAATTGTCGAATCCGATCGCGCTATCGTCATTCCTTTTATTGTCGTTGTTGCGTCATTAATTTACGCCATGGAAACACAGTTATTACGTTGCACCGTTGCGTGATACACATCATTGACTGTTTCACGTTCTAGTGAAAATAAGAGCTGAATGATGTGTCAGTTGCGTAAGGACATCGATAACTTGAGAAAAAGACATGGTCGTTTTCTTTTAAATTTTGTAATCTGGTTCTTGTTCTTTCAAATTTGGAATCTTATGTCGTACGACATGAAGGTCAATTTTGTATGCATAGTAGTGTCTATTCTGGTTGATTGAACTCAATTCGCGATATGTTTAATTGCTATTCTGCTCCTATAACTTTATATGATGTGTTGGTTTGTACTATGCCATTTCCACAGAAGAGTGCAGTGCTACTTTATGGAGTTTTGATCAATGTTCATAGGTCAATTACGAGCAATGTGTATACTATATACTATGAGACATGTTGGTAAGGCAGCCTTAAGGTGAAATGTTTCGTAGTTTACCGGATAGGGTGGCTGGGCTCTATTATGGCCACGGCCTGTTTTGCTCCTCCCATCCTATTGCTGTTATTTCATTGGCAATCTCGATTATATTATTATGTTGGTTAGTAGTATTTTATTTGAGTTATATGAAAGTATTGTAGTTCATTCTATATAGAGTAAATAATGAACGAACTACTATTTTCTCGTTTAGTTATCCTTTGGTCAATTTGCCTATGCCTGGCAACGCACCACGAACTATAATCAATCATACTGTTGTACCTGAAAACAATACAGAAAACTCTGTGTTTTATGTGCAACAAGTGGTATTAAGAGCTGGAGTTATTCCATGGATGGAAGAGTTAACGTTAATGGATGCTTTTCGGGGTCCACTTTATGAAATTTTTAATCTTTTAGAGATTATACAAAATTATCAGCATCCAGGAACGTAAGAGTCATGGATCTGATGAAAACTGAAATCAATTCACTTTTTATATTTATTATGCATTGTAGGTTGAAAACCCTCGATCAAGTGTGTTTACACATTGAAGCTGTTAAGAAAAGAAATGGTAAAAAACCAGAAGTTTTACCAGAATACAATTGTCTTGTTCTTTCACCGGCTAACTTGTGGCAGCGAAGTATTGAATTATACGCACAAGATACAAATCTTATAAATACAATTTATTCTTATCAGGTAGGAACATTAAAAAGATAATACTCTGTGTGCAATCTAAAAATAGTTAATTATTTATAATTATACTATAAAAATAGTAATAGTAAATTATTTATAATTATACTATTTTTAGTAGAATGGATTGCTACAATCATATAATTGTGTATTATAGAATCTGCAAAAGGGTAAAATTAGTTTGGCCGAAATAATGTTTGGAATGAACCTTAAAGAAACTGGAATAAAAAGGTATCCAATTCGTCTTCGACAGAGAATTTTACAATATGCTGTAACTATTTATTTAAAGGACTATGATTCAGAGTGAGTAATTAATTAAAAAATATCCGAATGATCATTTATACAGTAGTGCCCACTTAAGTGACCACGCTCGGGAGCGGCTGCGGTTATTTATGTGGGCATGGTTACTTCTCAGAATTCAATGGAGATAAGGAAAGAGGATAAGTGCGAGTGAGATACGCTTGATATTCGAAGCCGCTTGGCTTCTAAGAATTGGTGGGAATAACCGCGGGCACTTAAGCGAGCAAACATGCGGTCACTTATGTGGGCACTATTGCAATTATCATTATTTTTATAATCTAAACAAATGTTTATTCATTTTAGATTTATAAAAGGGTTACAACATAGATTAAAAAGTTATTACCACCTTCATCAAACAGAAGGTGATAATGCTACACATGTACCCATGGATGAAACATTACATATCTTTTATCCTGGTGAATTTAATTATAGTGACTTCTTTCCACTAATGATGACATTTAATGCCTTGTTCTTCTATGTTTATTTCTCCGTGAGGAAGATAGAAGTAGTGAAGTCAAAGATTGGTATAGCATTTGGTGCAACTATTACAGTGATAAGTTCATTGTCTATGACAGTGGGTGTATGCTTTTTCTTTGGTTTAACTTTAAGCTTAAGCGGAAAAGAAGTGTTCCCATATTTGGTAGTTATTGTAGGGTTGGAAAATGTTTTGGTATTGACTAAAAGTGTAGTCAGCACTCCAGCGCATTTGGATGTGAAAATACGCGTCGCTCAAGCTTTGTCCAAAGAAGGTTGGTCCATTACTAAAAACCTACTTACAGAAGTAACAATCTTGACAATTGGATTGTTCACCTTTGTACCAGCCATTCAAGAGTTTTGTATTTTTGCCATTGTTGGATTAGTCAATGACTTCTTTCTCCAAATGGTCTTTTTCTCGACAATTCTCGCTATCGATATCAAACGTACGGAATTATCCAACGAATCGTCTAAATTCCATTTTCCGAACGTTCCAACCACGCGAAAGCAACAATTTACAACAACTATAACAAGTAGAAAGCCGAATATCTTTAGATCAAAGTCCCATCCAAGGTTAAATGGCTTGTCCAACGGTCCGACGACTGTTATAGCTCCGAACACACAAAATACGCATACATTGGGTAAAATTCCAAAACGTTTACGTCTAGTTCACTTTTGGGCGCGAACGCGAATATTTCAGCGTGCGTTTATGGTATGGATGGTTGTGTGGATCAGCATGATTATTTATAATTCTGGCATCGTTGAACACGTGATACATTTGAGTGAAACGTTGAAATCGGAAAATGATATCGATGGGTATACTTTAGACAGACCCCAAACCATGAACAATTATGTAGAATTAAATACAATGAAACCACTGTCGATACTATCCGCTACCATTGCTCCGGATCATTTGAACAGACAGGTGATTAAATGGAAACATATTTTGTTACTTTACTTGAATGTTAGTTTTATACAACTTTTAAAATATTAAGTTTAATCTACCGCATTTCCTTACGCATTAGGACGATTTAAGCAATAATGTTACCGAGGAATTAAATAAATTAAAACCTGTGGACTTTCCCTCTTGGAACCGATTATCGCTTTATCATTGGTCCTCGATTCTTTCTATGTACAATATTTCGGCTGCTGGCGGACGTATAACTATATTGCCCACAATGAAATTTTCTCATGCTGTAAGTCCACAGTTGGTCAAACAAATTAGCAATCCCAACGATGTACAACATTTTCAGTGGCACAGTCTTGCTACCGCAGCTCTCGATCCCTTAGACTTTTCAGGTATGTTAGCCTGTGGAAACTGCGTTTTTCCAACGTTTGAATTTCAAATTACGTAATTATTTTAATAACCGCAGATATGGAGCTACCAACTAGGTCCGAAGGTCGTGGTTTTAACGCAGACGCTCCTTTCATTCCGTCGAGTCCGATGGAAATATTTTTGGCGGCAGTACTTTGTCTCATCAGTGTCATTGTTGTTGCTTATACGATGGTTGTTCTTTATCGTTGTATTTGTTCGAGAAACTACGCCGAATGGCGAGCTAGCTGGTATCAACCAGAAAAAGCTCACGATTCGACGACACATTTAGTTCTGGAAGCATTGCCGCTAGTCCTTGAAGGACACACGCAAGAAGTGGAGTGCATTGCTACGGATAGCAACACCATTGCTAGTACGTGTTTAGCTGGACATATCAGAGTATGGGACGTAACGTCCGGCGAGCAGCTAGCTCACATAGATAGAAAACAGTTTTTTAGCAGTCCGCAGAAAAACTTAAGCCAAACAACACCAGATGTGGACGAATTAATGTCAGATTACGAAAGTGGTTCGCCACCTTCAAGAGGTGAAATGGAGAACACCAATTCGTTTGGTTTGTACTCGGCTGTCCACTGTAGAAAATCATCTCCTGGATTGTGCAATATGCAAAGAGGACAAAATAATAATACTAAGAGACATTCGATGGGAAATACGTTAGATTATGATTATCAGACGAACGAATTTAGCACGGAAAAACGAAAACATTTACGAAGAAGTTTAGATAACGCTTACGATATTCCTGACCTGAAATCGACAATTAATATTAAATTTTCGTCCATGAAACACTCTCAGATACAACAAAATTATGAACCAGGATTCGATTTTGGTGATCAGTACAAATACCTGATCGAAGAACATAACAAATCTATAGACAAGTTACAGAAATCCGAAAGTTTAGAACAGTTATGCGTACCTAATGGAAGACTAAATTCGTCTGGTTTTCTGGATAGTATATCTTCGTTGAATGGAGACAGAACTGTGCAATTTTCACAGATGATATCTCCTATCTGGTGCATGGATTACCAAGAAAACCTTATAGTAGTAGGATGCGCTAACGGAAGTTTAGAATTTTGGGAAGGTACTACAGGTAGATTCAAGGTAGGAACACGTACGAACATCGAGGAACGTCGTTATTCCGAAAAACAAATGGAAAATAATAAATTGAATATTTCAGTGTTTATTCGATGATGGATCGGGGATCGGAATATCCGCCATTAAATTCGTCGGCAGTAGAGTCATAGCAGCTAAGTTAAGCGGATCTGTTGACTTTCTGCAGTTAGAGAGTTATAGCGAAGGTCAACAAATTGATTGGGGTTTTACCTCATATAGAAGAAGTAAGATTGTTTATAAACGTCTTACGTTAATAATCTGACCTGCTCTTCTTTACACTATCTTCTTTTTTTAGCTCACGTTAGAACGGGAAGTGCTGGCTCACCTATGGATATAAATAACATCATGCAATCTGAAGAAGACCTTCGTTGCATGAAAATTAGTTCTCATAGAGCACACCAACAAGCAATAACTGTGCTTGATAGCGAGGGTGGTCGTGTTTTAACTGGTAGTCAGGACCATACTCTCAAAGTATATAGGTATGCATATTTAGCTTATGGTTTCTTTTAAGCATTCGTTAGTTAATCCAGTTTCACTCGTTCTACTGTTACAGATTAGAGGATCAATTGCCATTATATACCCTTCACGGACATAATGGGCCCATATCTTGTCTGTTTATTGACAGGATGAGTCCCATGACGTCCGGTAGTGGATCTCAAGATGGACTGTTATGCGTTTGGGATCTTCTAACCGGTACGTATCCAGTTACATCGTGGATGGTTTAAACATATAAACAAACTTACCTATTCTGGTTTTCTCTGGTCGCAGGAACGTGTATGTACAGTATACAGGCTCACGATGGTGCGGTGGCAGCTATTACATGTTCCGTGTCGTATGTGATAAGTATCGGAACTGACGAAAGGTTGTGTGTGTGGGAACGGTTTCAGGGACACTTACTACATGCTCTTCCAGCACACAGATCAGCATACAGTTTACAATTAGTCATGTTAACGCATCATTTACTCATCACTAGCAATCAGGTATGTCAATAGCTTTCTTTTTGTTCAAGTTGAAATTTGATATTTTGCGTATTATCTGTTGATCATTTTGGACTGCTGTACTTCAAAGTCATTGAAGTCGTTTTGTGCCATAGTATATACTTGTCAAATTTCGTTCGTATTACTCCATTTTCTTAAACGAGTGTAGATGTTGAAAGAGGAGGTGCCATTTGATTCTTTAACTGAGAATATAATTGAGTTTTTAACGAAACTGTGCTTTAGAATTTTGGGCCTTCGAGATATAGACAAATTACTAGTTCTAAACGCTATCGCGTTATTAAATGAATGTTTGTAAATTGTCAAATTGCAGGGGTCACTAGTAGTTTGGGACGTAAGGACGGGGGAGCCTGTACGCGAAGTGAGGTTGGGTCACAAGGATAGTTGTATTTTCGTAAAACAAATGTTAGCGTTAAGGGATAGCGTAGTATGCGATTTCGGAAGACAATTACGAATAATCAGGTTCCCGTTGGTCTCTGACAAGCTAGATTAAGATCTGTATATGCACGTTGTACATAGTTGTTTCGGTTTCGATTTTTCTTATTTAATTTTAATACTTGCGCAAAATCTTACGCGTTGCTTGGGGATATAGATTTTTACACGACGTACATTTTATATTTTAAGTCGTACACAGTTTTACTATGAATGCTTCGCATTACCGACTACGTCATAGTCGCGCCTTAATGTTTATACTCCATCGAGACAGTAAATAAAATACGTTTGTCATTTTCAACGAGTAACGTATACAGATCTTTAATCGATTTCCCGGGGAACAGATTGTTCGTGTAAATTAAAATCGATATCGTGACACGACTGCACCGTAAGAGTTGCAGGACGCAAAACTGAAAACAATGACACGCGATATGGAAAATCCATATTTTTAAATGATTAAAACAAGAGGATGACCTAAATCCTGGTATCTTTATTCATTGTCTTAGAAGAATGGCTGTGCTACATTTTGAAGCATCTGTTTCATTTCACGATGTAACTTAGGAGTATTTCCGTAGCGACGTTCATTTTGTATATGTAAAAGGTTTCAAAACAAATTTATAAGCTCTAACTGATATTATGATAAGTAGAAACTGCATTTGTTAAACCGGTGCTGTTCCATAACACAGATGTGCTGGGTTTTCACTTCTGTGTGTTTAAAAACAAGTGCGTAGCAATATTAATTAATCACGAAATGTAAATGATAAAAATGGTTAAACGTTATTGGATAAAGAATGTGATGTCGTCTGATGTTTCGGTTTATCAAAGTTAGGGCCAAAAGTTTGAGGACTGGTCCAGCACACCAAGTATTTGAACTTAAAAAGTTTTTAAATAAACGTTGCGAAGTTTTACGTTAATTATATAGTAACATTTCATTCTTTGTATATGTGTAACCTAGTTACATGTATAATGGTCTAAAAGTGCCTTTATTCGGTCTTTATTTAGTCAGACTAAGTAAAGAAGTGTTGTAGTAAAGGATTATAAAAATTGAACAAATAGATCTCAGTCTTCTGGTTCGTAGCACTTTCTACGCGACTTTGAAGAAGACTTAAACTAACTGTATGCTAAATGTTGATACATTTAGAACATTAATCTTCAGCTGTTGATCGGAGAGTAATTTACGCTTTACGCTCGGCAACAAGAGTTCTGTTCACATAGCTAGGATTAATACGCGGAATGGAACTCCCGAATTCAAAGATTCAACATTTAACATCTCCTTTACTAAACGTTTAGTCTTGTTTAGCTTTAGCAGTCTATTTTTGTAAGGAGAATCATCGCTCTTAAGCGAGCTAACATGGGTCCTATTTTATATATAAAATATATACTATTATAGAAGACTTACAAGTGTGTATTGATAAAATATCTTTTTGCTTCACAACGCATGATAGTTCAAAGAGTATGTACATTTTACGGCACATTTAAAAGAAAAAGTAAAGCAAAGTGTACAAAGAAAATTTTGATCAAGTCCATGTGAAAAGCTATATAGAATCATTGTTAGAGAGTGTTTAATGTTTCACAAAAGATTCCTAACAATTAACTGGACGTGTATTTGAATGAAAGTTTTGAAACATCGTTTTTATTTTATCGAAATAAAAGATTTTTTAATCTACCATGTATAAAACTTCAGTGTACTCTTTAACTGTACGTGAACTTCTATGCTTCCAGCGATGTGATACACGAGAGTACATGAACAGCTTCCACTGAAATACTAAAATGCCACGCAATTTGTTAAACGGGAGACTAAATTTTAAATTTTTTGTTTCTGCGAAAGGGTCCAAAGGATTTGAAAATTTTCACGCGAATATTTCCAGTTAATTATAGGGTATACTTTCCACAATTAAAGTTTGATATGTGTGATGCGAAATGAATGTTATAATATAATGATCTATATGCCTTTAGACTGAAGTGTAAGACGATTTCTATTGACGAGTCTCTTTTATTTTCTGATACCCTATTTGAGGTTAACTAGAGCTTGAAGTCACGATCATTGATCTATTAATATAGATATATATATACATATATACATATATATTTTTCTTAACCAAAGTTGTAAATCATATCAGGTCATGGCATGCTCTTACACGTAGGGATTAATTGACGAAAACAAAGCAAAAAGGGAAAAAAATATCTAAAGTGCTTTTATCGGCTTGGCTGATTAGCTAACGATCATTTAGGAGTTAGTGTGATTTTTATATTTATTTAATTAATTTAACATGTGTAAATGTGTCGTACACCAGATATATTGTTCTTAATAAATTCTCACATTTATTAGATCTTGATTTCTTTTTGTTCTCGTAATTTCGTTTACATTCTAGCACCTTTTTTTTGTATTAGATCGATTCGTCAATGAATTGGTTCATAATTATTGACAAATGTTCAGTCCTTCCCTTTCTTCCTTATAAAGTAGGAAACACAATAGAAAGAAAACATGCTGTTACTAAAATTAACAGTGTATTTATTGAATGATTTTTCAATAAATATAACGCATTGCTGAAAACAATCGAATGATCGCGTCTTTTGGTTAAATATTAGAGGGGGAAGATATGACTAGAGATATAACAAAAGTATTTTTAGAAAATGATACTCTAATTATTTTGAACAGTGTAGTCATTTTAGAAAAATAGCTCAATTGTTTATAAAATATCGATATCAACAGATCAATCATGGTGGGAGGGATTCTTGTAAAAGCCAGAATATTGGAGACTTTTGAATTGTGATTTTAATAAATGCAGCTAATACCTTATTTTTTTTGTTTTTTTTTTTCGGAATGATTGAAATCCTCTTCTTGTTACAAATATAGCAGAAAATTGTCGGAGATCGTAGTAGAATGGAGTATCTTTGATGTAGAATAATTTCTACAGTAAATAGTTTGGTCCAAATTTAGTGGAATTTTCCTTTTGGCGAGAATTAAGTTGTTAACCTGATAGGCAAAGCAACGATAAGAAAAAGTGGTTTTAACAGTAGGAGGGAATTCTAAGAGATCAATGGGCGTTGTAAGAGGTGGAGGTATTATTCCACGATTAGATTACGTGCGTAATGTCGAATGCAAATTTTAATCTTTTATAAGATATCAAAGATGCGATATGAAATCTACAGAAGATCATGCGTATTATATACGGCTGCATATTACATTTATTGTTATTAATACCACATTTTGTAATGAATATTTTCAATATTAGGACACTTAACCGTAAGACTAATATAAGTTAAAGTTAAGTAGTATTATAAAGAGAAGAGATAATGATATAAGTATCATTGAATACACAAAGTCAATATTTTATTAATATTAAATAATGTAAAGATGGCACTGTATATTTATAAACGGATAAATAATTGATATTTGTAAATAGTTACCCGAATTATTAATGATACTAAGATATTAGACGTTATAATATTACGAAATTAAAAGGAGAAAATAATTAAAAGTGTTTACCTGATTTACGATAGTGTAGACGATGTTTCTTAATTTTATTTGCGTTCTCTCAAAGTAGAATCAATGTGGTTTAGCAAACTAAAGATTTATTATACTATTTAACTACTTCAATGCGTATCTTTGACTTGCTTGTCACTTATCTAGTATGGATAACATATAATTGATATAGATCATATAATTGATATAGATCATATAATGATTACAAAATCACATTAGATTAATTACACATGTCTCTTTTATTGTTAGATATATCCTTGCTCGATATAATTTCACGTTCATATTCCGTGCAGTATTTAATACAATTTATACAATTTTATTTCTAGCTGGCTTACTACTATTTCTGAAAGATACTTCGTTATTTACGAACATCCGCAAAGTATCTCTCACTTCCCCCCGTATTCCAATCCCAAAATAAATCAAATTTACTAATTCTTTCGCCGATGTTGCTTTCCATAAATAATTAAGTTATTATTTATTTTAAACCGCTCCACGAACTTGTTAAATTGTATCAATATTCCGAGGGGGTCACTGAACGGATGTTCCTTGTTAGTACAGTCGTCCTCGAGTAAACTGTACCTTACACTTTATAAGTATAACATACTTGAGAGCAATTGATCGCGTTAGACAATTAGGAGAACGTAAGTAGCAGAGAGTGCGGTTGATAAGCTTATTTATTTGGTCTAAATGTCGCTTAAGCGTATAGCTTTTTATGATAAAACATTCTTGGAATTTGTATAACAAAGAATTTGTCAGGTTGGTGTATGTTTCTTGGTAACTGGACAAACACGAAGATACGGAGATCTAAACCTAATAAAGACAAAGGAAAGTTTATCTCCCGTGTTTGCTAATTGAGAACATAAATTTAATTGATGATTATCTTTGATCAACTGATCGTCTTTGCCCTTTATCTTTTAAAAGTGGATATTCAAGTAAATTCGAGACAAAAAACAATTTCAGCTCTTGACCACTTTAAATAATAGTAAATTCGATGATTCATCTACCTGATTAAGGGGCCATTCTACCTTGTAGGCATGAAAAATACGTGTTTCTTTGTGATTTTTTTTTGCGGGTTATTAAAGAGCAATTAATTCCGGATTTTGTAGATACATTTATTATATATTTAGCTATATTTACGAATTTTTGCAACGCATAATATCTATTGATTACGCTGTTTTTGTTGATCATCAAACAACAGTTTTTACGAACGGCACTCGACTGCGTACGTGATATCTTGTGAACAAGTTATTCGAAATCCTAAAACCAACGATATTCTTAATATAGATGAGTGTGGTTATAGCATGAACTAGGATCTTTTCAAAAAAACAAAAAATGGCAAAATGGCAGCTATTTTACGAAAAAATACTGAATATTTTCATATATTTGGTTGCTTTTTTGTTAATAAAAGAAAAAGTATTGCATATATCGCAATTATCCTAGTTCATGATATAGGGAGACCAGTTCTGAAGATACTGTATAAATTTGATGTTGATATCTTGAATAGTTTTTTAGTTATCACGCACGCAGTGCCGAAAAATGTAGTTTCGAGAAAAACAGCTTTAAAGTTTCACGTCCAGTTGTTATACCTGCGCGCGGTACATTTCAGCAGGTTATAACTTCGTTAGTTTTTCAAATTTCAATTTAATATTTGGTAGATATATTTTCGAGACAACATACTAAAGGAAAATGCAAAAAAAAAAATATCGATTTTTTTAATCCCACAAGGTAGAAAGGCCCCTTAAGTAGTTCAAAGAAAGTTTTCACGTTCAAGTTGTTCGAAGAAAGTGAAAATATGAACATAGAAATTTATCATAGGCAATTATATTACAGCAATCTAGTACAGTATAGTTAATATGTTTACAAAGAACATAATTCTATACAATTTTCCTCAACCATTTGCATTATATCGTATTTTTTAATATAAGATTAATTTATTTAAATTTATTACTATGAATTATACAATGGTTTACCATTAAATTGCCAGGTGTGAAATTAGTTAAAAGCAGTTGTTGATTGAGGACAAGAAGTTTTCCATGGTTCCAATGGCAATAAGACTTGTGCAAACCACAGGTGTTAAGAGTAATTAACAGTTTTAGAATTATTATAGCGGATGTGAAGTGCCAGTTTCTACGTATCGTGTTGTTTCAAAAACATTGTGACTTAGTCCAAGACACTAATAAAAATTATGTAATTTTTATCAGTAAAGAATGACTAAGAATTTTACCATATTGTTTGAAGATATTTTAGTAAATTAAAGGTAAGAAGATTAACTCTATATTTCAACGTTTTAATCATCCGATGGTAATAATAGTCTCAGTTTATTTTACATGTTGTAGACTAATAATAGAAGATAATTCTATGAGAAGATAAGATGATTTCTAGCGGAGAATGTCCAATTTCCTGCATTGTATTATAGTTACTATGTCATTATGTTGTTTTAAAGACCTATTGGAGTAATTTTCATTAATGAAAAAACAAGCGATATAGATTTAATCAAGATCAAAGAAAAAGTTGCCACAACTCCCGACAGTTTCACCTAAAAAATTAATAATACTACATATCACCAATAATTTATTTGATATTTCGATGTCTTCTAATATCTAACTATTTACTAATGATTTTTGAAATATTTGTTTGTCTTTTATTTACCTGGGGCACACATACACACGCACGCAACGTAAGTTCGTCTCATGAAAAGATTTCCAATTCCTCCATCGTTATTATTAATTCGTAAAGCGGATTAATCGATGGCACACTCCTCTGTCGGCTCTTGAAACACGACTGTCCGCCACACTAGGTGTAACAGCCACGAAGTTGCAAGAGGGGGGCACAGTCACATGTATCCGTTTACGAAACAACTCTGACAAACCTGGCCGGGGGAAGTGGAGGAACTAGGCATCGGTATTCGCTTTCATTTGTCGTTCAGTGTGTTATAACTGCTCAGAGAAGGACCAGCTCCTCTCTCTTCCAGCTTTCTTCAAACACCAAATCGAAGAAAAGGGAAGAAGACGTCTGGTCACTTCGAGACCCATCCTCCAAAACCAGTACAACGACAGAGGCAACCAGTTTTGAGCGCAAGGTTTGAGGATCGACGAAATGAAGAAAAAGGGAAGGTGGCTTTGCGAAATTTGAAAGGTTGGAGCAACAGATAGAGACTGAAACTTGCAAAGTGTACATAAAGTTTCGGGGGAGTACAGAGGTCGAATAAGAAGAAGTCGAGCCCTGAAATTGTAAGCAGTAAAAAGAAATTCGTGATCGGTGTCGTTACAAACGTTGAGGACTCGATCGATGAAAAAGGAACAATCGTGGACCTTGCAGCGATGATCGATGACTGGTTCAATGGAATTTTGATGAAATCAAGATAACGAACAACAAAAGAGAAAGATAAATGTTGATTTTAAATTTGGACTAACAGTGTTTGTTAGAGAAATAAGTAAGCCAGGGAAAAGGATTTGAAGATATCAGATATCTATGCTGGCCTCGCCTAGTCTTTTACGGAGTTGTCAATCTAACAAAACGGTAGAAACGTTAAATGCCAAGTGACAGACTTCTGAATTGTATCTAACGAGAAACTGTACAGGAAGAAATAATTTTGGGAGACAGTGGTGACTTTGGGAAGAAACACGTTTTATGATTTTGTGTTCGTGGGTTAAAATTTAATAGACCCTCCCTCTATCGCGAGTATTTCAAAAGAAAAACATTGATAAATAAAGAAGAATTCGTGCATAGAAGAAATTCGTGTAAATTAGGAAAAAAGAAGATATGCAAAGAAAAATGTTGAAAACACTGTAATTGATTGTATTTTATTGCCCCCAAAAATGGCGCAGTATCCACCATCCAACGAGGATATGAATAGGTTTGTAGCATTTATTTTCTGCAAAATTTCGTAAAGAAAATAGTATTCTATAAAACTCTACTAAAATTATAATTCACGAAGAGAAATAAAATTCTTATCGTGGTTACTTTGCCTGTAATTATTTTTGTCTGCACGTTTTATGTTGTTTATCTCCATCTAAAGAGTTTAATGGTAGTTTTATTGCAGCACTAATCCAAACATTTATTACCTTTGTTTAATTTAGACGTCGATCTTCCAAGAAGAAGAATGAAAAATACTAAAATTTTTAATTTCAAACGAGAAATTAATTTTTGTGAGAAGACCAATATTTGTTTAATTCGACAAAATCAATTTAACAATGATGTACGACTAAAAAATAGAACTGCATAACAGAAATTTGCTAGAAATTTTTCAATTGAACATCCTTCGATTGTATAATGGAAATTCCAGGCCTTTCGATCGTTCCATGTTTCATTGAAAGTTGTTTTCCTTCTGCAATCAACGGTCTCGTCTTTCTTTGTCAGTCATTGTGACGATAACGAGTTTATTAAAATGAATTTCAGGAAATTCATCGCTAACAATAGCTGACACCTTCCATTTTAAAACACATGTAATATACAAGTTAATTATACGTCTTTACATAACTTAGTAGCATTATATTGGCGTAGTGTATCGTGTTGAGGGTTTAGAACATTAAGGTATTATGTTCGAGGTTTCAGTAAATTACAAACGTAACTACCTTTAGACAGAAACATAAAAGATTTAAAGTTACTAGAGTAGAGAGGTTTACGATACAGAGAAAGTGTTTAAAATTCAAGGATTTAAAGTTTCAAGCGTTCAATGGTTTAACAGTTTAAAGTTTCACCGGTTCGAAGGCGAAGAAGTTAAAAATTCAAAGGATCAGGATTATTTTTTCAAATTTCAAAGTGAAACTCGAGTCGTATTTTTAAACGGGCAAACTTTTAAGAATCGCGAACAAAATTTGTCGGTTTTTGCAAGCCTCCATCGCGATTATCCCCTTTAAACTTTTACGAGCACGGATTTAACTTTTTCATCCACTTGTTGCTTCCGTATTGTAGCTTCGATAATCGTTCATATATCGGTGCAAAATTCGCTGGACCACGCTTTCCAGGGTAATGAAAATAAATCGTTTGATCGAAATTTCAGCGATTCGATGCAGCGATAAAAAAAAGTTCGACTCCAAGTTAGGAAGACGCGAAGTTTTCTAGATTCGAAACGATTATAGACCAGTTTGAAACGTAAACAGACAGCGGACAAATCATGCGGAACAACTTTCATCGCGGAAACGTAATATGCATTTCTTTCTATGAATGTTACTGCATACAGCCGTCGACCTTGATGGTTATTACCATATGCACATCCATTCATCGTGCCGTCTATTGAAATTGCTTAACATAATTTCTTGTTACTCGTTCTGCTCTTATGCATTTGTGTATAGCATGATCAAGATAAGGAACCAACTTTCCTTGTTGTCATACCAATCAGTCGATCTGTTTGTGTTTGAAAAAAGTTATGAAATGAGCACAAGCTCTTCGGACGCTAAGCCGATTTTCAAATCAGTACTTACGCAGTTAAACTCGCCCGATTTAATCGCCATAAAATTGATTTAACTGATTTCTGCGAACGATAAGCCGTGGTATTGTATGCATTAGAAAATGTTCGTAGAATCATAGATTTTACAATGCGATGTTTGCAGTCTGCTTAAAGTCAATCCAAGAAGCAGCGCTTTATAGAGCATTTATTTAAGTATTTATATTCCTTGGCAATGGCGTGCAGCGAACAATGATATTTGACTAGAATTTTGCAATTTCGTAATAACAATAGTTACGAATATTTGAGAAGAATTTTGTAAATCAATGATAGCTAAAATACTGTAAATCGGTGGATTAATAAATTGTAACGGTTTAAGGAAACTGTACGTTTAATTCGAAGAAGCATCGAAAAGTTACTTTACAATTTAATACATTGGTGCACGCTTCGTATTTCGAATAATTTTTTTCCGTGCGCAGGAAAACTGAGAAACGATTACTTTACAAAAAAACGAGCAATTATATCGTTTGCTTCGTAACTATCGATGGAAATTTTTAAGTAATAACAAAACAGTATTTCTATCGGTACGCACTTGGTAATTACAGATAAAGGTAAACTAAACCACACTAAATAGTCTGAATTTTTATTATGTGGTAATTTCAACGATAATTGAAGTTTTAAAAATGAGGATTAACTGATCGAACTAGAAAAGAACGTCGCGTGATAGGATTATATAAGTGCCGCGTAGCTTCCATAAAATAGAGTAAAATCATCTAATTCTTTGATCTTATTATCAGGAATCTTGAAACTACCGTTATCAGCGAGAAAACTTTTCGTCTGTAGTGATTTATAAGGAGAAATGAGGATTATGGTGATAAATGACAACTGCTTAACCGCTAGCTTTCAATTCTAACGATTGCGTTAGGTTTCAGGCTCAATTTTCCACGCGACTTGCTGCTAAAGTTTCTCTCCTACGATCACGCGTATTTGCTGGGATTTCCATTCGAGAATGACGTTTGGCCATTATGTTTTTTCAGGATTACTCGAGGATAGTTTTTTTACGGTGATCTACAATCGTAGATTTACAACCATCTTTAATTTATCATCTTGCTATTATACTTAATTAGTTTTGGGATTATAAGTGAGAAAAATCAAACACCTTATCTTCGTGCTTATTTCTATTTCATTTGACGTTAAGACAACCGGTATGTTCCATTAATTCTTCCATGCAAAATCAAAAGAAATGACAAAACTTTGAGGGTTTTTTTCGCTGTAGTGGCTCAAATATTGTCCTTGTTTTTTCATATATAAAAAAAAAAAATGGGTCAACATGGGTTTGACAAATTTGCTCCGACGCAATCAATGGAAATAAGAGTTCTTTCGTGCGGAAACGCGACGGTCAACCTTACGGGTGTCGAGGTGACTTTCGGACGCGAAGGCTCTTCCGGTCGCTCTTGTAAAAGTGCTCTTATCGTCACTCGAGAGTACAATTCTCGAGTGGATAGCGGGCATTAACGGATCTGGCTGTACAAAGAATTACAAGAAAAAATTGCCAAGGAAGTTACGACACGTTCTGTTTGCTCGCGCGCGCAAAAATAAAAGAAAAAGTAGGTTTCTCGAAGAGATAAAGCGATGGTTACGTTTTAAGTCCTCGGCGTCCGTCGGTTATTAAGGGATTAGCCAGAATAACTCTCGTCGGCAGCTTGTTGCGATCTTATCGCGTTAATGTCCGCGAATTCACAGCCTCGCTGAGGATTTTTCCGTGCACGTTTTGCTTCTCTTGGAATAGAATCGATAAATAAAAAAAAGACGTTGCAAATTAGTGCATCGGAGAAACGGTTAACTTCGGAGATTAGGCTCGATCTACCTGTGCGAACCGGTTTGCGAAGATCGGTGCACAGAATTACGCAAACCGACGCGGGGAGCGTGCACCGAGGCTTATGCAATTGCAGTGGTTCAGAGCGATGGTTCCTTTCACGCTGAAAGGAATTATGTCAATGACGGGAAAAACAACGCGCAATAGCTCTGGCGTCGTAAAAGGTGAATGATGGGATCATCCTTGGTGTTGGTGGCTTTGATTCACGTTACAATCGAATCGGGCCAATTCGTTACATCGTTTGCTTTCGATTATGATCCTCGTAAAATTTCCAACGCGTTCCGTAGACAATAAAACACATTTACACGAAAATGTTTTATATTTTAGTGCCATTAACGCCACTTGTTTTTATATTTTGTTGCTCTTAGCGGCTGACCCTGCCCGTATAGATTGTACAGTAGTACAGCGTGTGTTTCTGTTTTAGAAACGAGGAGAAAACTTCACCGGTCGAATTGAATGGCCACGTCGAGATTTCTTACCCGATATCGAAATTTCGACAAGCATTGCCACAATGTTGCGCAGTCTGCGCGAAAAATCTTCTGATGATCACTTTTGGATCCACTCTGGGATTCTCCACTATTCTGATACCGGAACTGCAGAAGGAGAATTCGGAGATCCCGGTCACCTTGGAGGAACTGACGTGGATCAGTAAGTACAGTAAAATTCAGATTATTCGGCATACTTGAAGTGATAAAAACGAGGAATTGGACCATTTTTATACGGGTTTTCTCACTTTACGCGGTCAAGGGACAACTTTTCGAATATTCTTAGAATTTCTACAATCCGCACAGAAAATATCAGACATTGGTCAGTCATGGTCAGACATTGTGTTTTCGGTAAAGAATTTTTTTCTTGAAAATGCGTAGGATTTCGTCGGTATGTCTGTTGACCAAAAATGATTGCAATTTACCCCTGCAACTGAAAATAATTTTTTTAAAACGATTTTAAATGTTTTAATTTTGTCAAAAAATTTCACATCTTGACGAATTTTTTTCTCGAAAGTGGGTAGGATTTCAGGGGTATGTCTAATGACCAAAAATGATTATAATTGATCCTCGCAACCGAAAATAATTTTTTTAGAACAATTTGAAATTTTCTTTTTCCCCGAAAAATTTAGGCACCTGTCTATTATTTTATTTCTAGGTAGCTTGAATCTGTTTCTCGTACCGATCGGTTGTTTCGTCAGCGGGCCGGTGTCACAATACCTCGGCCGAAAACGGACCATGTTGATGACCACTGTCCCATTCATAATAGCATGGTTGATTTTCCACTACGCCACCAACGCCGGGATGCTGTTCATAGCGTTGGCCATGACAGGGTTGACCGGCGGCCTCCTCGAGGCGCCAGTGATGACCTACGTGGCGGAGGTGACGCAACCCCATCTTCGCGGCATGTTGTCTGCCACCTCGAGCATGTCCATCATTCTGGGCATCTTCACGCAGATGCTGAGTGGGAAGCTCGCCAACTGGAGAACGGTCGCCATGATCAATTTGACTTACCCCCTTATCTGCTTCGTCGCCCTTTGCATGGTGCCGGAGAGTCCGTACTGGTTGGCAGGTGATCCTCATTCTTTTTCCTTTTCCTAAACTCATCACAAATTACGATTAAGCATCGTCGAGCGATCAAGTATCACGTAGAAATTAGAGGCTTTCGTTTGATCAGTTTATCCAACTCACGTAAGAACGCTTAGAACTAAAGACAAACTACTTCCCCGGTTGAAAACTATTTATCAGGCGTTCAAGTTAAAATATCCAGTTCATCGTTCGCAACGAATTAAGTTAAAGGTTTCGATCCAGTCAAAGATATACTCGTTAATCAATTTAAACTATCAACTTATTGAATACAAAATAATCCAAGCTTTCGTCGACGTTTAGCAGAGATTTCCTATCCAGCAAGTTTGAGATCCCTGTTTAATTCCTCCGTCGAACCGTGTTCGTGTCTTGCAGCGAAGGGTCGTTTGAAGGAAGCGGAGAGCGCTTTGTGTTGGCTTCGAGGCTGGGTTGGTCCGGGCCAAGTGACGTCAGAGTTCCAAACCGTATGCCAGGACGTTCACAAGCCCGCAGAATCGCTGGAGAAGTCCTGGAAGGCCTACACAAAGAGAACCTTCTACTTGCCCTTCATTCTGGTCACTTTTTCATTCTTCATCGGGTCGTTCGGTGGATCTAACACTCTTCAGACCTACGCTGTGGTGATCTTCAAGGAGCTGAACGCTCCCATCGAGAAGTACACCGCCGCGGTGTTCCTTGGCCTGGCTCAATTGGTCGGCACGCTGATCTGCGTTTTCGCCATTCACTTCACCGGGAAACGAATGCTGAACTTGTTCTCCATCGCGGCCACGGCTCTCTGCCTCTGCCTCGCGGCCATTTATGGTTATTTGAACGACAGCAGCACGGTAAATACTGAGAATTACACCTGGGTTCCAACCACGTTGATGATAGGAGCAGCGTTTTTCTCTCATATTGGAATCAGACTGTTACCGTGGATCCTTGCTGGAGAAGTGTTCCCTGTGAAGGTACAGGCGTTCTTTTTATGCTTTGAAAGCACTTAGAATCGTTAATTGAATGAAGAAACTGTGGGGTTTTTGACTTAGGTACGGAGCAGCGCGACGGGGACTGCTGGCTCCATGGGCTATATCTTCAACTCTGTCGCGAACAAAATCTTCCTGTACATGGTGAACGGGATGTCCTTGGCCGGCACATTCTTTTTCTACGGCTTGATGAACGTCGCTGGCGGCGTGACGCTCTACTTTATACTGCCCGAGACGGAGGGTAGAACCTTGAAGGAGATCGAGGATCACTATGCCGGCGTACAGAGCTTGAAGAACAAGCCCAAGAAGGAGGACTTGCCGTTCAAAGAGAAGTGGGCAGCCACGAATCCGGCTGTGATCTACGACGACACGGAAAGCAAAATGTGAACCCATGTTTTAGTTGACTCTCTGGAGGAACTATGACTTTGAAAATGATGCAATTTCAACATTATCGTTCGATGTTCCTTGTTCCTTTTATGGAAGGTGATAAAAACTGGTTTGCTTTAACTTTACTATTATCGATGCTAGATATTTACAGAGACGGGTACGTAAGCGGAGAGAATTTATTTTTATTAATTTTCGTAACGTTAGATAAGGCTACATGTTACAACGTTTCACGCGAAGAGTAATAGCTAGCTGTTATTGTAAATAAAAGATTCCACTATATAGTTTTGATACTACGAAGCAAAATGTTTCACCAGATTGTACCTACGGTGCGTCAGTCTTCCGTCAATATTGAGCAATTATACTCGACAAGAGATACTGACATTTGACGTTGACAAGTAGTAAAAACTTATTTATAATCTGAATTTTCTCCTTTATTATGCAGTTATGTACGTTTAAATATTTACAGTTTCATCAAACTAAATCACAGGGTATCGCAGTTTAATTCAGTCGGATTTGGAACGGTTGGTTTACAAATAGAATTTTTTGGCTTCCTCGGCCGCAGCTGTCTTCGCGACTGATTTTTCACTGTTCCACCAAAATATCGATCTACTACTTTCAGAAAGTTTTCGTGCTGTAAAATGTTTACGAGATTGGAAATTATATCGGGCACCTGCGGCACTTTCAGGTTCTGCGTCCTCAGCTTTTGAATTCTTTTACATTTTCTCAATCTGCAACGCAAAATTAATTCGTAAATTTCGAAACGCGCGTTCATGATTATATCGCGATCCCCCCAGACTACCGAAATCGAACCTAACATTGAGTTATATTTCACCTAAATTTGGCTTCATCGATCTGGCGTCCAGATTGCGATCGTTTCACAAAATCTTTCCTGCAATTAATTTCCGGTTCTGTCACTTTCCTCTCTGGCAAATAAACGTTCTGCTGATTTTGAGAATTCTGGTTTGACATATTTGAAACATCAATTTTGCAAGCAGGTACGCGTTAATTATAAAATTAGCACTAATATTTCTTGAAATTTATGAGCAACGAAATTGCTAGCCGAATAAACAAACGCGAACAATTTCGACGTTACGCGGCCTATTTCAGAGGCATGGTACTCCTTAAAATTGTTCGTAAAGTAATATTTATAGTTGATGAGTCTTCAGGCTTTTTATGATAGAGGACCTTAAGGATTCCATAGTTTCTTATAGCTGTCTATTATTTTTATCTCATTCCAAGATTGACCTGATATTCTATTTCCATTAATAATAAATTTAATACACATTATAATACAACATTAGACAGATTTTTCATTGAAACTAGAGGGTCGATTTTCATTTGTACTCTAATTAAATCAAGAGTAGATTTTAAGTTAGTATAGAAATTTTTCAATAAAAATAAAAAGTTTCAAATCGTTCTAAAAAAATTATTTTCGGTTGTGAGGGTCAGTCACAATCATTTTTGGTGAACACACATACCACCGAAATCCTACGCACTTTCGAGACAAAAATTCAGGAAGTTGGACAAATTTTTCGACGAAATTGAAAAATTTCCAATCGTTCTAACAAAATTATTTTTGATTGCAGTGGTCAGGCCAGGAATGTTTTTGTAATTCCATTTTCTGTTTCACTTCCTCTTCTGTTCATTTCCGCGATTTGTTGGTAACGTTGCAAGTGACACGAAAATGGTAATGGGGCCCCTAGAGCCCCAGAAAAATGGGTCAAAAAAATACATTGGGTAAAATGTCTACTCGTATACTTGGTCTGTGATTCCCTGTTCCGAGTAGAGGTCGATAAATGGCCAACGGTCGGTAAACAGGGGATCGTCAAAGGACCTGTAAAAGCAGCGTGCATAGTCGTAGGGCAGTGGAGTGTGTATGTTGGATCAACAAGTGTCCTCCAGTAGAAACGAGTTCCTCCTGGCGATATATTGATGTCAGCCGGGTTGCTTGTGGCGCAGGCGCGGCCTTCCTCGGGATTGGCCCGTGGACGGGCGGGGGTCCGCGAAATGGTCGATATTTTAGCTATAGCGGGCTACAGTGGCGCGAGGCTTTACCGAGGCCAGTCCAGTCTCTTTAAAATCATCGCGAAACAACCCCCGTGCTGCGTGCGTAACGTTGTGTCGGATCTCTGGGCTCGCGTTTCACCGGAGATTCATTGTCGAGCCGAGGTGGTGCAAAGGCTCCGGAGTGCAGCGCGCGGTGCATCCACGTTCAGCGATCAGCCGTGAGAGGATCATCCCTTTTCGGAGGTACTTGTCGGAGACGACTTGTCGGATAGGATGGACAGACTCGTCCGCGAGGTTTCAGGTGCCCGAGCATCGCGATTTCGAGCCCTGAACATTTCTGTCCGACCAGCCAGTCCGTCGATAGACTGCTTATTGATTTCGCTCTGTCTCCCTCTTTCCCTCTGCTCTTCCTCGCTTCTTCTCCGTCGCGCTGGAAACCCGTGGCCCGTCGAGCCAACTTCCCACGCACTTTGCGCGTTACACGTCGCTTGTACAGGTATTCGTTTTATTTTCATTCATCCTCGTCGGTGTACTTGCGAAATGCGTGCCGCGTTCGATCCGCCAGGTGAAACAGGGGTTATGGATTCCCCACGGCTCGTCTCCGCTTTGAATCTCGCTTCGCGGGAAGCCAGGGCCGATCGTTAGCGACGATATGCCTTCGTGACATGTTTCCCTTTGTTACGTGTAACCCTTTTCCCCGGTGGTGTCTGTCTTTATCTTCGTGGAGGCCTCGTGTCACGCTTCTCGTCTCGGGTCCTCGGAGCATCGCGTCAGCTGTAAACCGAGTCAAAGAGCAAAGATTTTGTGGGTAAAAGGGACCGGTGACGTCGAACCGACGAAATCCCCCTTCAAGAATTTACTCGCATCGCTGACAAGGCGACCGGGTAGCTAGAAATTTATCGACCCGACGCCGATATCGAAGAATCCGCCGTATCGATTCGTACGCGTTTTCGAGGATCCAGATTCGAGCGTCACGACGTGCATATACGGAGGCTCCATCTTTCGTCTACGTTCATTCTGCCAGCCGCTGAAATCGAAACTATGTAACGAGCGGCGTGGGTGGACAGGGTTGGGAATCGATCTTCCAAAAATATTTGCTCTGTTGCTACCCCCTCCCCGTCGACACCACTACCCCGTGGCGCAACGTAATCGACAAGCGTGGAGGTTCCTGTTTTCTCAATGTTGTTTCCGCCATTTTAGCTGATTTTCCACTCGGTACGTCGGAATTATGAATTCGAAGCAGGGGAAATGGTCGAACGCGTTAGTAGTTAGTCTGGAATCCCAGAAGGAGGTCCCTTGTTTGAGAGAAACGGCACGAGTTATATTTGGATTAGGTCTGGGTCGAATCTAGGGTCGCTAATTGCTCCACTATACTCGTGCAATATTAATTAGAATGTGAACCATTTAATCGGCCTTCCAAGTTGGTCTGACCTTTGCCGTGTTGTTATATTTCCGGTAACAGGCAATAGAACTTTAGAAATTCCCCGGAATAAGATACGGAATCTTAAGAATCATAACTAGCAGCTCGTTATTTCGCTGACTGCGGGTGTCGAACGTGGAGATTTGATCCGCAGTGCCTTTCCCTCGCTATTCTACCTTGTTTAAACGCATTCCATTGTCGCGTTCGTTCGGTAGAATCGTACTTATCGAGAGGTTCTTCACAAAGAGGATGCAGTCAATGTAGAGTATCGACAACAGGGAAGAGGGCAAGGAGTCCTTTCAAACAACACCATTCACGGGTCCTTACACTCGTCTCCATATATTATGCTCCCTAACAGCCTGTTCAAGCATCGTTCCACATTTCCTCGATCACCTCCACCTGTTCAGACATTTTCACTTCTTCTTTAGTAGTTTCGTAACGAATGAAATTAAATTTTTTAAAATGGAATTAAACGAAGGGAAAAATTAATTTACGAAAGAGTCTGGAAATTTGATTTGTTATTCGCGAATAAAGTTTGGCCAACTCCGTTCCCCGATTCACGTATCCTCGGATACGCAGGATAGCGGAATTCCTGTTTAGCCAACGGGCGAAACAGGTACGAAACAATCGTGACCGACAGAGAAATGCTTGCCAACCCGCCAATCTCAATAACGCGACCGATCCTAGCCACCCCCCGAAGCTCCACGTGCATTCTATGAATTAGGTCAGTCCCTCGTCGAGTCTTCGGGGCACTTTTACGTTTACGGGCTCCGGCCACTCGTCTGAAATTCTTTTGCCGGTGCATTCGGCGTCGAAAAATTGTCGCTCGGCGCGTTATCGCGGCGCTAAGGATGCAATTGTGTGCAGCACGAGCTGCACGTCGACGTTAACATATGGACGGCGATATGATTATCGCGAACCTTGTCCCACTTTCTTCGGCTCGGGCTCCACACGAGCGCGGTGCGTAGGTGGCTGACACATTTTCCCCGCGAAATCTTTTCCCGGGTTTTCGGTATCGACCGCCAGGTTGTCGATCTTCCGGCATTTCAGCCTGTTTCAAAAAATATTCCGCGTTTTAATGTGATTTTCTTCCTTTTGTAAGACACGGATGGTGGATTCGTGTTTTCAAACATTTGTTTTTTTTTAATGGGAACTTGAATAATTTGAAACCTGGTATCCTTTGCTTCGTTTTAAAATTTGCCAGAAGACGATCGAGTAACCCAAGGAACAATTTTTAGAGAAATACACCAACGCCTGTATGCCGCGCGCATACGCTACTCTCGCGTAACAGATAGCGTTATCGTTTTCCGCGACTAAATTCAACCGGAGGATTAAAGCATCGTTCGAGTAAACTCTGACGCGACCGAGGACAAAAATTGCCTCGCAGTCGGGAAGCGAACGTTGCTTCGAACAAAGTTCCCTCGTCGATCGAGGGGGTACGCGTTGTTTCGAACGAAAATTTATTCGTGGAGTTTCGCAAATCGTTCGAAATAAAATTCGTTCGACCGTGGCTGGGAATCGGTGAGGCAGAAGCGATAGAACTTGAAAATCTGAGGGAATTCTGGAGTTGCCGTCGCGACTCGAGCATGAAATCGATAAGAACCTCCCACTCAGTCTGAAAAGTTCGCAGTGTCTGTGCCTCAGCGTCGTTTATTTATAGTCCTTTCACCTGGAATTTATTTTCAGGCATAACTACGCTCCGGAATTCTTCGCTATTCACTTTCTGACGCTCTTCGTCAACTATTTCAAAGTTAATGACAGTCATCTTGCTTTCCTAGCAACGCTAACGAGCACTCGACAACGTTATGTACAGTCGATTCGTCTGGAAACGATACCGATAGAATTACTATTTGTTAGTCGAGTTTGGGGGAAAATTTAAGGGTTGAGACAGTTCGAAACGAGCCGTTGTACCCTCCAAATCTCCACGACATTCGATTTTGCATGATTCTTGCAGACTCCGACTCGCAAGATTTTTATTTTCTCCGAGGTTGCAGCGTTGAATTATCCGTCACGATTGCAGTTATAATCTTCAATTATCCTAAACAGATGCAATCAGAGTCCTCCGTGGATCCGATTCCATCGCTCTCGCAACTTTCAACCGTCCGTTTCGTTTCCAGCTGCGAGTTTAAATTACTTGATCGCGTCATGATTACAAATTTCAATTATCCCAATCTGGAGCAATCGGAGCCTGCAATTATCGGTTGCTGTGGCGACTGCCAGTGTCAATTATCCGAGTTAGTTATAGCTACGAGCGCAAACCGACGTTTCGATCGCCGGGTCGCGTCTTCCGAAATTCGCCATGGCGACGCGTCGATTTTTAAGCGTTTCTCGAAACAAGTTCGACGTTTTTTTTACGCGCGGGTCTGCGATGTATACGAGCGCACCTGGCGACCGGAAAAAGTCACGGACACAGACGCGGAACAGCTCCTATCGCGTAGGAAACAAAGAACGATTAACGACGCCGATACGGCAGAAGTTCTGCGGGCTACGAACTAATGTATTTCATTCCCAATGTCGTTCGAGCCAAAAGGGAGAGGGGGAAACGACGAACCAGGAATGGATGGTTCGTAAAAACCGACATAAAAGCGTTTATGTCCGCGCGACTGACAGTAAAGACCCAAGAGGTGAATGAAGCGCGCGATGGAACGGTAAATTTATTTACATTGAGGATATTTAAATGAATGAAACGTTTGCTGATACGCACTTCCTGGTCAGCAATTTTTTTCCCAGCATATTTTCAAACGAAAGCATAGCTCTTGCAAACATTCCTACACGCTAATATTATTTTTTAAATTACAGTGGAAGAAATAGTTTTAACATCTCTACATGGAAATCCAAGTCGCGTTTTAGTCTTCTTCCCTTTTTCAGAACCAATTTAATTATTTATCAGAAACGTCTGGATTGCAAAAGAAAACTCGATAAAAATTCGTTTATATTTTTTCCGAAATAATATTTCTCGGCCCTCGACGGTTACCATTCTTTTGCCATTCCTGCGTGGGCGTGTGCACGCGTAAGAAACCGCGATACCGTTGACAAGAAATAAACGCGAACTGGAACGAAGGATACGTGTCCACGGTGTCAAGATCGACGAACACGGTCGTCGAATAAAGAGCTCGTGACTCGATGTATCTTGGCGCATACATTAGTCGCAAGTGTTCGTCGAACGCTGTCAAGTTGCGGGCGGACGAAATTCGAGGCGTCTCGAAAGCAAAACGGGACCGTTGGGGCGTAAATTTTCGTTGGAGATGTCGGAAAAGGGGAAGAGAAGTCAGTCTGGAAGCGCGAGCAGACCGCCAGTGAAGGACTCCGTGCTGGAAATGCGAACGAGGATGGCGCGAATGTTGTCCATTGGCGAGATTACTTCGCGGGGCTCGTTTCCGGTAACGACACGTGTACACTAGTGCCAGTTCCTGTCGTTTCACGACGATCGCGGATAGTGCTGGTCGATCGGGGATCGCGTTCGCCTCGCGGTGGTTTTCGTGGCGAGGAAGCAGGTTTTAAATATTGGATATCGATAGGATGCGTAGATCCTGGAAGGAGATTAGCGTGGATGGAGGTTAAGGAAACGAGGGTGGAAGAGTTGGAGGTAAAATATCGAGGCGAATACGGTAGATAATCGTGGTCGAGGAACGATTAGATTTTCGAGGATCGATGATGATATATTTGGGGATATTGCAACGAGTGTTTGAAAAATTGTAAATAAGAATTAAGAATTGCAGAGTATGTAGTTAGTTGTGATTACGATTGAACTGGAAACGGTGCATTGGAAGTGAAAATGCGATGAAAGTAATATTCGAAGGTAGTAAATTATCAACAGTTACTTTATGGGGAACGAGGATTGTGTCAAGATAGAAAAGTAGAGATTATGTAGACAATCGTGTTTGAGTAACATTAGTTACAAAGTAACATTGAAAGGTGGTAAATTATTAACAGCAACCATATGGGAAACTTGGAAAGCACGAGGAGAGGCAGGTTGGAGGATCGAATAAAATAAAATACAATAATCTGAGAGCAAAAATATCGAATTAGAAATAATATATTTGCTTTCAAGAGTGTATGAAATTTATTTGAAAAGTGTACAGAAAAATTGATAAAAAAAGTTTTACCTCGTGCCATACAATAGCCAATACGATCCAAGGTTGTGCCAGATCAAGATTGAAAGAAGTGTTTCCAACGATTTGAACCTGCTTATTTATTAGCGACGAAATTAACGAGTAATACTAGCTATTAAACTTTCGTTGCTTTTTGCAAGTGTTCTACAATATTTTAAACTGGGGAAAGAAAGAGCTTTTTCTATTTTATTTAAAGTCGTTATCCTTGACTTCTTCGTAAACGTGTATCGATTTTCTCGATTCTGGTTCTGCGAGCCTACAACATTGTCACACTTTCACACAACGTACAACAGACCATGAATATTATCTTTTTAAAAGAAACTGGTTCGAAAATAATCAGATAAAAACCAAAGCAGAATTACCGTCTACTGATTCTTTCTTTACAACGTAAGATATGAAAAAAATAATTGTTTTCAATGTCGACCCTTAAAGGTAAAAGAACACGACCGCGCGATTAGGTTTCTGCTCGTGAAGTTCTGCGATTAAAGTAGTACACTTTTTTGCGTTGTTGACCACCCCTCTTTCCAGGGGTGGAAAGATGAAGTGTCGTTTAAAGAGCTCGACGCGAACTCGGGGCAGCAATGCGTGGCAAAAGAAATTTACTCGACTCGACCCTCGACCTTCTTGAAAAACGTATTTGCCCTCAAATAATGTAAATGTCTCCGTATCTCCACGAAATATTAGGTCAAACGCAAACGTCCCCTCGAGTCCTCATCATGGCGTTTGCATAATTGAATTTCGAAATCAATACAGAGTTTACAATACGAGAACTTTCTAAACGTATAAAAGGAGTCGGTAGCAAATATTGATCCCTCGAATTCCCAAGAAAATCATTTCTAGGCTACTCTTGAAGGTGTGAGCGTAGGTTTTAATAGTTATTAATTGTGACGATTATCTGCTCCAAAAATTGAAAAAACTTTGGGACCTGGCCTGAATTTAGGGCTATTCGAGGCACAAAAATGTTGAAACGATCAAAGTAGTCTTTGAAGAGAGGACCAACAATTTTCGATTCAGTTTGACGAAAGGGACGCTTCCAGAAAGTACTGCATTCTCTTTGAGGATATTTGAACCGTGATTTTTTGCAGATGGCGGGCTCCAAAGCTGGCGAGGATCCAAAGAAGGAGGCCGCGGACCAAAACTACGACTACATGTTCAAGTTGTTGATTATCGGCAACTCGTCCGTCGGCAAAACGTCCTTCCTCTTCCGCTACGCGGACGATTCCTTCAGCTCGGCCTTCGTATCGACCGTGGGGATCGACTTTAAGGTGAAAACGGTCTTCAGACACGACAAAAGGATGAAGCTACAGATCTGGGTCAGTACACGTCCATACCGTTTGTTCCGAGCGCGACATCGACAATCTTCGTAGTTCATTAATTTTTACACGGACCGTTTGTCTCCTAGCGAATCGAACTTTCCACGCGCTTAGAGCCTCGCGTACAAGGCGAGCCAATCAAACAGAAACGCCACATTTCTCTTAAATCGTGGAAAAATATCTTTTTAAAATTCTGAAGTTCTAACTCAACTCGAAAAATATTGTTAATCAAAATTCACTGAAAAGATTGCTCGAAAACGTAAAAAATCGTTAATTGTACGCTCGAAGATTTAATCGTCTATATTTTAAATTCGTATTGTGGTCTTGAAAAGTTTCACCAAAAGTAACTGCGTTTGTGTATTTTATCGAAAAGATCGAGAACTTTCTACGTTATTTAACAATATGGTAGAAACTAAGAGAACTGAAACGTACGATCGTTCTGACAAGTTTATCCACACGTGGCTTCATTTATCACTCGAAAGAAGATATATCACACCTCACGCGTGTATTTTTTATTTACGACAGTCGGTCGTATCTTTTTAATCGGCTTCCACGAATTTTTTCCCCCGTTCGCGATACGCAATTTCATAACTGTTTGGAGTTTGATTTATTTAGAAAGAGAACGAAGGAGAACAGGGATGACTATTTTGTTTTATTTCAGGACACTGCGGGCCAGGAAAGATACAGAACGATAACGACGGCCTACTACAGAGGCGCTATGGGTTTCATTTTAATGTACGACATCACAAACGAGGAGTCGTTCAATTCGGTACAAGACTGGATCACGCAGATCAACACTTACTCGTCCGGCAACGCTCAAGTAATACTGGTTGGCAACAAGTGCGACATGGAGGACGGTAGGGTGATCAGCGCCGAGAAAGGCAAGGAATTGGCGGACCAACTGGGCGTGCAGTTCTTCGAGACATCTGCCAAAGAGAACTTGAACATTAAGGTAAATCCGAGATTCGACTTCGACCTGAACGAATCTGGGAATTCCTATTATAATATCTCGTGATATAGATCCAAGAAAACGCCAATAATCGAATGAATTCGTAATCTAATTTTAATCTTGGAGGTCGAAAACGTGCAGACTGAATCAAGCGCCATAACACAGGATGATTCGAATAAATTTGAGGTTCGATTTCAGCCTGGGGAGCACTTTTATTATGTGCTATCGAACATCATCGACGTTAAAATCATTTCAATATCGAGAAATTCATAAACAAATGTACATTAACGTCCCTCGAAACAGAGATAATGATCCAAGGGAATTTTCAAACCGACCGCATTTTATGCAAGTTTCTCGACACTTTTCCCCGCTTGAAGTCAATTTCTTCGACTGTTTACCAAGCCCATTATCCGCGCAGTGCATCGATCGCGTTTTATCATCATTAGCGAACGATGGCGGAAAGGTTATCGTGTCACGTTTCAATGCTTATTCCCATCTGCAAGGTGTGTGTACTGTATCATTACCTTCGATCATGCGGCCTCCATTGCCGGTTGTCTACGACCGTTAATCACTCTTACACAACCCGTCGAACATATTGGCATTGGCACATCCACATCCAGCCGATCAATTTTTCTGTTTGCAGTCAGTCTGCCGCAAGACTGTGGACTGTCACCGTTGTTCACCAAAAATTTAATCGAGTGACTCTTCTGTGCTCACAGTAATCGCGAATTACGTGAAAATTAGGTGGAAGATTCGTATAAAAATTACAGCAACGTGGTTTATTTTCCATGGAAAGTATAAATATATACGTATATTGGTGAAATATATAATTTATTTATTTATTCAGTAATGCAAACCTAGTTTCTTCGCACAGATTTGGACGAAGCTTATCGTAAAGTTAATCTTGCGCCACGAAGACGTAGCAAAAGAAAACTCGTTTACGCGTTAATTTTAAACCGTTGCAAGGTATCGACAAAATTCTTGTTGATTCGTAACGAAAGGGGCGTCTCGTTAACACGAGTTCCTCTGTCCTCGTAGACGGTGTTCGAGCAGCTGGTGGACATCATATGCGACAAGATGAGCGAGTCCCTGGACAACGATCCAACCCTGATCGTCGGTGGCGTGGGCCAGGCGAAGGGTCAACGACTGACCGATCAGCCGACCAATCCAGCGAACGCCAACTGTAATTGCTAAGAACATGGATGGCCACCTAAACGCTATACAAGGGGGTTAAGGAAGAAGAAGGACACCGAAGAAGAAATATTAGAAGAGAAACGCGTGTATGTCTGTACATGTGTGCGTGAACGCGTGTCTATCTTGTGTGTTTGTGTGCGTGTACGCTCGTGTGTACCTGTGTGCGTGGGAAAGAGAGAGCGAGGTAGAGGGAAAGACAGAAGGAGGAAGGTCGAGTGATAAAGCTGGCTCTAGTTCACCCTGTTCGTCGTTCCTTTACCCTTGTTTCCGACCGTTCTTCGTTCCGATCTTTTTCTTTCCTCCTTTCTCGATCGATATATTTATATATGTGCACATAAATACGTATATATACATAGGGTGAGCCGTGAAATTCAACTAATTGTTCTCGCCTTGACGGAGCGATCCGAGGTTCCTTGGTGTCGTGACCGTTCGGTCCCAGCCGAGTCTGGAAACAATTCTGGACGACCGTACGACACGCCAAGAGCAAACGGAAATTAAATTCGAACGATCGTGAGACAGAGCTTGAATTCCATGGCGACGTTCACTGTATAGTTTCTATCCCACGTTTCTAAGTTTTTCCAGGTTCTCTTCGGGAATTCTTTAGTGGACTGTTCGATTGAAGGTTCTTTTTTAAACGACTTTAGCGATCGAGTACTCGAGCAACGTACTTAGATTAATTCCATTGTGTATCATATCACGATAGCAAGGTCCATACTCTTTGGAAATGCTGAAAATTCGCTCACTCTCCGCTATGCTGCCGAAGAATAACAAAAAAATGTGTACTATATAATCTTGCACGAGTCTCTGTACCAAATCGTCCAGGTCGATGGGCTTCGAAGTCGGTCCACTGACGGCGAGAACAATCAGGATGGCTTAAATTGGGCCACTCACCCTGTATACATGTATAAATATGTATGACGGTTGTAGCCTGATTACGCGGAGGTGTCACCGAGCTGATCCGAGACCGATTGCGAGCGGACGTCGTTCATTTTTGCGGGTTCGACGGTGAAAATTCGAGAAACGGGACGAGAAATCGACGAAGGCTCGAACGGAAATGGGTTCTCGCGACGCGAAAAATTTGAAACACGCGTCGAGCTTCGCCTTTCGCCACTATCAGCATTATAGTTTCATCGACGGTACTAATTAGTTTCTCGAACGATTTTGTTAACGAACCTGGAGACAGACGGACAATAATGAGAAAATGATAATCAATGGGAGAACGATTTTTCTACGAGCGAAATGGACGGAGAACGCATCGTTGATGTTTCATTTGTTACCGTGTCGATAGCAAGTTCCGAGAAAAATTGTTTTGCAGTGGCGAAAGGAACGATGTTCTTGTGAGATTGCGTAAACGATCGGCTGTGTTCTTTCGAAATAATTCCAAGAACGTACTGTTATCGTAGGCGTCGTTTTTCGTTTTCCTCCTCGTCTTTTCCTGGATTTGTCGTTGTAATCGGTCTCAAAAGAACACAGCCGCCACGATAACGATTGTCGTTGACGATCTGAAGCGCACCTGGATTCGTAGCGGAGAATATTCGACGATCCATGGGAGGGAAATATCGATTTTAAAAAGAAAAAACATTTGTTCGAGGACCGCGTCGAGCCGCGTGCACGCTTGGAAAAATTTTTGGGGTCGACGAACGTTTAACGACACAAATTTAGGATACGTGTAGCCACGAATTAAACGAAACTTCACGAGTCTCGTCGACGTACGTTTTCTTGAGCGTGGACGCGGCGCCATTGGGCCGTGGACCTGTTCAAGCGTGCAATTCATGTGACAAATAAATGTTATGCGTTCAATTGCAGCTCTGGCAACAAAGAAAGAAATATATATCTGTGTTGTATTTAATGAAACTTCGTAATAGGTTCGAAACAATGTTTGTTTTATTTTATTTTCGTTTTGACCCGTTCACGAACCGAAACTCGAAGACAGGATCCGTTTGAGGTATTTCGGGGGGACAGTGTTTTGACATTGTTCCAGGACTTTTCAGCGATTTGAATATTTCATCGTTTTTTCATCGGCCTCGACGAACACAAAGAACCGTTTCTTCGGCGACGATCTTTTATTTTCATTTTCGGGATTCGTTCTCGTTCGAATCTGAAATCTCGACGACGTCGTCCCGATGCACAACACTAATTCAGATCCTCGAAAGGCTCGGGCACCTGTGACGATGTTAATAGAATTGTTGCGACGGCTGAAGTACGTCGGCGTGGACGTTGAATCGGGGAAATTTCAGGAAAATCGAGGATGTTGGACGCGTCCCCCTTTCGATCGAAAGACTTTTGCTTTTCTCGTAGCGATTCGATCGTCGACGAGAGCGAGGAAAGGGAATTTTTAGTTTGGAGTTTTATAAGTTCCGGTGACCGAGGAATCTTTGAGACTGCAATTAGGAAAATTTTAGGGGAAACGTAATGGAAATATTTTCCATACGTTCGTAAAGTCTTAGCCACGTAGGAAAAATAATCGAGAATACTTGAGTAGGAAAATGACGAGAAAATGGTGTAAACATCGAACTAGCTAATTCATTGGAAAAATAACGAAGAAGAACGTTGTATCGATTACTGAATATATTTAACGAGACGTAATAACGAAATTTATGCGGTGAATAATGTGGAACAGTCGTTAAAAAGAGTTGAATAAGACTCTGGAGAACATGCTGAGGAATATCGAAGTTATCGAGGAGTTAATTGAATAAATACTTGATTAAATCTCGATACTCTACCATTATAATTTTAATTAAAGTGTATTGATTTCTGGCTTCGATGTATGCGTGACAATAACTAGAAAGTTGCTGGTCAGTCGATGCCGAGAAAAGCGAAATTCCAATATGCGAGACAAGTCAACCATTTTGCATTGAGATCCGTGTACCTCGATGCCCCATTTTCGCAACAATCTTGGATTGGTGAAATTCATTGGGAAAAGCTGAAATTCAATTGTTCCTGTTCCGCCTTCTAACGTTTCATTGACTAGAGAACGTTTAGAGTCGTCGCGTTGGTAAGAGTTCGTTAATTAAACCTTGGGGGGAAAAAAGCAGAACAGTGAAGTTAGACGACCTGATTCGCGTTTAAAATACTTTGTTTCGTCGAAGCACTGTTAATACCAATGCATACTTTGCAAACGTTTATAAATGTCATGATTCTTTACAATAAATTCGGAATTATTTTTACTGCGACCTTTCTGCAATTAATTCGACCAGAAAATGGTGGCTCGTTTAATTCCTCGCAGGCCACGCTATCGACGAACTTTTTAATTTCGCAAAATATTTTTATTTGCAAACCGGTGGAAAGGAAAAATGATCTCGACGGTTTGAACCAACGATTCGTTGTCTTTCCTTCACGATAACGTTAATCGAGAATACAAGCAAAGCTGAAATCAATATTGGACGAGACAGAAATTTGATGGAAACAATTTTTTTGATCGCTCACCACTCCCGAACGATAGTTTGAAATCGAAGGAATAAAAAGATTTGAGGTACATTAGCAAGAGAGCACCGATCTTTGGCGTCAATTATCACGAAAAGCATGGCGTCCATCCGATTGCTTGAGTCGTCGCTTGGCGTTATAAACCTACTAGGCAACCTGCCCCTCTGTACATACAGCAATATATATATTTAAAAAAAATACCTATTATATATATTATATTATATATAAATATATATATATATATATTACTGAATCTGTAATGAAGTGCAATGTAAGCGTTACTTATTCATGTGAACTCGGGCAGAACCCCGAAGAAGAAATGAATCGTCATCGTGTAATCGAGAAGAATAAAAAACAAGAAAACCGTAATCCCATCGATCGAAGAAAATTGTACGATTGTATCGATCAGATCGGTGAAAAATAAAATATGTGCTGTTGACGCAGAAGTGTGACTGTCAACAGAATCACGAGCCTCTTCGTTCTTTATTTTAGTCGTTTTACGAAGCGAATGGCGACGTTTTTCATTTCAGCCTTGCTGATTAATCGCTACCTGGTAAGCATTGATCTCTCATCATCGTTCATAATCGTTCCTAGTTCAATTAATTTGTAAATAACTCATTTTAAAATATCGATTAATTTAAATCTCTTTGCAACAGTATCTCGAAACAATTATTCTTAGCAATAATTTTTTTATTTCGTTATATTTTAGATGAGGATTTTAAGATTCTTTTCATCGATCCGAGGTAAGTGCATCAAATACTCAAATTTATTTCATTGCTACTACCTTTATTGATCCGAATGCTTTGATTTTATAGAGACGATAGAAAGACGAGGTATTAAAACTTATTTTATTTAATTGTAATTTTTAAATTTTGCGCCATTTTATCGCGCGTAATTTTTGATTCCAGTAAATAAGACTTTTCGTTTAAATTCTTGAATTCATTCAAATTAAATTCTTAATTTGATTTATTATGTTGAAACGACGAAGCGGGCATACGCGAGCGCGTTTTAAGGCGAAAAGTCTGGTGGTTTTAGCGGGAAAAAGTTGGGAAATGTACAATGGCAACAAGGTAAAGGAATTTTCAGTGGCATCGACCCAGCGGTCGAGCTTCGTTAACGGTCCCTTTATGAGGGGATGATTAGTTTCTGAATCCTCGGTTCCACGGCGGTGGACGTTAACGAACTTGTCAGAAATCGCGGAACTGTACGAGATTAAAGAGCTGGTCGGCCAGGAGGGGGAGAAGCGGAAACTGGGTTAGACGAACTATTAAAAGACGCCCGACATTTGTGCCCGTTTAATATTTTTATTCGAGCCGGCGATAATTTTTTCTTCGAACGAGCTGTTCTGGGTTAGAGGTTACTCGACCTCTTTTAAAATTCTAATCGACCCGAACGATTTTCGTCCACATTTAACGAGCAAACAAACCGACAGCGAATTCCCTCCTTTTTTATCGAGTTTCCAAATTTCTCGAAAGCCGTCCGTTTTTAAAAACAAAAAGGATCTCTGCGTTTAAACGACCGTAGACACAACATTTTTCTCGTGTTTATTTTGATTCGATAGAATGCGTCGATTATTTGGACATCAGAGTGCAATGAAACGTACCAGAGTTAATCTTTGACATTTCAGTTCGAGTTTTTCGCTGGTATTCCCTTTTATATTTTTAATATAACTTTTATTTTGCTTCTGAATAAATTAGAATTTAAAAGAAATTCTCTTTCACGGTGTTTATTTACCGAAGGCACGATTTCTCCGGGAGCAAATCCGTGCCTCGGATAAATTGTATAACGAGCTCCGGATTTCGAGCATCGAGATAAAATGGTTAGGAAAAATTAAATGGCGGCTCGTCTACGTTTCGCTGATGGACTCGTCTGTTGAATCAGCGAACCTTATCTTAAACGCAGAATTCGACGTTATCCGATTTGTTATTTAGTTATTTAGTAGGAACATCCTTTTCGATTTATCATTTATTCACCAGAAGCATCGAACCGACCTAATTTTATCTAATTCATAAAAAATTTCGAGGATGAAGTCTCTCGAAAAAAATGATTGAAACGGATAACAAATCACGCGCAACTGTGCGCAATATTAAAAATAGATGCAAAGAATCGAGGACAGATCTCGAATGGGTCAACCAAAAAAAGTCAGCAATCTCAGCAAAAATAACCGTGAAATAAATGTTGCGCCTGAAACCATGAGAATTGTAAATATATTAGTCAAAGATATTAATTTAGAATCTGACTATTTTCGTTCGAGGGCGCATTTATGCCTCAGGGGTTGGAAATTTGAATTTTGAAAATTCAATTTCAACAAGACTAGGCTAGTACTGCTAAATGTGTTTAAAAATGAATCTTTTTAATTCTTTTTTTTAATACGTGGGGGAGATATTCTGGCTAATGAAGTTAGGCGCGAACATCCAGTATTTAAAGGCCGCCTAAATTCTTCGTCAAAGCGACCCAGATTCGTCTGCACGGGGGCCACCAAAAATACCATCCACAATTCCTGAAAGCAAAATCACAATAAATGCCAGAACGGAACATCTCCTAGGATCCCCGTGTTTTATTGGTTATATTCGTGTGTTCGTTTCCCTCGTCCCTCGACCCTTTCCTCCGGCTCGTCTCAATTCCTTCCGGCAACCGTGAGAAAAAAGGCGACGTTCGCTCGTTTTTCATTCTTCGAGACCGCCTTCGTTCCTCGACCCTTACACCAGCGGCACGGATCGCATATTTCCCTGTCCTGTCCCCTTGAATATTTCATTTTGCCCCGTGCAATGCGATTTTCTCCGTTTTTCACGGATTCCCTTCTCCCTCTTCTTCCGGTCGCGTCTCGTTGCTCTCTCCTCATTGTCACTTAACTTGTTCCGTTCCGCGTCTCGACGTATTGTTTTTCTCCCTGCAGGCGTCTCGATTGAAACTGTCTCGTTCCGCTGGAAAACGGAATTTCACGCCCCGGAGAACTTTGAAACAAAACAATTAACAACGCGTCCTCTGTCCGATCGACGCTCGCAAAATTCACTTCGATCGGGAAAAAGAGCACTCGTTCTGCCATTTTGCAGCGAGCTGCTTCTTCCTCGACAGAATTCCAAGGGTTGTAGGCTATAAATTTACTTACAGCGAAAAGTTCAAGTTGAAAATTTGATTTAACCAAACGAAACACCTTTTGTTTTTCTTCCATTCGTTTCCAATCGGTTTTTAAACGGCGTTTATTTTTGATAGTCCATTTACGATACTTCGCTTTAAAACAATCTTTTTTAAAGGCGGAACAAATCGCGTTCCCTTCTCTTATCGTTGGATGTTTGTTTGCGTTTTCATCCTGATCGTGCCACAATTTTCGTACGACCTACAAATACAATTGAATCGATTCGGTCTGCTTTTAACGCGAACGGAGGCGATGCTGCCAGAAACGCGATACCGGGGCGGAAGCGGAGGAATCGCGGCCCAGAAAAAGGATTCTGTCGTGTGTGTCAATATTCATTAGACTTCCTCGGGCTTTGACTTTTATCGACAAGGCGGTATTCCAGCCGAGACGCAGATATTCGTCGGAAGAAACACGGGTTCCTTTTCCAATCGGGAGTGCTATTGACGCGTGGCCCAGAATCGCGATAACTTCTTAAAATATATTTAAAGACATTCCATGTCGGCCGAGATTCCTCGGAGAGGATCCGATTCCGGTGAACTGGAACAACCGGGCGAGTGCTTGTTAGAATCGTTACGAAATTTCGGTAGCAAAACAGAAGTTCGTAATAAAAGGGGAGCAGGCATTTTACGAGGAGCTCGGAAGCAAGGAAATAACAACCCTTTTTCGTTCTTACGTTGCCAAGAACGTCAAACGGTTCGTAAAAAACGATCGTTCGCGAGCTCTGCCTCTCTTTAGATCCTTCACAGGATACCTCGCGAATGATCGAAACTTCTCTGTCACATCTGTTTATAATAGGTTCGTTAAACTTTCTCCGCGGAACATTTTGAAATATTCCTAGGAGTAGACCATTGTCTTTGATTGACCCCGCGAAAAGAAATCTAAGGGATTAAGGTCAGCCGATCGAGAAGGCCATTCTATTATACTAGACATCCTCGTCCTATCCGCCTCTCTCCGAAGGTTTCATTTAAGTGTTGCCACGCGTTAATTGAATAATGTGGTGGAGCCCCATCACGCTGAAATAGATACAATCTCTCAGAGCCCGAAATCGTTCATCAAAATGCTGCGATCAGCTTTCTCCCCCATTTTTACCGTTATGGAAATTTGCAAACCCGTCGGTACACGGAGGAGGAAGTTCTCGATGCATTTTGTTGATTACCGTTGGCAAAACGCCAGCTATTTCGAATAATCGACAGGTTTCGAGACTCGAAGGCGAAGGTGACTTCGCGGAACTTATTTTCGACACAAACGAATTCGAGAGAAACTTTATTATTGTTTTCCCTAGGTCGGGTATATAATAATATTTTATTTTATTTTTCCTAGCCATTTCTTCTTTCGTTTCGTGGGAACGGACTGTATCCGTCGCAAAGGGCGTGCACGAGTCTTCTATATGCTGAATTTGAAAAGATCAGACGCAGAATCCGGAATCCATCGTGTTCGTAAAAATACCCTTGCTCCCGTTTCGTTTTATCGCGTCCCTTTGGCCGGGAGCTGGATTCTTTGGGTCGCGTCGGTGAATGGGGGAGGGAAAACGCAGAGAAAGGGCGGCGAATCGAGGGTAATAACCGAGAGACCCTCGCGATTCTCGTCAGGGTTGCAGGAAGGTTCACCGAAACTTCGGGGCCACTCTTGGACGGGTCGAGTAGGGTCCGCAAGAAAGTGTATCGCGACGCGGGTTCGAGTGCCGAAGAAAACTGCATCGCAGCGACGCGCACAACCCCTTTGCGAGGGTTGTTCCGCCCGCTTTTGTTCGTTCTACCCGCTCGAAATATTCTTTCAGCGTCGGAGTTCATTAATATTCATCGTACCGCGGGCTCGTCGTGCAAATTTCGATCTTTTTCGAAGCCGCGAGTGGTACAATTTCGGGGCGCGCGGATCGTCGCGGAATTATGTCTTTCAACCCTCTCTCGAACGGGATCATTCCCAGCCGGAAAAATTCGGTGACAGGGCGTGGGAAGGTCGGAAGCTCCGTTCGAAATACCGAAGGTGATGTTGAGGATTTCGGAAGAAGCGATTTCCAAGGAATACATTACGATGTGGCGTCCTTGATCCGAATCGTTCCACAAAATTCGTGCGGTTCGCCTTGTATATTGCATTCTGTTATTGTAACGTGGGGCGGTTATACTGCTCGGTGTTAACGGCACTGAGTTTACTGGACTAATAACAATATTGTCCGTAGCGTAGATATATTACGCGTTATTGTACGCATTGAACGAATTTAGTTTGTTATTTATGCCCGCAGTCGTATTATACGTGGAAGGCCTGACTATATCTTCTCGTAACTCGTACCATCTAACAACTATTTCATGCAGCAATTAATTAACCCCTTAACTGCCGAGTGCGCCATATGGTACGATTGTAAAATCATCAGCTGTTAAGCGCCATATTGCCCCTTATTTTCCCCGACACGATATTAAGCACGACGCGGTAAATGTACAAGACGAACAAAAATTCAACGTCGGGATTAAACTGCCCTACATTATTAATATGTCGCGAAACCATATTTATCGACACGGAATAAATGTTTTCTTACATTATGTAAGTAGCATGAAATTTGCACAATTATATCATTTTTCTTGTCAGACCCGATTCCTCGAGCCACGCGTGTAAAAGTGTTACGGTAATACGAACGTAAACTAAACAGTACATTAAACTTTCTCGGCAGTACGCAAGCTACGCTAAGTGTGAATAAGGCCGTAGAGATAAGGAAACGCCTAAAGTATCGCTAAGAAAGCTGAAACATCTCGCGAATCGTTTAGTTTACGACGACATTACCATAACGTTACCTTTATACGCGAAACGACCCAAGGAATTATACGAGAAAAATAGTTTTATTTTGTTTAAATATCGACGTTGCATTTTGCAAAAATGTTGATCACATTTATTACTATAATACCTATATTTTGTTACATAATGGAGTATCGAAGTTTTCAATGTTTTTACAATATTTTTGAAATTTTCTTCCATCGCGCGTAGTCGCGAATTAATGGCGCGAAATCGCGCGCAGGAGCATGCGCGGTGGGGGTCGGTTCGTGTTCGGCGGTCGGGGCAGCGTTTCGGTTGTATTTCGTGCGCGTTCGTTGGCGGATGCTCGCAAATATGAAGCAGCGGACCCGGTGTTCGAGAATACGCACTCTTGGAAATATCCATCCCCCTTCCCAAGCCCTGTTTTCCACCCCTCTGCCATAGTGTTTCCGTAAAGTAACGCGTGCCGTCGACACGAGTAAATTCAGTCAGTGGTGCGCGGGCCTTCGGGGCGCGAGGACGTGCGCGCTGCTTCATATTTCCGGCTTCCTGGTCGCGCGTGCTTCTCCGGTTCGTCTCGTGTCAGTGCATGGAATCACAGAAGAACGACTGTTCCCGATCATTTCCCCCAAAGGACCGAACTATTCCGTGAAAACGTGCGGTTAGTACTGGTTCTGTTTCATCCTGTTCTTGGTGTCTTCGACTGCTGCACGAGGTGTGATCTTCCCCACGGATCGAACGCTGCTTCCTTCGTCGTTGGTGAGTCTTTACTTTTCCATAATCGACCATTTTCTGTGTACTTAATGTTAAAGAAATTCGTGAAACCGTTAGTTTATCACAGAGAACGTTGTTCCATACAGATCCATCAGAGTTTAGATTAGCAAGAATCTCGGATGAGAATTTTTTTTAAAATATAACTTTTCGATTAAAACTTACTGAAACTATATTTGCAAATTTCTGTCAAATGACAATGCTAGAAAGAGTTTAAGTTTCTAAAGTCTACCATAGTTAATTATCAAAATATTGTATTTACAGAAGGTGTTCAACGAGGTGATTCAACGTGTTTTAAAATTCAGGATCACCAACGCGAACGAAAAGTTTTATTAATCATAGGTACAAAAGTTACCTTCTTCTAGATTTATTTAACGATATCAAATAACACTTAAAGTATATCGATAGCATTACTGGGTTAGAAGAAAAAAATATAATGTATAAATTGCAGCATACGAGTTATCGAAAATTCATTTGGACATCCTAAGATCAAAATTTATTTTCGCGAATCGAGCGTCCGATGAAATTTGCTGGTTACAAATTCGACAATCAATAATTTACTATACTCTTTGGAGAACTCCCACCGTGAACATGTCGATGTAACCGAATTTAGGAAGAAATTGCCCGTGTAGTCGATCAGGAGCCAGGATGAGAATCCCGATCCTGATCATCTATAGGTTTAATGAAAAATCCATAACTTCGATGAACTCTGTTAAGCAGATCGAACCCATTTCTGAGAAAAAGTTCTTTGTGAAAGACGTAGTCGTGCTTCGTTTGTATTAATACCATATTTCTTTCTATTGACCGACAAATTTTATTCGAAGCAACCGTCTCGATCTTTCGTTTGTAATTATTGAAATAATGAAAATTCTTTATTACTGTTTCGTTTCATTAGGAATTTGTCCAATAATTGCAAAACGAGAGGCATTGTTGCAATACGGTTTACTTGTATCAATGAGAAAACAGATTGGGGGTGGGTTTCTGAAACGGTAACAATTAAAAACGGGTCAAAGCGAAGTCACGAAATTTTACGGACACTTTTCGAAAGAATTTGACCGGGTTTTCGGCCGTGGCTCGATCTAAAAATTTAAATTAATTCTCGAACAATTAAAATGTTGAAAGGAACGGGTGAAATTTGATGAATTCCTGGCTCGACTTTGCACAATTAAAAAATTGAATAGCTGTGTCTTAAACGCAGTAAATTTTATATTGAATTAGGAGACAATGAAATACAGTATAAACGTTTTCGACGATTGTCGGAACGAAACAAATTGTGATAAACTTTCTCCTCTTGGTCAGTGAATTTCCAAGGTATAACAATTTTAAAATGCGATAAGGTGTTAGCGCGACGATTTTTTATTGTATTTTTTCAGGGCTCGTGCGATATGCGGAAAGATACGAAATTTAAAATTTTTATATGTTTCATCGTATATTCATGAGAGTATTACAAACGGTCTGGTGAGATTTTCCCGTTGGAAATGAGTTCAAACATGACCTTATTCGGTCTACTTTTAATTATACGTGGCTGAAAGTTTTTTCAGAAATGATTCGAACTGTGTTTGATTTAAAATAGGGAGTCAGAACGAGGTCGTGTTTGTGCTTTCCAACACAATGAAAATTCCCCGATTCATTGGTAATATTTCCGTAAAGGTGCAACGAGAAATATACAAATTTAAAGGCTTAAATTCGGCGATGAGTAATAATCCATCGGACAAAAGACTAATTGAAGCATTCATGTAATTCATTCTCGTTTCGAAACATCAAACGAAATAGGTCATAAATATAAATCGATTTCGTCTACATTTTCTTGGCGAATTTATTAAGAAATTTTTTCGCGATTCTTTCGTACTTTACGACCTTTTCTCAGACACGATGTAAATAAAATTTATCCGCGGATCGAACTTCGTCCGCGGGAAGACCATTTTTCATTTAGTTTAACGAGTACCGTGGGTCTGGAAAGTTTTCAACTCCTCTCGAGCCATTAAAAATGAACCCGAAGTTTGTAATTTCGATACTCGTCTTCGGCCATTGTCCGAGGAAAGAGGTATCGCGGATCGAAACGAACGTTTCCCTGAACTTTCACCTCGGTGTCGACGTTTGATCGACGAACGCACGAAGAAATAATTGATGGCACGTAGGGAAGACATTGGAAAACCTCCAAATCTCCTCAGCCTATTTGTCACTGTCGCGCAAACTGACGCGAAGTTGTAACGGACCGAAAGGCAGGGCTACGTTTCATTGAACGTAGGGGATGAAATCGTAAACAAGGGTCAAATTCGGCCAAATTGAAACGAACCTCGCCGTCAGTTAAATGTGACTTTTATTAGACGAAAATGTCCAGTCTATTCTTCACGAATATTCCAGAAAATAAAACATCTTTCCACGAGGTCTTTTTTTTCAAATAAATTTACTATATTTTCTTTTGAGAAATAAACATTTCACGCTATATTTCACGCGAATGTACGTGTTCGATTGCCGGGCTTCGAAACATCCACGCAACAGGAAAAGTCGAAGCTAGTCGCGCACGTTCGTTTTTCCGTTCGGTTTGGTCCGTAAATTTGCGTTCATCGAAAGACGCAGGATTTATCTCCGTACGCCCATCCACCTTCATCAAATATTGACGAACGAAAGTTGGAAGGGAGCCTCGAGTTTCGCGAGACACCGGTAACTGGCAACTCTAAATATTCAGTTGCGAGCTTCTAAATAAGCGACCCTATAAATACGGCTAGGTCTATTAGCGGAAGACGTAGAGGCCAGCTCGGGACTCTCGGGAAGGCGAAATTCGTGTGGCGTATAGGGAAAGGAGACGGAACAGGACAGCCGACGACGAAAACAAAGGAAAAAGCCCACGGGTGCGTGTCTTCGAACAGTAAGAAAGGCTTACGACTGCCGTTCGACGACGGAATTAGTTCGGGGAGCGGGGAATTTCATCAGAATTTCATAAAAACGCAGCGAAGGCTCCTGTTACGGCAATTCCAGCTCGAGAGAAACCGAATACGCTAGTTTGCATTTTCATACCACGCATAAATTTCAGACAAGATACCAAAAAAAAAGAAAACTTCTTCGGAGTCGCTATAAAATTTTTTTGTTGGTAGACCAAATATTAAATATTCCGAATGAACGTCGACCAATTTAATTCTAGGAATTCAGGCATTTCCAAATTATTTTTTTAAAGATTCACGCTAGAACACCCCCTTAATAAACGCCTCAAATCCGTTATGTTGATTGTTTCAGGCAGACGCTCTGTTAATTAGAATATTCGTATCATCTCGTCGAATTCGAGCGGTTCGGACACAAAATTTTTGAGGGTTGTAAACGATAGAACGGTCACTTTTGGCGAACGAAGGGATTGTTTTCTCGTCGGCGAGGAAATGAATTGCAGGAGGAGAAGGGGTCGTTTGGAACAATGCTCGGTCGAACGCGTCGGAACCGAGGATCGTTTTGGCTGTTTTATCCGTGACAAAGAGTCGTTGGTTATCCGTTGTTGGGAGCCAGCCTAGCTTCGTTCTCTCAAAGAGCAAGCACGCGAAACACTTGTCGGTCTTCCCGTCTGCTCCACTTGGAAATATTAATTTATACGGCGCAGGTATTCGAGGGGGAAGCCCCGACCGACCCCGATTATCATGTAGATCAGTCCAACTATGATCTAATCCTCGGCTCGCGGGATTCTGCGGGTCGATTCGACGAAACAGCGGAGGTCTTATCAGCCGACGACACTGCACGTTGGTAATTGGACGCGCCTGGTTCAAAGAGGCGGAATTAAAATGGAAGATATCTCCTCTTTGGCGAGGAACAGCCGGGAGCTCGAATAGAGGATTTTCTATTCGAATTTGAAGAATCCTGGTCAAAGGGAGGAGATGGATAGGCGGACTGATAGACTCTAGCATCGAATACGATCGTTCTATTCCGTTCGCAATTTATCGACGTTTATTCTCTGTCGGACTTCTCTCGCCTTCGTGTTCCATTGACGAGATATGTATTAGGAAACAGGCGTCGAAAGATTTCTCATGGAAATCCGCTGGTCCAAGGGTTAAGAATACTTTTGGTAACAAAGGGGGACTGATGTCATCGATTTCTTCGCGGCTGTTTTCGCATTTCTCCGATTCGTACGTTTCCGTAAATTATTCAAGGCCCGATGGTGCCTCGCGATCGAGACCGAATGTTACGTAAACATTCGAGAGCGTTAAAACGTTGCTGTTTCACCCGTAAATTCTCATCCGAATCACCAGCCACGGTCGCCCTGAACTTTCCAGCGAAATAATTCACGATCGAGAAGTTACGATTTTACTTGGTAGTACTGTTTCCTGTTACCTGTAATAAAAATAAAATTACGCCGGAGATCGACAATTGCGAGGACGATTAACAGACGCGGAGAAGCTTTGTTGAGGGTTGACTCAATCTCTAAATAGAATAATTCGTGTTTCAATTTAAGTGTTTCTTATATTTTTACATATATCCCCAGTCTAATGATTAACAGTCAAGAAATTGTTATTTCAATATATTTCTGATTCGAGTTACGAAAGGGGATTCACAAAGAATATTCTTCCGGGATTTCATGGTCCTCGGTATCCTGTTATCATACTCGGGATAAAAGTTACGCGCGGCTCCATATTTTTACTACGAGGCTACGGCCGAGTTATTGTCGTAGTTCGAAATACTCGTTTCGTGACCTGCACGCTCTTGCGTTCTATTTGTCGTGCAAACACGCAGCGGAACATATAAAATTACCTTTCCCGGAATAAATGTGTGCAAAATGGCCGTGTGTACATTAAATTATTCGCCGACAGGGTTTAATCGCGCGGAAGATTGACACGTGACGGAGCTGGCCAGAAAAATATCATACGCCGGATAGCATAGTGTCACTGTTACTATCTCGAATATCGCATCGAATTATTAGATCGTACACATTTGTGACGTATACGCGTACGATGAACGTACCAAGCACACGTAATATGAAATATATTCTAGACATGCTTTGCATACCATTA